AAAATCAAAATTCAAAATTCAAAATCAAAATTCAAAATCAAAACTCAAAATCAAAATTCAAAATCAAAATTCAAAATCAAAATTCAAAATTCAAAATCAAAATTCAAAATATGAAATCAAAATCAAAACGAGACATTCCTGGGCTGGTGGCGCACTTGTTGGGAGGCGCTTTGGGTCTGTCAGGCTTGCTTTTGCACATATGAGGCACCATAAGGAGAAGGAGTGCGTAGCCCGCTTCGCGAGGGAGGTCATGCTGACTGAGGAGCCACCTACTGCCCTGCCCCAGCGAGCTGCCACGGGGGTGGCTCACCAGCCACGACCTGATACTGGTAGCGGCAAGCGAGTTAAGAAGCCCGCTGTAGCGTCCTCTGGCATATCTATAGCTCTACCACCGGGAGTTACGGCACGCCCAGGACATACGCCTGACAGTCAGCTCCTTCTGGTCCGCCGCTGCTATGTCGACTCGTCTGGTGATCGAAGGACTGTTACTAGGTCTGTTGACACACGCAACTACGAGGATCCTGATGCTGCCCGGGCCTATGCGTGTTCACTCCTCTCCGACATGAAGAATAGGCCCGATGAATACGCGCCCGTCGTCCCGAAGCGAACAACGAGAAAGAAGGGAAACGCCCCCGCAGCATCGGCTTCCTCGTCGACAAGTGGCGGGGCCGAACTGTTGTAGGGAAGTCTACGATGAAGAGTCTCTGTCTTTTGAATAAGCTGGGGCTTTGAAGAAGTGGGGGGCTTCTTGTTGGGGTCTACTAACATAGAGCTTCTCTGTTACTCCCCCTTCTAGTGTTTTCTTCTTTCCTTTCGCATCACCACTTCACAAAGGGGCATTTTTTGGTTCTCTTACCTCTGTTTTCTTTAATCCAAAAGTGAATACTGAGTTCCATCGTTATCGGTCGCTTTGCCGTCTGCTCAACTGAGAAAGCCTCACTTCGTAAGCCATACTCTAGTTTAGTTAAGTGCCAGGTCGTTGGCTTATCTAATCTACCTATCTCTGCTCCATTTCTGTGTCTCTCGTGTGCCACTTATTGCTCTCTAAGGCATTGATAAAATAACCAATGAATTAGCCCACTCGTTGGAGCCGACGCAGATCTTGTGCGAGAATGAATGAATGAATGAATGAATGAATACTGTAAGAGATTTTCCTCTTTGTCGTGTCGACTGAGTAAGAAATCTTAATTGAAGAAAGCGAGTAGTGTAGTACCAATATTCTTTTCTTGGAACTAGCAAGGGGACCTCCTTCACGATGTCGAGGTCGCCCACGACCGCTGTGTCGCCGGCTGAGGCAGCTGAAGCAAAGGTCAGGTTCGTGAAATTTTTTCAAGAGGCGGCACTCTGTCGTGGTCTTGGTCCCAATGAGGCGGCGCAGGGGGCAATCGCTGCAACAAAAGCCAAGCGCGACCCACCCGCTCTCTTTAAAGGCGCTATGGTACCGGATAGCGAGGCGACAGTGGAGAGAGCGCTGCAGAGGTAATTTAAACATAGAATCGTTGTCCAGCATTAAATTTACTTTTACTAGTACTGTAAAGGAGAATCGCAATATATGTTGCTTGACAAGAGTATAATGTTTACATTTTCAAACAATTATCCTTTTTCTCACTAGTCCCGCAAGTTGCAGTGAGGAGCACTGGCGGAAACTGGGGTACCTTTTTGGTGACGTTTTCTATGCGAATTCGTTATTACTTCCTAAGACTGCACGACCAACGAAGAGCGACCCGTGTCTGGATATCGACGCTTTGCGGAAGTTGTACGACAACATCGAAAACAGCGCAACCTCGTCAGGCGATGTCGAGATGAAAGATGCGGACGAGGAACAAAGTAGCCCTTCGAAAAGGGAAAAGACTAGCGATGCGATGGAGGTGGATCAAGAAACTGGCTTTGCTGCTGCTGCTGCTGGAACATCGTCTTCTAGTTGTACGACTGCAGCTTCGTGTGGTTCATCCGTTAAGAAGTTTTCTCCCTCAGAGGAAATTCTGAAGCAATTAGGAGACCTGTGTGCTGACGTTTGCCGCGAGATGGAGAAATTGCGTAGTGCTAAGTCGGCAGCATCCTCTCCAGCGTCGTCATCCCCTCAACAAGTGTCAACTCCTGCTGCTGCGGCCGCTGCTACTGGAGGGAGTTTTACCTCGGGAGGCTCTTCCTCCTCCACAGCACCGACAAGCAGCGACGCAACAACTGCAGGCACTACAGGGATTGCTGCTGCAACTCCCGGCGGCGCGTCTTCACTATCATCTTCGCAAGAGAACGAGGAAGCCCTGATGGAGGGACCTGCGAGTCTGAGGTTCTGCCTGTTCGCGCTCTTTCATCCTGCCTTGGAGGATCCGGATCGATACCAGGATGTGCACCGCTTATTTCGCTGCTTCAGGCCATTGAGCGAACAGGCTAGGGATATACTGGCAAGATGGCTTTCGCGACTTGACGTGGAGCTCTTGCGAGGGACCTTGCAGACGCTGCATCAGTATTATTGAATATCAATGTTTTATATCTTTATGCTAGTGTTGTTGTAGCTGCACCTCTTCGGCGGAAAGGGCGCGATAGTTCTGAATGTTGTGCTACTTACACGCTTCATTTGCGCGTGCTTGTTTATCTATCTTTTACTCATGTTCATTTCTCGTACCTACGTAAATTGACTACAACACGTAGTACGCACTTCCGCTTTCTCCACCGTTTGTTGTACTTACACGCAGGTACATATCCATAACTTTTTTGGATGCGTACCATGGGAGCGGAGAGGAGATGGAAAGTGCGGCCGAGCATGTTTTTGATTTGTTCGTCGCGACAACATCCCAACTGTGCAAAAACGCGTTGGCTGCTATGGATGCGCTCTTTCGGGCCAACCAGATCCGAATTGCACTAAGAAGACAGCTCCGCAAAGAAGAAATGGTGAAAGGCACAGCGGCAATGATGGTCACTGATAGTGTTAAGGCTTGCTCGTGTCTAATCCGTCTTTTTGTTGACAAACTGACATCCTGCAAGGACGGTCTCTCAACGGGAAAATGGGTCCATGATGGTTAATGTATCCCAAGATTGATAACTGAGACGAACTCACGCTAATAGTGGAGGAGGCGGCGGAAAGACGCCTGAGCGTTCGACCTCGAGGCATACCGCAGCTCTGTCGGACAAATTCGATGAAGCAGATGTGGAATTTTTCAGAAAAAAGTTCGTGTCTAGTGCATTGCTAGAGGTGTTGAAGCCCGAAGAGTTTCGGAATGATGCCATGAACGATGCCGACCTTATTCTACGGCACGATTACCAGTACACGCTTTACTACGACTTCATCGAGTCGGAAAATAGCGGAAGCAAGGGCTTGAGCAAGTTAGCTGTGCCGAAAAACATCGAGGAAATACGCCAGAAAAGCTGCAAAAATACCTACACGTTTGGTACTTCCATGCTTTTAGTTATATGCGCTAGTCAATAAAGCAAGTGTCGTAAATCTTATAATATCAAAGAGTTAGACCCGAAACTCTCTGTATCTGACTATATCAACATAACAACTGCAAGGTCTCCTTGAGTATAACTTCTGCTTGGATGCGAACAGTAAATGCCGCTTTTTGATGATAAATACGGCTGACCAGCAGCGACAGGAGACCCGACAGGAGATTCTAGCACAGGTTATGCAGGGCCAGAGAAGAGTGAATCCGTATTTCGTCCTCAAAGTTCGTCGCGACAATCTGATACAAGATACCCTTCAAAATCTCGCATCGCAGCCACCAAGCAATTTCAGGAAAACTTTAAAAGTCGTCTTCGAGGGTGAGCAAGGGGTGGATGAAGGTACCTACTATGGTTTTTGAGGAAAGTGCCTTTAATTATTTGCAATTAGAAGTAGAATTTCTTTTATCCGGTATATTCTAGAAAGTCAGTCTTGATGATGGTTTTAGTTTTCAACATTGATTTTTAGAAGATAGAACATCAGAAGTCCTCTGTGGTAGCATGAGTATATGAGATGAGCGACCTTTTCACTAATGTGACTGTGTTTCTTCATCCAGGTGGCGTGCAAAAGGAGTTTTTTCAGCTTTTGTTGGAGCAGCTGTACGATCCCATGTACGCGATGTTCGTGTACAACAGCGACAACAAGTCCTATTGGTTTAACCTTGGCTCTTTTGAGAACAATCTACAATACGAACTGTTCGGCACTCTGTTAGGCATGGCCATCTACAACCATGTGATTCTGGATATCCGGTTTCCGATGGTGGTGTACCAAAAACTGCTTGCGGAGGACGTAGACGGGACGGCGAAATTCTCGGTCGATGACCTATTGTTAAGGCCAGACTTTCTCAAACCTATAGATGCAATCAATCAATCTACTAGAAGAAATTCTTGAAATGATATTTAAGAAAAAAGTCCATAAGCATAGAGGAAATACATAGACGAGAGAACAGTTGAAATCTTCGAACTCGTTTTTCCCTGCTGGCCCAGTCAGTATGAATCAAAAATGTTGAAAAGATTACGGTTTTTTGCCGTCACTAGAACTAGATCTAATTCCCGAGGTGAGCCCTGATCTTGGAAGAAGCCTTCTGCAGTTGCTCGAGTTCGAAGGCGATGTTGCTGAGGTTTTTTGCCGCGACTTTGTTGCTAGCTACGAGAATTTTGGCGCTGAAGTGCTGGTTTCACTGAAGCCCGGAGGAGAAACGATACCGGTGACGAACGCGAATAGGGAAGAGTTCGTGGATGCCTATGTTGACTGGTTCTTCAATAGATCTGTCTTCGACAAGTTCCGGTCGTTCAAGAAGGGCTTTCTGCGTTGCATGCAAGGCGACGAGGAGTCGAGTAGAACAGCGCGCGGAAGCGGACCGAGCTTAGCTAGCCGTAATATTGTTTTTGAGTTCGCAGAAATATACTAGAGTGGTTGGGTAGTTGTCTCAATTCATGATGTATGTTGGAACTGCTGAGGGCAAGAATGATCAATCGTGATTGAGTATTCCCTTTTGGCATAATGGTATCTCGCTGTCCTCTGCATTCAGCCCATCAAGTAGCCTCCGAAATTTTTCTCTGTCAGGTACGCGTTCGTTTTTTCTGTCCTTGTTTCGTCCTGCGGAGCTTGAACTTCTTATTTGCGGCAGTGAGGTGCTTGACTTCGAGAGTTTGAAGAACAACACAGATTACCAAGATGGCTATGAGAAGAGTTCTCAAACGGTTGAGTGGTTTTGGGACATCGTGCTTAATGAACTGAACGAAACCGAAAAGCGTGACCTCCTCTCTTTCTGCACCGGTTCCGCACGCGCACCGCCAAAGGGCTTGTCGGCACCAGAAGCGAAGCTCACGATCGGCCGTCAAGGTCCAGATTCCGAGGCGTTGCCTACCGCGCACACGTGCTTCAACCATCTCTTGATTCCAGAGTACGCGGACAGAGACAAACTGAAGACGAAATTGAAGCTAGCAGTGGCAAATAACCAGGGCTTTGGATTGATTTAAAAGTAGACGGAGGAAGAAGAACGCCTAAGCATGCTCGTGGAGGAGAAGATACGGAGGAGATAAAACTCGACGTGAAGTCGTGGTCCTTAAACTTTAAGAATTACCATCTCAACAAGTCCATCATCGAGCCGTTTCATTCCTGACGCTCAGATCCATCGGGAAATGAGATCCTGCGCTAGTGAATTATAAGCGTTCCGCTAGTGACGTGTGAGATTCGCACTCTGAATTTTTTCAAGGAAACCTCAATGTTGGGAATTTGACCGTGTCCACGCTTGTGATGCGATGATACAATCTGCCAATTTAATTACACTTCGTTGAGAAAGACCTTGAGTCTGTGAAACAACGAAAAATACTGATTTTGTGTCAACACTGGAGTCGATTTTACGAGAGAGGACATTCATTGATACATGATAGTCGGTGCTTCATCAGTCCTGCCTTTGCTGTCTTTTCATTTGAACTGTTCGTGTTCTTGGCTCGCTAAGTTTGAAAGGCAGCTATAAGTGTTCCTGAAGAACGAGCAGCTGAGCAAAGATAAAATTCAAAAAGTTGGGGTCTGTAGTGAAATGACTTTGTCTGTCCTTTTGTTTGCTGTGTTTGTGAGTTGACGAGTGCATCTTTGTTGTGAGGAGAACAGTACTCTATCCGGAACATTTTTTTTAGAGACGAGCGCGTGATGAGCATTTCTGTCCGAAGGTATTTCTGTTTCTTGAGACGAAATTCCTGGTTGTCACAAGCAACCTTCACTTTTTTCCATTTTTTTGATGTACCCACGCGTTGGTACTAGACAAACACGGCGAGGTCATGTTAACGAGTTGTACTATGGATATGGTTGTGTTTTGTGTCTATATAGCATTGTCGACGGGCATACGTATCCCTTCGCAGGAAAGAATGTTGCTACTAGTATTTTTAGCTGCCTGGCCGTTGTGCTTCAGGATTCTCGCAGGGTAATTAAATGTTCTTATTGCGAGGAATATAGACCCAGGTCCCAAAAAAAAAAAAAAATGCTGGTGGCAGCGTGAATGAATGAAATCATGCATCATGAACAAAAAGACGTATTTTTGCATCATTTTGAGTAACTTTCCATCCTCGTCAGGCTTATTCCTTCGCTCGTCCCACTTTGGACATTCCACGCTCCTTCTAGTTTGGTTTGTTCATTTTCTTACTTTCCGACAACCTCACAAATTAGTCTCTTCCGAGATATCTACTCAAATTTGTTCTCATCACCCTCATCTCTCCAAAAAACATAGTAGGTCCCAGTTGTATATCAATAGACAGCCGCTACCGTAGTTGTAATCAAATTTATTTGTTAAACTGTGCATTCAGTCTAACAAATATTTTGAATCGTAGTCCTCCTTCCTTTCTCAGGAGCGTAGTAGGGTGAAAAAAGCTTCGATAAAACCGACATTTGTTTTATTGCAGCCGAATTGAACATAATTTTTCTGCCAAGATCTATTTGATTGCATTTTACAACACAACTAGTTGTTGAAAAGAAAAGCCAGGTAGAAAAAAAGAATGGTGCAACTGAACACGGAATTTTTCGCCAAGGATGGCAACCTTGTTGGCGATGGGAGCTTGTCTCCGGAGGGTTACCTCGAAGTCTTGCCGGGAAGACTGTACTGGGTGAGCACAAACCAGATCCCGAAAAATACCCAGAGCCATCACTTCTTCAGCATAGATAACGAGCTGGTCTACGAACCGTTCTTTGCCGACTTTGGTCCCCTGAACCTTTCAAGCACCTTCCGATACTGCAAACTCGTCAAGGCCATCCTTGATGACGCACAGCTCAGTATACTGCTTAATATCACACTTGTTCATCTTTGATATTGATACACTGTCTTACAGTCAGATGACCACCACTTGTATATTGATTTCGGAACTCATACTTCGCTGGGATGAACAGAAAAATAATACACAGAAAAAATATAGCGATTCTTTTCCTTCCGAGGGCTTTCAATTTGCGCATGTGCATGTTCATGTTGTATCTGTAATTAATTCACTTATTGAAGGGTCGTTCTTGTCCTTTTATCATGTTCTGTGAATTATTGGTCTCCGAATTGGACGTTCGAACCTCTAAGCCTACGACCACAACAGTGAACAAGAAGATCGTGCACTTCACGAGCCAGTGCCCGAAGAAGCGCGCCAACGCCGCTTACCTTATCGGCTGCTTCCAAGTTATGGTTTTGCGTCGACAAGCCGATGTCGCTTACAGACCGTTCCAGAATATCCGACCCCCATTCCTCCCGTTCCGTGACGCAACATGCGGTATCTGCAACTACCACTGCACAGTCCTAGACTGCCTCAAAGGTCTCGAATACGCCATGCGCATCAAGTGGTTCGACCCAAACACTTTCGACGTTGCAGCCTACGAATTCTATGAGAAGGTACCTAACGTAACCCTAGCATTACATAGCAAGAGCACCTCCCACAACTAGTATTGCTTGTACTAGTAAGATAGAATAAGTTCCTTCTTGTATCATCAGCCATTTTGCTATGATTGTCGGTGATAGAATCCATACTAGTAAAGGAACAAGATGTGCGAGTCGTTGTCGTTTGTATCAACACCTTGTTTCAACGATATTTAAACTGTAGAACCAGTGAAGTTATTTTGTCACCACATACTACGGCATGTTGAGGATCGTTCTTTCAACAATGAATAGGTCGAGCACGGCGATATGAACTGGGTGATCCCGGACAAGTTTTTGGCTTTTGCTGGTCCAAGTGCGACACCTATCGATTGCGATGGATTCCCAGCTTTTACCCCTGAAGACTACGTCCCCATCTTCAAGTCAGGAAATGTCGGCACGGTTCTCAGACTCAACAAGAAGCAGTACGACCGAAGGCGCTTCACCGATAATGGAATCAAGCACGTACTATAATTTCGATCTTTGTAGTATAGCTACAGTTACATATTTTATTAGACTTTCTCTAGAAGGCAGACACCTGTTGTACTTTTAGTTACTAGACTACTTGCACCAAATCACTTTTCATTAGAATGCACCAGCCATTTGCCTGTACTAGACTTATTCGTAGGTACTTGTTTTAGCTTTCAAGCACATTATGGAAAACAGGAATCATAGTCCTCATCGAGTACCTTCGTCACCATCAAAAACGGTCTTATCGTCACTCTACAGGTTGACATGTATTTCCTGGATGGTAGCTGCCCTTCTCGAGAAATCATTAATAAGTTCTTGTACCTTGCGGAGAACGAGACTGCTGCGATCGGTATTCACTGCAAAGCCGGTCTTGGACGAACGGGCACTTTGATCGGTCTCTACGCCCAAAAACACTTCCAGTTCCCAGGTCGCGCGTACATCGGATGGAACCGCATCTGCCGTCCAGGAGCTATTTTAGGTACTTGTTATGAATTCTTGACTAACTGAAGCTGCGCTGAAGGTCTAGAGAGCAAGCTAGAGTGTATACATGTACCAGGGAGGGAGGCCCCCGTGGGACTTACGGAACGCCTTAGAGCTGTTACGTGACGCGTGACACCCACCGCGTCACGCCCAGAGCTTCGCCCCCCTCCTATGGATGGAGCGACGGGGGCGCCCGAGCGCCCTTGTTTTCGCGGTGGTGACAGGTAAGGACTCACGGGGGGGAAGGCCTCAAGAGGCGGAGCCGGAGGCCCCTGGCGGCTCTCCGCGTGTACCCCACAGGCGTCCCGACTCTTGGACCCTATCAGAGGGACGGCCTCCGGGGGAAGAAGGCCGCCGAAGGCGGTCACGGTCGCGAGGCCTGGCCCCTTCGGCCCTCATGGGGGGCAGCAGGGGCCAAACTCCTCCAGTGAGGAACCCGCACGCGGGAGGCCTGTAGGGGACATGCAACACGGCAAGGGGGTCAAGCCTTGCCAACTGCTGCCAGCGGAGGCCCTCCACCCCCGAGGGGCTCCCCCAGTGAGGAGCCCGCACCCGGGAGATCTGTAGGGTACACGCAACACGGGGGAAGCCTTGCCAGCTTTGCTGCCTTCGGAAGCCTTCCATCCACCCCCGGCCGTCGGTGCTTGAACGGCCTCAGGAGGTTGGGTTCTGCTGGGTACATGCAAGAAGCCGCGAGGGCTCGAAGGTGGGCATTTGGAGGCCTTGCCGCCCGGCAGTCTCTCGGGAAAAAGGGTCCGGGGCTGGAGGCCCCCTCTCAAAAAGTTAGATCGGAGGGGCCTTCAGCCCTGAGCCCTGGCACATATATTGTCAGTCTAGCTTATGCGATCGAACGTCATCTCTACGATCATGGGTAAGGAACTTCAGCGCTCCACTTCATATTGTCGTGTTAGCAGTTTCATAATTTTTCTTTCCGCGTGTAAAACTTGTGTTCGACGTCGGATGAGCTAGAGGACTTTATGAAGGCTGGCGTGGTTTGGTCATAAAAAAATAGACTCAGCTCGGCTCAGTCTTTACCAAGTCTATGGAACCTCAACAAGTTATCCAAAGACTATGAAACAAGAAGAAGCAATCCCATGATTTTTGCTTTTTCATAAAGGGCAATCGTCGTTAAATCCTCAAGTTTACACTAAAAATAGGTCCCCAGCAACAATTTCTTTCGGAGATGCAGAATGAGATGTTCCAAGTGGGCATGGTTCACCGCGCCAACCTCACTGGCCAACCCCATCTCTCCTCTAGCGCTGGTCGCCACCTCGAGGACCACGAACGCAAAGAAGATGTCGGACAAGGTAACTCGTTTTCGACGACCTTCGTGATATCTATCTAAGATGAAAAGTGTTATTGTTTCATCATTTCGTTCCCGCATTTGGTTCTTCATCAATCATTCCAAATTCATTATCTTCATCAGTCATACCTTTCCCTATTATATTTATATGATTTCGTAAATGTGAACCCTAACTGCCGTGACTCTTCAGGTGACCGGTTGACTGCCGCCAAGCGTGACATGTTCTCGAACGCGAACAACATTGGTCTCAAGCTCGGAGGAGGATTTAGCAGCAAATTGATGGGACGCGGCCCGCCCCCGAAACCCTTGCGTGGCATGTTCGGCCCCCAACCAGCGATGATGATCTCCAATGGAGCTTGAGGAAAAAAAGCGCTCCTCTGAGAAGAATAGATACTAGTAGTACTTTCTTCTTAGTGACAATGAGGAGATAAGAGTGTTTTTAGTTGTTAGTCTTAGTGAAATGTATAGAGTCTCTGAAGACTTGTAAGTATTTAGCATACCTAGTCGTGTACAGTTTTCATGGCTGAGGAGCGATTTCAGGTAATTGGAGAGCACTTCTAACAATGAGAAGATATTCGTTTGTTTCATCGCTTTGTTTTTTGGGAAGGGGAAGGGACGCCTGGTACTAACTTCAATGATGAGTTTTCTGATTGTTAGGCGGCGCTTATCTAATATTACTATGTAGCTAACAGATATAAGGGAACCTGGGTTAAAATTGAGAGCAAAAGCTATTTGTGGTTGTAGTGTTTGAACTTAACTGGCAGAAATATAAGCTGGCGGAAGACGAAGTGGACTATTGATATTATCAACTGGTATATATTATGAATATTATAATTACCCTATGATGAGCATGAGGCTCTGTTATTTGATGTGCATACTGGCTTTCTACATGATGAAAGTATTTTAGAGAGATGAATGAGTGGAACTATATTTGTTCAGCTAGTTATTCAACATCAGAACGAAGAGCATGTGGTAAGTACATCATGAAATATTTGAAAGCACCTTAACCGACTGGGGTTCGGGGATTGTAAAGAAAATTGTACAGAATTTGACATAGATGAAATAGACATAATCATTGGGCGAAGATCATAGTTACTACCTACTACAGAAGAGCACGTCGATTGTCGGGTAGGGGTGGACAAGTACTATATATCCGCTAAACACGTGGCTGTATCGATTTTGTCACCTGTACACCCATCTAGGCCAGCGGAGCCACTCTGCGAGCACCACATGCATATCATGCTATAATTTTTTTAGTCCTCCCATGAAAATGAGAGGCTCTTCCGATTACGCATAGAAGCAGAAGATGACGTCTTGTTCTAGTGACGCTCGTGTTAGTTCCTCCTCGACGAGAAGGGACCAGCATGGGAGCATTAGAGCGGCTTCCATTCTGCACATTCATACATGCTTTTGCTAGCTTGATTTTGAACACATAGAGTTGATCGACCAACACACATTTAGTCCATAATGCTTCCTAATAATTGACGATAATCAGTCCGAATTTCTAGTTCTTGGGGAAAGGCACTACTGTCAGTGTCCGATAATTCATATTGAGGTAACTGCTACTGAACTATGTCTACTTATTTTGGTCCCTCTTGTATTTAAATCATTGAATTGATCGAATCGTATGCAACTGATCAGATGACCGACTTATGGGACGTATTCCTAGGTCTTCCCATTGTACACAAATTTATTTTGACAGTCACATATCCGACCATTCTTCCAACAATTGTAACGACACTCACATGATGAATTTATTGTATCTGAATTGGAATCTTCCTCGAAAATGTACCAAACATTTGTAATAATTGCGGCTGCTACTTAGATTCATGTTGAAATAACGATTACTTATACACTTGCTTACAAACTGTTGATCCCGATGAGGAATCGAGAGATGAAGAAGTACTATCTTCTCAGTATTAAATTCGAATCCACAACGCCTTCAGGTTGATTGCGCCTAGCAATCAATTCTATGCACATAATTAAAAACCAGGTTGTAAATCATTGATTAACTCCTTGAGTTTTCTTGTTGACATCTAGTATTTGGTAGTAGGAGAGTGTGTGTGTGTGTGTGTGAGTGAGTGAGTGAGTGTCCTGGACCTTCCATGAGAGAGTTGTTAGTCGTAGCAAAAGAGATCATCATGATGTGCGACCACATACCGAACCCAAGAAATTGATGAGATGCATAGCGCTGATTCTAGGGGAGCAGGTGGTGATGCAAGTTCTCTGTCTTCTACCGTTTCGCCAACTTCATAGAGGAATGGTTACGCATCATTGACAAAATAACCGATAGCAATAGGGACAGAAACGAGGTATTGGCATTGGTCACTCACTCCTTGAAAACAGTGCCGACCCATTACTAAGTGTCAGCTTGAGACTTCAATTATGGAGATGAGAAAGACGCAATCGCGAAAGAAGCGCTTCGAAAAGTGGTGCTCAGAAGTGTTCGCAACAAGAAAGGAGAGAGGATATGGAAACTTTGAATCTTGAGTGAACTCGTTACGTTCTCGCCATACAAAAAAGCAATCCTATTGAGAATTGAATGCAGTTGTTGTATTCTCTTTCCTGAAAAGGGGCTTACAGAGAGAGACAGACAGTGTCTGCGAAAAGGGTTCTGTTAAATCAAACGGTAGGAATTGCAAATTTAACGAAAAGGTTCAATTGTAGTAAACGATCGTTGTAGGAGAGGATAACGCCGCTGCGTTGACTTCGAAAATGTCTCCTTTGGAAGGAAGAAAGTGAAACAATTTTGGTCTGCAACTAAGAATCATGCGAACTGGGCGATTGGAAATCCTAGGATCTATGGCGTAAAAGTAATTATTTGATGTTATTCTTCTGTTTGTTTACCTCATGAACACGTACGTCAATCATTTAATTCCCTTGATATCCCTCTCTCCAAGAACAGACTGAATTCTCGTTTCTTGGTGCTTTTGTCGGTAGAATATCTAGTTGTGTCTGAGCACTTTTTTTCATGCAGTTTCTTGACATCTGGGCGTTTGTTTCTGTTTGTTTCTACTTGCATTTTTAGCGTTCATTATATACGCGCTGGGTTGTGACTTGCATCCTACCAGTTTCTTGATCAGAATTTCTCTCCTATTGACGCGGGGTTGCATAAGTAGTAGAAAGATGGCAGGTTGTCTGGATGGGTGTTTTTCCTTCCTCGGCATGAGCCAGAAGGGCTTAGCGCCTTTCTCGTCGTCTTCTTCATCGAGTAAGCCCGCAGGAACCACATCGAGTATTCCGCCAATCGAAGGCCTGGGGCCAGCCGTGCGACATCGCAAGCAGGGCAAAGTGAGCGGCAAGAGTCGGATTCGCCCTGATGCTGAGGCGAACTTGTCAAAAGACTTAGGGCTCTCTCCTAGTGATCTCAAACCAGGAATGGGAGATTTTACGCTGGACAGTCTGGAAGCAACATTTGATGAAACACTCTTCGTAAAACTGATGGAGAAGCTCATCAAAGAGGCAAAATACCTCCAGAATAACCCAAGGGCAGGCGTGGTGCCAGAAGAAGAACGGGCAGCGAAAATCGTCATGGATTGCCTTAATCCGTTCTCAACAAAAAACGGAGGGCCCTTGCAGATTGAGGTAGTTGCTGATTGCTTGTTTCTGGTTTATCAAGTTCCTCCGTTATATATCCAGCTGCGCCGCTCGCTAGACGGCCGCACACAATTGATTGGCTCTGGTGACGGTCGTGGTTGCTTGTGATTATAGTGGATTTTTTCCATGTAGTTGCTACTGCGACAAGTTGGTAAAAGGATTCGCACAAATGAAGGTAGAAGTGTGCACTACTAGTACCTCTACTACTCATTCATTCTGTCATATGTTGCCTGCCTCTGGTGTTGATACAAGAATTTAACTCGTACGATACACTTTCATGATCTTAGCCTGCCTCCGATCCGACTATAAGTATAATAAACTCATCTCAGTTGCTGGAGTACGTACCGAAGAGACCGAATCTGAAAGTTACATACGCGGCTAGCACAAACTCGAGACGCACGATAGGATTCGTTGGATCTCATATGGATGTAGTACCAGCAAACCCAGAGGAGTGGGCCAGAGATCCGTACTAGGATATTTTTTCGAGGTTGTACGAAGTAAGATACACCGACTCTGAGTCCTTACTGCAGTTGTTACCCTGTAGAAATACTCTTATCATCTTCAAATGTGGAGATCATCTTTTTCGCCTTTTATTATTATGCACGAACACTCTTTACTATTACTATGGGCCGAACCAAACCGAACAGTTTTAAGCTAGTCCGTGATGGTGACAAGTTGTATGGTCGTGGGACTACGGATTGCCTTGGGCATGTAGCATTACTCGCTGTTTTTTTGCGGTTTCTGGCGCTTACGAAGCCAAAACTTGACATGTCTGTGGTGTGTGTCTTCATCGCAGCCGAGGAGGGCGGTGAATTCGGGGTTGGCGTCGATCGCGTCCTAGAGGACGGGAAATTAGAGGAGCTCAAGAACGGTCCAGTCTTCTGGATCGATGCTGCAGATTCCCAGCCGTGCGCCGGAACGTGTGGCGTGACCCAGTGGGAACTGAAAACCACCGGCAGACTGTTCCACAGTGGGCTTCCGCATAAAGGAATCAACTCCATCGAATTAGCGATGGACACAGTTGCGGAACTCCAGAGAAATTTTTACAGCGACTTTGGACCAGTCAGCGAGCAGAAAAGCTACGGGTACCATTATTTCACATAACTGTGAGCAGTCCTCTTTCATCTAAGTAAGTACTGCGAATTGACACGCAGAGTTATGATGAATCAAGGATCTTAGAACCTTAACCTTTTTGTTTTCGCCCATTTTCTTCTAGTTCATCTTGTTTTTCTTGCCTGCTGTATTGTCGTAGGCGCTGCCACTGCTTCGCTCCCCCCATGCAGCTTTCTCATCAGCAAGCACGCGATATCGCCCCGCAGAGTACATGATGACTAACCGTTACTGACTGAGGCTCCGCCCTGACCACAGTTCGCTCCGGCTGTGCGGCCCCCGCCGTACTCGGGTTGCCGATTCTTCTGAATCTACGAACTTGAGATCGCAGATCGAGCATGCAAGCAAACGAAGCGCGGTATTTTCATTGAAACCAGAAGGTCTGCCACCTGTTTCTTGGCGCTCGCATAGCACCCCGCCCACCTCGAGAAAGCTGTGAGTTTGTTTGCTCGCGTCGTTACCGGCCCCGCTGCCCCCGCCTGGCTGCATCACCCTCTATCGGCATCAAGATCCATTGATAAAGAGAAACATGAAAATAGTATGTAGCTCACGATGAGATTGTTTCAAATGAGTGTAAAATCTGCGCAGGTTTGGAGTCGGGTCGACTATGAAGCCTACCCAGATTTGCTGCTCTGAGGGTAGTTTGAATCAGATCCCGCCATGGTGCAAGGTAAGCGGGGACATTCGGTTGGTGCCGTTCTACGACATGCTAGACGTAATCGATCGTGTGGAGAAGTATGTGGAGAATATCAACGCAAACCTGAGCAAATTGAACTGCGAGACTACGCGCGGTGCCTACAGCAAGTACGATATCAAGGAAGCTGCGCCGGAAGCAGAAATCACCGAAGGCAGGGTCGAGATTTCCTGGGGCCAATCGAAGGAAAGTGCGCTCTTGTATGCGGGAATCGCAGCAGACCTCACGTCAACCGGACACAAAGCTCTGGTGCAAGCCACAGCAGAGGCAAAGGGTACTTCGTTCCGAATTTTTGCTTGATAATTGAATACTTTTCAGCTTTGGCTTATTGCATGAGTCATATTTATTGGACTCCGACTAGTCATGTTGATGGTGAAAATGTTTTCATGGTTGAACATTAAGCGGATTCATTTTCATTTTGAAGATCCAAGAATCAATCATCTATGATGTTTTTTCTACTATTGAAGTCAAAAAATACAACTTTTTATCGCGTCTCAGGCTAATCCCTTCAACCAACACGATCAGGCGCGGAAAACTGTAAGCCTTACAGCATCACCGGTTCGCTGCCATTAGTAGGGATGATGCAGAGGCAGGGCTTCGACATTCAGCTCGACGGCTTCGGACTGATGTCAGTTTATCATGCCGTGAATGAATACTGCGATATTAATCACATGCGCAAAGGGCATGAGATTATGCTCAGAATACTCTGCCTTCTCAACACTGCTGCGACGGAGAAGAAGTAGAGGATGTCGTGGAAATGCATGCACGCCTTACAACAACTACAACACCTGGTGGTCGACGAAGTTAAAGTTTTTACTATTGGAGCTGCTGCTGCTGCTTGTGCTGCACAAGTTGGGATAGTAGTTCTCTTCCTTCTACTATCCGCTAGCGATGTCCCAGTGCGCAACGTCTCGACGCATTTCTGTGTGTATGTGCGGACTTTCCACCTCCGCCGGTGATGGAAGATCGTCTGTGCACTGATGCCGAGTACGAGCTGAAGCGTTGCGGGTTAGAAGCGGAAATTGCTGTATCTCCTCTTCTTGTGAACTGCCAATGCGGGCATCCTTGCAATGCTTTTTGCGTTGACAACATCAATTTTTGAACCACTTGGTCTCTTGGCTTATTTGAAATTTTTGACTTTTGGGCGGTACTGAGTACCTCATTGCTGCGGGCAGCCTCCCTCCGATGATGGTCCTGCATTATGAGACCTGCCTTACAGAGCAAACTGCGCTAAGAAGAGTAGATATCACGGGGAAACTCGCACCTGCGCGTTGTTAGGTGGAAACACACCCTGCACAGAGCGACGGCTATGTAGGAGGTGCTGGGAGTCACAATCATAGAAATCGAAGCAGCTAAGGCTTGGTTCGTTGCAAATGTACTCTGCTGCCCGCGCCACGAGCGTCAAGTCTGCTCGTTGATTTCGAGGTGATTGGGTGCCAGTGTCACTAATTGGTTCTCTATAATCCAGTCATCTTGATGATAGAGTCAGATCTGTTTCACAAGTACATACGTTAATATGGGTAGGCTGGTGTGTATCAAATTCACATAACTGCTCTGACCATGGGGGCTCGTAAGATTCGCACATTCATCAGTTGAAGCTGCGTTCTTTTCGAAGGTGTGTTCTTAGCGTTGTAAAGTTTGTTTTTGTGATTTGTGCCGTGGATCGATTTGGTGATGCGACTTTAAAAACCGAGCTGACACGACAAGAAAAATGGGATTTTTTGCAAGAAGAAGAACTGTGATGTGCGTGGGTCTAGAAAAACTACAGGACGAAAGTCGAATTATGATCCAGTATTGGCGCAACAACGAAGGAAGTTACGACATCAACCTGCCAGCGCGATTCTGTATTAAGACTCGGGCGAAAGAGTCTGAAGAGCTACAGAACGTGCTGGAAGTTCATGTCGCGACTACATCGACATCCACACTAGTAGTGAGATAAGGGATTGGTAGTTGGGTTGGCCTGGGGTTATCTAGGAGCTGGCAAAAGGCGATACTGGGTAGGACTGGAAAACTGAGAACGACGCAAGCATGCGAAAATTTTTCAGATTTCTTTCAGATTCTTCATCTTGAGTTCGTCTGGATGCTAAATGGCTGAAACTATGGTATATGTATCTATAAGAAGGTGACAATTAAACACATGACAAGGAACAGGTCGAGAAGGACCTCACGAGGCTAAGCGGCGCCGGTCGTAGCATGGATCCCTCAATACATATTCATAAATATTCGAACATTAGTACGGTTGTAATATTATAATGAACGAGTAAAACGAACTAGGAAAAGAGCGAGAGGATAGGAAAAAATGCAGTTTCGATGGAATTCGGGGAGTATCAGATTACAGCGGCTATCGGCGGAAGTTGCATATAATACAGGTCGCACGAATTAAGAAACTCAACGGAATTTGCTGGATTTTTTGAGGTTACGACAGGCCATTCTATGCGCGGTGGTCAGGCGGTGTATGACGACAAAGTCTATCATCTCTGTCCGAGTGAATGAGAAAAGTACTCTGTTCGCCCACAAAGAGAACGAGAACCGAAAAGGTTAAGAATATGAAAGTGGAGAGATTTGAGAAATAGGAGCGTGCCCAAATATGGCACGACTCCAATCAATAAACTCCTACAATGACAGCACTGAAATCATAGACCGACCAACCTAACCGTGTGCAGGGCCGGCCTTTGAGTCAAGTGGTAGAGTTACCAAATAACCACAACCGTCCCGGGATATAGTTGCGAAGTATTTAGTGTTCTCCTTATACCGCAGAGATGACGAGACTCCTTCAGGAGTTATGAGCCCCTTTACGCTATATACTAATATAGTCGTGGGGGTCTCTGTCATTTCTTAAATAAGTAAATAGCCAAGTCATACCATACATTTCCCCCTCTAGTTTTTGACTTTCAAGAATAATACTTTTTTTACTTTTTGGTTTTTAATAGGAAACAGAAAATTAAAATCTGTAACGTATTAGAATCAACAAATAAGTAAATACGAAATATCCACTTTCCTAGTGGTAACACTGAACAGCTAAAATTTTCCATGATCTTCAATCAATCAATTAATCAATCAACTTGTTGGTAGTAGACTCCTAGTTATCTCCAAGCATCAAGTCAATCAATCAATCAATCAATCAACTTGTTGGTAGTAGGCTCCTACTTAGTTTACCTCGTGTTCTTCCATCATTTCAAAAATTTTCCGTGTTCTTCAATTATTGAAAACAATCATCTAGTGTTCCGTTGCTTCTCAAGCATTCAGTAGACAACTACAAAGTCAAGCATTCAAGTCACAGCGTTTTTTTTATCATTACAACAACTACAAAATCAAACACTCACGTCATAACATTTTTTAGCATTACAGCACAATCATAATTTCACGAATTATTACTACCTTAAGATATTACAACAGCTACAAACTCATCCATCAACTTGAAGGCATTCAATTTTTTACTTTTTGACTATCATCAACAACAACAACATCCAACAAGTCACTACATCAACCACGTACTTACAACAACTAAATCATTAAATCACTCAGCAACAACGTCACAACTTAAGGCTTTCCCAATCACCAACTTAAGGCTTTTTTTGAACCATTTAAGGCATATTTTTCCGAACCAACAGTAACGACGTCGCAACACCGAACAGCAGAAGCTGTCAAGGATAAAGAAACTGCTTCACAGTTTGAACTTGCTAAAGTCTCTGTCAAGCAATTGCCTGCTGATCCTGCCAAGGACGCAGCAAACAACGACAACAACAACGACCAAGGAACTTCAATTCCAGTCGTTCCTGTAGCAAAAGATAAGACTTCGCCCGCAGCTACTAAGCTGGATATAATCTATTATAATCCAGATAGTCGGAGAAAGCTAGGAGCAGAGCGAATTCCCCATCTCTCTCTGTTATTAAAGCACTCGCCCGACGTTCTCGCATTTGGTGAAACCCGCATGGCCACCAAAGCAGAACCAAAAGTCAGACAAGCTTTAAAACAGCTCGCGCCTGAGTATGAGATAACCTTCAATACCAACAAACGCGATGGATTCGCCTCTACAGCCGCACTGGTTAAGAAGGGCTCAGGCATTCGCGTAGAACGTACCGCACTAAGTAACGGACGAGGTATGTTGGTACATCATCCCAAGTGTCCCATTCCGATTCTTATCGTCTACGCGTGCTTTCGCGAAGACGTGCAAAGAACTCAGTCGTGGGATCAAGAACTTCGTAAGTATCTGCCAGCACAGACGGCAGTACCTATGATTATGGGAGATTTAAACTACTGCCCATCATCTCTGGACTTCGAGCCAGAATGCTTAAAGGCAGCCATTCCTGGAGTAAGAGAAACTGACCAAGAAGCTTGCGTAACTCTTCTTACCAAGTTCCAGCTAATAGATGCCTACAGAAACTTAAGACCCAATGGAAAGGGCTACACCTGTATCACCTGGGGACACAAGTACCCAGATGCTACTGGAAAAGGCATGCGCATTGATCACGTCTTTTATCTACAAGCACGCGCTGGATTAGTCACAAGCTTCCACGTTCTAAAAAATGTTCGCCGCGCATGTGGTGACCATTATCCAATTGGAATCACATTCAAGCAATTGGAGGGGATTCCAATTAATTCTACCCCTCAAGCAAATCTAGATGCAAAACTGCCTGCAATAGCCGACGGCACTGACATCCCTACGCAGTCACATCTGACCAATGTGTCCACTGGGTTAGTAGGGGACCCGGTCAGTCCTTCTACTAATGTCAATGCTAGGTTAGGTAATCTAGATTCTGCTAAAACAGAAAAAGAAAAAGAAGAAAAGAAAGAGCTCAGGACCAAAATAAAGCTTACTAAAACAGAACTTGATAGACTCTATCAAGAGTTTCAAGAAGAAGCGCGCAAGATCCTAAAAGAACTAGGACAACAACAAAAAGGAAAGCGTCTCCACTGGAGAGAACGCAGAGCAGGGGTTAGACAGATTCGAGGTCTATTCAAAGAGCATCCAAAGTATGAACACCTAAAGCCAGCACAGGCAGAAGCCGCTGCTGCAAAAGTGTTACATAGACTCGAGATGGAACCAAATCCACTCGATGAAGAGTTAGAACCTCTCTTGGCAGTCTGTGAATTCGTCGAACTCGACGATGATGAGACGCCGCTAGTGCTTCTCACTACAGAAGGAAAAAGTCCAAACTCGCAAGAGCAGGACAAGCACGACACTCCAGAATGGAGAAAGGCTATCCAAAAAGAACTCAACGCGCACAAGCATGTGTTCAGAAAAGCTACAGAACAGGAAGTCGCTGAATATCCATACAAGCGCATACCTTGCAGGCTATTACTGTCGGTAAAGCGTGATGGACGCCATAAGGCACGCATGGTATGTATGGGATTCTTAGCACCTAAGACCCATCTATCCACGTATGCCGCGGTAACAGATATCAGCGTAGTAAGGCTCATGATTGCGCTCGTAGTACTATCTCGAGGGAGAATCAAAATTAAGTCAGCTGACGCAACTTCAGCACTCTTACAGTCTCCATATCCTGAGCACGTTCTAATCGAACTTGACTCCAGGTTGCAATCTGTCTTACGCTATTCCGTAGGAAAGGTTCTGTACTCCATGAATGGGCTAAAGCTATCACCCGCTGCATGGGCCAAGTACAGAAACGAAGTGCGTGTCAGTATAGGTTGGCAGCAATGTGCTATAGAGCCTACTCTATGGCACTTGTCCAGTGTCATCCTTATAATCTTCGCCGATAACTTTTATTTTTTCGGCGACGAAGAATCTTTTGCTAAAGTCTATCCTGAAGTGGCTCACAGACTCGACCTTGTCGAAGAACCACCTCAAGAAACGGCTACTGAGTTAATTTATGATGTCTTGAGCATTCAGGTGCGTCTTAATAAACTCACATGGTCCGCTATCCTCGACCAAACTCAATACACGCAGAAACTGCTCAAGCGATTTGGAGGGGAAGATGGCAAGTATGTTCCTACTCCAATTGAAATCGCTCCAGCAGCTTCCAGAGTACCTCTCGAACCTGACGCACTAGCAGCATTCAACACAGAAAGGATGTCTCTGCTAGGCAGTTTGCAATACCCTTGCACTGCTACTAGACCAGACTTATGCGTCGCGTTGAAAGTGCTCGCTACTTCGGATATCAACGAGAACACAATCCAAGGATTGAAGCGAGTAGTCCGCTACTTGCGTACGCAACGCATTCTCCACTACGTCGCACCTGACTCCTTCACAGGTGAAATCATCGTAGAAGTTTCCACTGATTCAGATTGGGCATCGCTACAGAGCCTCACTGAATGGAGAAGCAGCTCAGGCATCTTGGTAGAGTTGTGTGGAATTGCTATCCAGTGGAAGTGTAGAACTCAAGATACAGTCGCTACTTCTGTGTCTGAAGCTGAGTTATACGGGATGAGTGAAGGAGCTAAAATGGGTCTAGTTTACAGAAACCTACTTTCTGTAACGCCATTAAAAGAGTTTCTAATGCGTTTTGGATTCTCTCTGCAAAGAACCCTGAAACAGTTCGGGGACAATCGGGGCGCCATAAAACATGTTACAGGCAGTCAGCCAGTTGCTCGCCTGAAGCATATAGTTATACGTAGTGCGTATATCAAAGAGCTGATCAATACGGGAGAAGTGCAAGTCTTCTTCCTTGAATCTGCTAAAAATCGAAGTAACGTCTTAAGTAAGATTTGTCGTGGTATTGAGTTTAAACGTGGACTATTACAATTAAAACTCCTCCAGGTTGAAGCTATTGATGCGGAAGCCGAATAAGCTGCCGCGAAAAGGAAAAACAGGAAAGGCGGAGAAGGATAGTACTAGTAGTAAGAGTAACCGTGTACGAAACGAACAATGGGAGTTATCTGGTTGAACAAAATGAAGAATTAACATAAATGCACTGAAGTAAAAAATTAGAATAAGAAAGTGAAAGTACTCAGGTGTTGAGTAGTAGAAAAGTGAAAAAAGGTAAAGGTTGAAAGAAAGAACTAATTAACGAAAGTATTGAACGTCTCAGCGATTAAGTCAAGCATTTAAGTAGTTGAAGAAGTGAAAAGGAAGAACAGAATAAATAAGAAAGTAAAAACGGCCGTCCTGCAATCATAAAGTCAAAGATTTCCATAAGCGAAGCAAGTAAGTAACTCGAGCAATATCATCCATTTTCCAAGTATTAAAAATTAAGCTTTCAAGCATATCAGTGCTAAAAGTCAAGAAAAAAGTAATTAAATATTTTCCAACGTTCTCAGGGCCGAACAGAGTAGGAGGGGATGCATGGCGACAAAGTCTATCATCTCTGTCCGAGTGAATGAGAAAGGTACTCTGTTCGCCCACAAAGAGAACGAGAACCGAAAAGGTTAAGAATATGAAAGTGGAGAGATTTGAGAAATAGGAGCGTGCCCAAATATGGCACGACTCCAATCAATAAACTCCTACAATGACAGCACTGAAATCATAGACCGACCAACCTAACCGTGTGCAGGGCCGGCCTTTGAGTCAAGTGATAGAGTTACCAAATAACCACAACCGTCCCGGGATATAGTTGCGAAGTATTTAGTGTTCTCCTTATACCGCAGAGATGACGAGACTCCTTCAGGCGGCTCTTTTGAGGCGACCTCTTCGACCGTAGTGTGATCGACAGTAATTGGCTTCCCTTTTATGGTTTCCCGGGGTCTCCACAAAGTGGCTTCGTCACCGGAGTTAGTCCGACCGCGTTGCAACTTGACTTTCCCACCCTTCGGACCTTTTTGCTCCTCCTGGAACTGAAGGTAGTTCGGAGGGAGTGCCATTGTCCCCGCTGGGCAGTTTTTGTGGGAGTTGGCCTTGTGCCGGCTGCCATTTGGCTACTCCTAACGCAAAAAAAAAAAAAATCTACTGTGATCACGAATGGTCATATCAGGAGCACACACATGACATCCATTTGGTGATGTCAAGATCGATGCTTCCTTTATGATCGTAGACTCGTGAAATCAAGTCGCGTATCTTCTGTAGTTTTGCAAAACTAGTCTCTGCATCGGTCTGGAATCGGTCTACGGATACTAGGTTTGCATTAGTATCGAGAGAAATGTCGCGTCTTCGCTGGACCTTCTTATCGGTTTAGTAGATATCCTGGTGACATATGTCTATGTGAATTCTGCAATTCATTGAGACATGTTCAGCGAAATTTCTGTCACTTTGATTCTGTCTGGCTCCATGGCTCCTGAAATCAAGCCAGAAATCTTCTAACTCTAATTCTATTTCCCCCTCCCATGGATGTTCGTGATGCTTCCGTGCCTATTCCAGAGTGCGGGTCATGTCGTTCAATTTTTTTGATGTTTGACATTGATTGATGGCCGGCTCCAATAAGTTCAAGAATACATATCTTTCCTTCGAGATAGATGAAGTTGTAGCAGCCTGTCTGAATCTTATACACTAGTGGGATTCTGTGGTATGAGCTTTCTTAGCCACCATCCATCTGCCAAACTGACACTCATAGAAGTAGTTGTTTGTGAGTTGAGACGGAGAAAGGGGTGGTCCGTCATACAAAGGCAGAAGTTGTGCCTACGCAGCGGGGTGCAAGTTAGGTGGTAAAAGAGATGTAAGAACAGATTCATTCTAGGTGGTCTGTTGTATAGGGTAAGTAATTATTTCGTCTGATCTAAGAGTAGTACAAGAAGAATACAGGTTTTGCTCCTGGAGTCAATCGCAGGAGCTGCTTCGACGCCGAAGATGGAAATAATTGAGGACGACAAGGCACCGCCGGCCTCGCAGTGTAGCGGAGCAGCCGTTAAAACACACACGAAGGTGGGGGTAGTTGGATCCCGCGATAGTGCTCACTTTCTTTTAGGAGCGGGCGCCCCATTCGTGCGTGTCGCAACGCGTCCGCGCAACAGCGTCGGTAGCTCGAAGCGGTATCGTCCCGCCGACAAAAAGCCACGCACGGGACCTCGTGGTAGTGAATTAGGGCTGGGACCTTTTCCAAGCGACTTGAGCGGAGGTGGAGCAAATCGTGACAAGGAGCTGACTGGCCAAGCGAACGCTCCAGGAGAACAAGGAGACGTCTCCAGCGCTCCGGTAGCGGCTCAACAAGCACCGTCGAGCGTCTCCGTGAGTAAAGCTGTCATCCATAACAATAGAGGGCAATCAACATCAACGAGAAAGCACGTGTTTCAGTTTCCTGTGATCACGGCTGCAGATGTGGTTCGCGCTCAAGCAGCGCAAAACAAACGCCAGTTGGGCACTGAGTACCCGGAGGACGAGGTCTTTCCACCCAGAGATGACAACAACGAGGAGAACATGCGATCGTGGGATGCCGCGTTGGCGAAATACACACGCTTTTCAACTGCAGCTCCTGCACCCTCAGCACGTGTTCCTGCAGCTGGTCAGCAAGAACTGACTCGCGGGGATGAAACGACTGGCAGAAAAATTGCTGCAGAACATCGCGGGAGCGCTGAGGATCCTCAAACGAACTTGAACATGGCTACGCTTGAAGTAGACCACGAACATGAAGAGGACCACGGAGCTCTTCATGTTGTCCAACATGAGGAAACTGCAGTCATGACGACTGGCTCTTGGTTGTCTGCAGCGGGAGGACCGGCAGACGAGAATGGCGCTAATGTTATTCAACGTGCGGCGAAGCCACAAATTGGCGATGCGTCTTCAACGACGCGTGCGCACTCTGGTGAGACGGCGTCGCGGACGCTTTCTGGGGAGAAGACATCGCGAAGAAACTCTGATCCAACGATGGTTCCAGAAGATGCAGCGAGTTCCGTCGCTTCCTCGAATCTTGGAGAGCAGTACATGTCAACGCTACACGACTTTCAACCTCCTGGTGCGCCGGCCAAGCGCAAGGCTCAGGCGGCCGTGATCAGCAGCCGCAGGAGCAAAGACGTCGCCCCGGGGGGTGGTGGAGTGCCGAACGGAGAAGAACCTGGGGCTCTCTTGCGACTAGCGTCTAAGTCCTCTCCCGCAGTTTTTGCTGAGCAGTCCCCGAAGCAACATTCTAGCAATACGGACCGCAGGTTGGGGGATTCAGCGCACAACGGGCTCGGCGAGGAGGACGCGGAGGAACCGGATCATATGGAGCTTCTTCCGCCTCTACCGGAGGATGCAGGTAGCAGTGCTCGTGACGCAAATCATGCTATTGCCGATCCTCGTGCGACCTTCGTGAGCGAGGCAGCACTTCATCTTGGTGAAGCGTGTGCTGGTTGTTCAATCTACCCACATGCTGATGGACGCGGTAGTGACGTGAAGCAAGCGTCGGCTATGATGTCGATGCGCGAAGCGGCAACCATCTCAACATCCTCGTTCGAAGAGATGATGGGACTGCCTGGGTACACGCCGTCGGACGCGGTAAACGACCACTCAACAAGCACATGCCACCGTCTTTGTGATGATGAGGACTTACGTCTACTCCAGGGTCTAGGAACGGGAGAGTATGTGTCGGTCGAGGAAGAGCGCCGAAGCTCGACAATCGGATTGCGTCTGGGCATGGGGGCGGACGACGAAGATACAGGACTAGCACTTCCAAGCAACACATTCTACCGCCCGGCAGCGCACCTCTCGAATAATAACGGAGTCTTGGTTCGGAGCACGAGTCTGGTCTGCAACGGTGTAAGCCCGGCTGATGTTGTGGGAACGACCCTCCTAGAACAGCCACTGGATCACGACAGGACTCGGTCTGGGCGATTGAGCGGTACAACATACGCGTCAGCCGAAGTTTTCGGGAATGATCCTGTGCGCGCGGGATTGACACCACCGCAAACGCCTGCAAATATGATTTCTCCGTTTTTTGGTGCCTCAGGGCATCGCTCGCTGCAACTGATGAGTTCGGGTCATCGTGGTGCCGAGCAACAGCACGCGGGTTTGGAATTTGGCAGGTCGATGCGGCGCATTCCGGGAAACGCAGCTAGCGGCCGTCGCATCATCTTGGTTACCCCGACAACGCCGTCTGCACCGAATGCCTTTGGGGACGCTGGTACACAGCAGCGACAAGGCGGCGCAGCCTGCGAGAGGATAGATGAAGACGTGGTGGCAGGCGTGCCCGGCGCTGTGTCGCGGGGCACTTCATTTTCGTGCGCGTTGAATCCAGCTGACGGATTGCCTCCACGCCCGATGTTTGGACTCGGAAGTGCTTTGGATGAGAAATCCTCCAGCGTCGGTTCGAACTCGGCGTTCGTTGAGCAACTCCCCGCCAATGGGGCACAGCGATTCGACATGTATTTTCAAAATAGCGCTGAGATATCAGGAGAGGAGCATGGCGGTGGACACGCGGACGAGCAACAAAAAGGAGAACAGCTGATCGGAGCTGTGCAACAAGCCGCAAACTGCGGCTCAATCGGAGGAGCCTGTGCTGCAAACTCATCGCGACCTGCACACCGGGTTTTTGATACACCTCCCGATAGCCACCAGCGCAGATCCTCACAAAGCTGTCTTTTTCGTCCGTCCTCGCGGGTTTCGTCCGGCGAACTTGCACGCAGCGCCAACGGGGGTCAGGTGAATGTGATCTTGGCTGGGGGACACCACGACGTAAGTTTCGGAGCAGGAGGTGCTGAGAGCGTTGTCGGCGGTCGAAGCGTCGCAAGCAGTTGCGGAGGACCGCCTTCTTCCTCCATCGAAAGTTCGGTAGAACTTCCATCTTGTGATGGTGCAAACGTCATCACTTCTCCAGTTCGCAGCATGCTGGCATGTGCGGAGCGAGCGCAGGAAAGGAGTTCTCATCGCGGTTTCGCTGCAGGGGATGGCCTCCACAGGTCGAGCAGCACTGGTGGAGTAGCACAACAAGGGCATTACAGTATGGTGAGTAGCACGACAGGAGGCAATGCAGGGCAGCCCGAAGAAGATTGCGATCGCGGTTTTGTACCAGCTCCACCCGCTTTTCGAGTCTTTGGTTCGTCCTCCGGTGAAGGCAGAGTCCAGTATAGCCGGCGCAGTGCAGCACTCCCCTTGTCGGCCGACCGGCGTTGTCGTCGAAGTTTTCTGTCAGCAGATCGGCGCTCAGCGGAAAAGCAAAGCGATGGCAGCTACGGTGAGCAGGAGGACCGCAACGTCTTTGACATTTTTGAAGACCATCCTCCCCAAGAAGATGCCTGGTCAGAGCATCTCTCGGACGACGAGGAGGAGAGTTATGATCAGCTTTTATCCATCCTTCGCGGCATCTTGGTCTCCTTTCCCCCTGTATTCCCATGAAATACGATGGAAATGGGGTCGAGATGAGGGGGCCGAGATGAATAAAAGGAGACTCTAAGAGAGGGTTCAAAGAGCGGCTCGCCGCACTCCAACGGCTGCTCACCGCAACGCAGCGCGTAGTAGGAATCCGACTCATCATGTTGATAAGCACACCAGAGGATCGGGGGACAGATGTCAGCCTGATCACGTTGTAGCTGTCACGGACGAGTTTGGGAGGATGATTGATCACGGCAAGACGCACAATGGAGAGGACGACTTCGCGAACATGCGTAGTGCGGGTCGCGCTGCTGAAACTCCGCAACAAAAAAAAAAAGAATTGCGCAGATACGAGAAAGATGGAGAAATGCGGAAACCCCGCAAACAGCCGACGATTCTGTCAATGCTCGAGTTGAATCCAGACCAAATTTTACGTGGATATTCGCAGCCGCAACCGGGAATGAGATTGCCAACGCAGAACACGAGCTGCGCCTCATCATCGCGCAGCCACGCGCGGCATCAGAGACGTCCAGAGCCAAGGCTCTACGACAATTGGCCTATCAATGCATCAAATCGCCATTAAATTCAGACTTTCATACCTCGTGGATACTTTTTGCGGAGTTTCGCATCCAACTCTATCCTGCCAGTCTCACAGTAGGGTACTGCGACGATGCGACCCCGATCATGGGTCTACTCATACAAGCTCGTGCTTGAACCGAACTACTTACATACTTTTTATTGGTCACATCTATCGACTCAGATCTTTGCAGGTTACGAGTCTGGTGACGCCTCGTGCCGATATTGCTGAGCAAACATTGTCCGAACAAAATATCATACTGTGCAACGCAATCGCACTAAAATGAGAACTCCATTTGATAGAACAATCAAGGACGCAGGGACGTTGATTCTGTTATATTCAATTTGAGCTCCTTTGACTACAACTGCAAATGAACAATTAAGACCTGCCGAATCCTAACATGGATGCGACTTGTTGCTACCTACTTCCATCAATACGACCTCTACTAGAACTCACCGCTTCTACTTAAATCTATGGGATTCCGTTCCTGCCCTCGTAAGGACCCAAGATGTCCCACATCTCTCGTTTATTCTCCTACTTGTAACTTCCGTGTGTAGTAATATTTGTATGCCTCCGTCTGACGAGGACCTCCCGAAACTGCAAGGATTGTGGTGTAGTTACCTCTTTGTATACATATTTACAGAGCAACAAAAGGAGTGCTGTGCAGCTGTCAGCGTGCAGATCCAATGTTGAAGCTATGCACGAGTGGTCCTACAATTTATCAGTGGTGATAAAAACTAAAATGAAGCACTCACACAACGCTTCTACCTTGTTAGGCTCATCTTCGAGTACAATTATATCAACAGATTCATTCCGTAGTAGCCGTTTGCCACCTTATCTTGAATAACATCATATAGAAAAACATTAACATAGCATATTTATTACCTACCATTCTTACCCCAGTAAGAAAGGTGGAATCGTCATCAATGAATATAGATGAACAGGTAGAATATAATAGATTCTGATGTAAAAATCTCGTAGAAGCTGCCCGTAGATGAAAATTTCCGTAGTAGAAAACAAAGATTAAAATGAAGTCTGTTTGTCTCTTATGCATACATAGGATCATAAGCCGCACATAATTCATTGCCGCCATACCTTCATATGCCCATGACATTCATACATCCATGCGACACAGAAGAAATACCTGAGCACCACCACGAAGAGGCTTACAGCAAGGTGCGGACTGTTCAGCGGCTCTTCAATTGTGTAGCGCGCTTGTGTAAGAGTCTGAGAAAATCCTGGATGGTTGTAGTCTCCGCAGACTTTCTTTGTCCGCTAAGCAGCACAGCGTAATACAGGCGCTCGTGTGAGTCCATCAATCACCAACTGCATTACCCATCTACCACCCGCACCAAGACTCATCGCAATCGAAATATATGTTGCCACTGCTGAAGTTATCTTCTGATGTCAACCTGCTGTTGCGATCAGAGAATCTCAGCTTTCTGCCGTTGCGGCCTACTCTGGCGCCAGTATTTTCCAACATTGTGGTTCATGCCCGCCTTCTATCTCTAGCAGGAAAATAAACCAGTCGTTGAAAATATGATTGTCTGCGCTTGAGTTGAGTCTGAGTTAGTAATATCACCGATCATCCACCTGTTTTACTCTTGAGTGAACATGGATCTGTTTGTTTTGAGAGATGAAAAGGCCTACACCTTCATGAATGGCGTGTCAAAGAGTCCAGTGAATATGTGAGATCGAAAGCATGTTCTAGGATTGCAACAGAGAGTTGCCTGCTAATTGCGATCTGTCCCGAGAAGACCAAAAAGTTTCGGCTTAGAGGCAGCGGATGTGAATCTTCTGTGATCAACAGGAGAGCCTTGTCTGTATTGAGCGACGGCCCATTTATTGATGTCATCGCGTCTATTGCTGATGCTTGCTTGATAAGTAATTCAAAAAAAATGAGTGCTGTTTTCCTTCTATCCACAGCATTCCCATTTTCCTCTTACCTTTGATAATTAATGATCTTCGTTCCCTTTTCACCCTTGAGTTTGTTTTTATCCTTCGCATTGTCGATGTTTTGAGCAGTATCTTATAGACTCAGCAATGCTATAGTTCCATTTCGTTGTTGTATCCAAGTCGTGAAGATTTCGTCTCTTCCCTGAAGATTCAATATTTATATATTGCTAGTATAATTCGTGAGGAATCTGCATTATACAACATGAGTGCTTCCAATGAGCAACAGCATGTTTCTGCGGAGGGGTCCGCTGGGGAGGAGGCTCCGAAAGTGGAGAGGAAAGTCGTGGCGCCGGACAGAAAGACCTTGCGAATGTTGGAGAGCGGCGCAACGCTGAACACGGTCTCCAGTGCTGCAATTGGGAAAACCGTGGAAGTGAAGAAAAGTGACAAGAAGGAAGTGGAATACCGGAAAATCCGAAATTATTTGAACATTGCAACAAATCACGAGCGAAAGAAAAATGCGAAACGCCTCAAGCTGTTGGAGCACCAGGAGAGCAAAGGTGGCCTGCACACGACCATGTCTGTTTTGGGCGACATGAAGAAGTCTAAGAAATTAACGGCGCAGGGAACCAACATGCTCTCGCGGGTTGCGAGACTCGGCGGAGCAGGCCCGGAGAGTCCAGAGGCAGACGGAGGCGCGGGACAAGACGCTGACGGAAAAACCGTGGATGGTCCGGACCCGCAATGCGATCCGGCGACCTACGACGATACCGAACGCCAGGAGTTGCTAGCCGCGACGCAGGCAGCTTTTGACCAGGACGAAATCCTAAAGCGTCTCCAGGCAGGTCAGAACAAGCTGCAAGACGAGTACGTGGTCGTCACGGCACAGGCAGTAGTGGACCACGCCTGTGCGCCCCTTCTGCGCAAGCCACGCAACATGGATCAGTATCTGGAAGGAGCCACCGCGCTGATTGAGGAGATTCGCCATGCCCAATTGCCCCGGCTGCCGCAACCCAAACTTCCAGCCATCAAAATCAACGGCCGTTCTGCGAGAAGGAGCGAGCTTGAGCAAGCTCAGAACAAGGGTTTTGTGAACAACGGTCCTTTCAGTGGGCCGCCGTATTCGCCGAGCCCGGGTGTCTCGCTGGTTTCGTTGAACATTCCGTCGTTGGGCCGCGTGAGCAAGTCGCACGCGATGGCGGCTGCGTGCTCTCCAATCGGCAACACGGTCCGCTCGGCGGAAGCGCATGGCCAGCACGTTCGCTTCGACCTGGAGCCTCATAGGTTTCGGCTCGACGTGGAGATTGGATACTTCACGAAGATGGCGCCTCCTTTGCACCGCTCACGAAGTCACGGCCGCATGGTGTTCGCAGCGTTCGACCCGTCCAAGAATATTCAGTGCGTGCTGAAGACCGAGCCAGCGGGCCTGCGCCGCGAGGATTCCGCGCTGCGCCGCGAGGCGCAGATTCTGGCCAAGTTGCAGGAGGACGAGGACCAACCGGGCATCCCGTATGTGTTCGCCATGGGGATCAGTATGAGTTGCAAGAAGTACATGATTGTTATGGAGCAGCTGGGACCGAATATCGAACACTTGTTCTACTATGAGATTGACGGGAAAAAGCCAAGCGGTTACTTCGACTTCAAGACCGTGCTCTTGATAGCCGTGCAGGCTTTGCGGGCCATCGCCTATGTTCACAAGTGCGGCTTCATCCACCGAAGCATCAAACCTTCAAATTTCGCAGTCGGCCAAGTGAACAACCAGTATAATCGTAAGATTATCTACCTACTGGACTACGGCTGGGCGAAGGACCTCTCCTTCATTCAGGCACAGCAGAAAATTACCGACATCAGTGAGGACATCAAGATGGATGCGGTATTATCTCTTTCAGGCTAATGAAAATATATAACATAAACGTGGCGGAGTAGCCTAATGAAGCAACAGGAATAGTGTGAATATCTTCTCATTCAACTTTTGAATTTGTTTTCAGAATTTGTTAGCCGCTACACCATCCTTTTTCATCTTTCTGTTTTGATTTTCGTAACTGTCTGAAAATAGCAGCAGCTGTTTCAAAAATGAAATTAATACAGCTCGACCAGAGACGCAGCGTCGGGAGCGCCGCTGCTTCAGCTGCAGGAGGGGTTGTTGAGGATGTGCATCCGAGTTCGAAGCCCTCATCGGACACTGGGGATCATACTGGCCATGGGACCCGAAGCAACACCACTGGCGACAGCAGCACTGAAGTCGGGGACGCCGAGAGCTCGGTGGAAGCCGTCGAGGTGCAGGATTTAGCAGACTGGCGGCAGTACCGTGAAACCGAGAAACGGACGAAAAACAGCTTTCACGCGGACGATGACTTGGTTGCGGTGACTAAGCACTTGCCCCACGACAACCAAGTATTGTTCTCGTCTCCGCAGTGCCATCGCAACATGCTCCACGCCACTTGGCGGGACGACTACATGTCTCTCGGCTACATGTTAACCTGGCTATTGCGTGGAGGAAACCTGCCTTGGTCCGACCTGATCTCAGTGGAGAACCTATTTCCGAAGCCAGAACGGTCCGTGAAACGCCGGACGCGGCGTGAGAAAAGCATCTACAGGCGTCCTGAAGACCCAAGACTCAGTCGAGTCGTTACTCCGGAGGGACAAGAGACACCCGATGACACAGATGGTACTAGTAGTTTATTTTACAGAGGAGCCAGGAACTACAGGATCTCAATCACATATGCAGCGTCTTTCTGAATTTTTCATTAAGTAGAATATCGACTTGATCAGAAACCATTTGAAAGAACTGTTAAGTTACGCTATTGGTTGTTGAATCTTCATATCGTTTTCGGTCATGACGTAACTTGTTACAACAAAAACAATTACTACAGACGCAAGCGTGTTGGGCTTATTGGACGATTCAGTCGCGCGCAACCTTGGTGACCCGCGCATCTCCGATAGCGGTTCGTACATTACACCGTCAGATGCTTTGTTCTATTCGGACAGCCCCCAGCAGCATCCGCATTCTGGAGGCGCACCCGTAATGGACTGGCAAAACGCTGACGCTCTTTCGCAGCATCAAGCACCGGCGGGGCTGGCCGCGCCCGGCGCTGAGGACCTGAGCATTATTGCGTTGCAGCGCAACGCGACGGTTACAATTCATGGTCGCCAAGTGGACTTGGACCCTGCATATAACGTGGCGAAAACTAACTACGTGAGCAACATAAGCCAGATGCTCAGTGGGCCCTTGGGCACCAGCGTCGTGGCGATCACCAACGCCATTTGCCGCGAAAAGAACGCGCACCACGTGGAGGAGATGGCGCCGGCCTACAGTGTGGACGAGTTGCCGCTGGTTTTGCCCAAGAACCTCCGACACGCCACTGCGGTCGTCCCGGCCGCAAGCTACACAGATTTGGTCACGCCAGCCGATGAGCCGCTCAGAACTGATTTAGACGAGGACTTCCTCTTCGATCGCAAGCAGCAGTACACGTTAACCTTGTTGACCAGAAAGCGCGTCTTGGACCAACTCGAAAAGGCTAAAAGGGAGATTCCCGCCACCACGGTTGTCGCCGGCGTCCCGTCCCGCCATTTCCGGACGAACTTAGTGGAATTCATGAACTACGCCTATGAGGGCCGCGGTGTGGCACGACTCTTTCGAATGGGCGCCGGGGACGAGGAGGACGCGGACGGTGTAGAAAAGCCGAGGCTCGCGACTTGGAAGCAGGAACTAGCGATCATAAACCTACCAACCAACGGAAACACATACCACGCGGAAAAACACGTACAACCTACAACAAGGACACTACTTATATATTCATCATAGCATTAACATTATGTTCAACATCTTCAGACGAATTAGAAGAACCAACTCAGAGAAGATTCAGGGAAGTTGAGGCCATTCTCGAAACGACTAGCATTGTTGTCAATATTGCAAATTCTCTTTCAGAATCAGATGACTCTCACTTATTTGTCAATGTTTGACTTCTTTTGATTTATCTAAGTACAGCTTGTTACCACAAGAAACATTATAGCATATCTATTAACTACCATATCAACCATTCATATCAACCTTACTACTCTACTTCCAGGCTTTCGACGTGAATGTCCGGGTGAAGCACGATATTGATCGGCTAGAGAAATACTTTCTTGAGATTGCGGAGAAAGAAGGCTGCAATCTTGCTGAACCCGGCTTCTGTTGGGACGACGACTACTATGACGAACAGGATAAGAAACTACCAGGTACTTGTCGTTGTCTATTTTTGATGAGAAATACGTAAGTTTAAGTACATGATCAATGCTTCTGTTTGGCTACTTTGGGTGTCGTATTATAGTTGTATTTGCTAAAGATGTTTTTATTCGTAAATGGCATTTGGTGCAACTTCATGGGATGTTTCTGGGTGCTGGTCATGTAATGCTACGTACTTCGAAAACAAAACTCGCGAAACTAGCTGGTCATCTATCTCTCTTATTAATAAATACACTTTTCTCCCCAACTCCAGCCGCTTTGTTGAAGGAGATGCGGCGCACTGTTGGGGCGCAGAAGTTCCCGCAGTTTGTACAGCGTGCTAGTGTGTCGCGTCACGACGAGTTGCACGAACGTACTCACCAAATTCTGAAGTGGGAGGATCGGAATGAGGCTACCGAGGTAGCGGAATTCCAGCGCTGGAGTCGACTTACAGCGAATAACGCAAAGGCGAAAGCGGTTGTGGTCACCACCAGCTTGAGGAAAGAGGCAACTCTGCGTCGTCTACCCACCATCGTGCCGCAAGGGCGCCGCGTCAAGGAGCACGACATGGGATCCTTCAAATCCTCCTTGAAAGTACCACACGAACTGAGAGCGCCGCCACCAGAAGCAGCAGCATTGGCCTGAATTCAACTACGCTCCTGTCAGTTTTTTACCTATAATATATTACTTAGATAGAACAATTACACTTGCCTAGTACTTTTCGTCTTGAATACACAAATCCTGAACAACAGTTGCACTCGGTTCACTAACATATGAGTAATTTTAGTAAAATTTGACCAAACCACAACCCAAAAGAATAGAGAGAGCAACACGATTGTTGTACAGATAATTAGCGACTGCTTACTCATGATACTATCGATATTTTTGATAATGATCAAAACCACAATTAGCGAAAAGCACCGAATCTGAATAACTAATAGTTTTATCAATAGCGAACTAACACTGGATATCGTCTAAAATGTAACTGAACACTTTTACTTCATCTGTATCGTGACTACTTGCATCGGTGTGCAAATAGAATTCATCTGCTGTGGTTCGCTGAACAATGAATGATCGTCTAGAAATGGAAAATGAATCATTCCGATGAAAAAATTTACTTTAGCCTACTATCTTGTGTAGGTTCGTCTTCGTAGTTGAGCTAATTAGTAATATCGATTTGCTTTCAACACATCATAATTTCCTGCGAACACTTTCTCTGCTGACTACTTGAGATGCAGACGCAGACGATAAAATGGTAGTTGCACAAGGAATTACTATTCGAAAATATGGTCGTCATCATCATCAAGCTGAGTATTTCAGGTTGAGACCCGCAGAAACGATGGACAAATCATGGACGACGATCACTGGATGTAAAGTTGGGCGGCACTCCTACTCAGTGAACACGAAACAAGAGAGCTCTTCGTTCGACTGTCCTCTGTTGAGCAGAAAGCAATCTGTATTGCTGAGAAGTGAAGGTAGAAATACAAATATTTTACTGATAGGTATCAACCAAGAGCAAAAATCTGTCTGCTCTCAGGAGAGAAAGACGTGGCAGCAGTTTTTAGCTACTTATCTGTTCTGCGAGCGATTCTTTGTCTCTGTTGCAGCTTGGCCGATCTAACATGTCTTTTTTATGAAAGATCACGTCGGCTGCTCACCAGAGGCGAATGGCAGAGCAGGCGTCTATAATGTTACGACCTTTGGAAGTTGTGCTACTGCAACGGCTGCAAGTTTTCAGGCACTTTAACATTGGATCATCATCTGGTTTGCGATTTTCATGATTATCTAACTTCTACATGAAAATGATCTATCTCTATGAATCAGGCTGCATTTCGACTCTGGAAAGTCCCTTCTCATTTTATTGCTCTCCCACGCAGGCGAGTTTTGCTTTTCTTATCTATGACGCGTTGTAATGTAATCGTGGGAACCGGAACGTTCTACTTTTGTTTTGGCGAATGACCTTCAATATTGGGCCCAATTAGTTTCCGTGTGTGAGAGTAATCAAAATTTCTATACTGGCTTTTTAGTCACCACCGCTACAGTTGTAAAATATTTCCGTGTGGCCCTGGGATTCCGACTCATCTAGCCTTCGTCTTTGTGCGCAGTTACAATTGGAGTACTCAACAATTTCTTAGTTGGTACCACTTATGTTTATTATTTCCTTGATGCAAGCGAAGATTTACAGTTTGGTCGACGGTATCCTAGTTTATTTGTAGAATTCCCTTAGTTGTGATTGAACAAGATGCCAAAGGTGTTCTGTAGTAAGTGCGAGACGCAGATCAAAGGGAGGTACTTCCAGGGCAAAGACGGCACGCCACTGTGTCAAGGTTGCGCAGAGGCTGGGGCTGGTTCGTGCATGATGTGCGGCGAAACTATGCTTGGGAGAAAGGGCCTGAAGATTGCTGGAAAGCCGGTGCATAAAGAGTGCTTCAAGTGCGCAGACTGCGGAGAAGCGATCGGACCATTAGGCTTTCAGATGAAAGCGAATCTCGTGGTGCATACCCCAAGAATGGAACTCTTCTCCGATAAAGACCTTGTTTGTGCCGACTGCGCCAAGACATTTAGAAAAGCCGAGAAGCAATTAGCCCAGATTCTAGGTTTGATTACGAACCGGGAAGAAAAACAAGTATAAATTTTGATATGCCAAACAAGTGTTTAACTTTTGGTACGCCTCTCTTTAGCTGCTAAAATTCACACCATTGTAAAGTCATGCACCAACATTTACTCGGGGACTACTTTCATATATTACTCGCGGATTCTAGTGGTGGAAGGCCTCAAAGCTTGGCGCCTTCCTCCCCTTGGGCCTCTCAGCGTGTTCCTAAGGGCCACGGTCGCAAGAGCAAGCAAGCCGATGACCAAGGGCCCGGAGGGTTCACGGCTCAGGGAGTCCAGCCCCTCGCCTTTTGCCGTCTTCGGGGGCCTTCCGCTGCCGGGGCACTGCTCCCATCTAACCCGTCAAGTCTGTAGGGTACATGCAAACGAGAAGGAGGCAGCGAGCCCCTTGGTCCCCCTTAAGGCCTTCCACCTACTTCCCCGGCCTCCAGGGGACACAAAGCCCGGCCTTCCACCTACTTCTTAGGCCTCCAGGGGACACAAAGCGCCTGGAAGGGACCGGGGATGGCCCCTTGGCGCCCTTTTGCGGCCTTCCTCCCCCGGCAGACGCCTCAAAAAGGGGGCCAGGGCGCCCGGCCCTGCCCCCCCGCGCCCTGGAACATATATAATATTCATTTGCCTCTGGAACAGCATGGTCACTGTTAGTTGGATTTATTTCCTGCCTAATACAAACTACTTCTCCGTTTTTATGACTTTAACTACGTGGGCGTGCGTCCTTGTCCGACAAATGGTCGATATTCTTCTTTGACAAATGGCCTTGTGCTGGCTGCCATTTGGCTTCTCCGCTGATCACGAATGGTCATATCACGAGCACACACATGACATTCCCCTTACAACAGAAGTACTTAAAAGGCAAAGTCTCCTATCGTGGTCATAACTGTAAAAATCCATGACTTAATCAGATATTCTAATTCTACTGTAAATGTGTGTGCCACGACGCAGGCTTTGTGAGTGTGTAGTGTTACAAGCTGGCTCTGCATTCGTCAGCTTACGTTTTATATGATTCATCCATTTATTGTATCTATAAGGTCTCAGACGAGCCAGAGAAGAGGCAGCAAGAGCCAGGAGACGGCTCGCCACCGCTGGAAACAACACAAACAGAAGTAGCAGAGGGCCCAATGGACAAGCAAGAGGAGTCGCCTCGCCCAGAAAAGAAGAACAAGAAGTCAAGATCCTCAATGACATCTGCTCATGTGGAAGTGGAAGAGGTCCAGAACCAAAAGAAAGAGCTGGAAGCTCCGGGAGGTGGGTCACCGCCCGAGAAAGCGAAGCCAGTAGAGGAGGCGTCAGCACCAAGTATAGATGATAGGCAAGAACCTTCTGCTACCTCTGAGAAGCGTAAAAAGAAGTCAAGGTCCTCGAGGGCATCTGCTGATATGGAAGTGGAAGAGGTCCAGAACCAAAAGAAAGAGCCGGAAGCTCCGGGAGGTGGGTCACCGCCCGAGAAAGCGAAGCCAGTAGAGGAGGCGTCAGCACCAAGTATAGATGATAGGCAAGAACCTTCTGCTACCTCTGAGAAGCGTAAAAAGAAGTCAAGGTCCTCGAGGGCATCTGCTGATATGGAAGTGGAAGAGGTCCAGAACCAAAAGAAAGAGCCGGAAGATCCGGGAGGTGAGTTACCGCCCGAGAAAGCGAAGCCAGTAGAGGAGGCGTCAGCACCCATTATAGATGATAGGCAAGAACCTTCTGCTACCTCTGAGAAGCGTAAAAAGAAGTCAAGGTCCTCGAGGGCATCTGCTGAGCCTAAAGTCGAAGAGGTAGTCACGGATCAGGTGGCTCCCTTGTCATCGGATGCGGGTGCAGACGGCGTCGTTGAGCAGCTCGAAGAGCCGAAAAGAGCTGGTAACGAGGATGAAGTGAAGAGATCCGAGGAGAAGGCAGATCAATATCAGCCTGCGGCGCTCTCCTCGGAAACCGGTGATGCGATCGTGGTGTCGGGCCTAATACCAGAAACGCCACCGCAGGACCTTCCAGCACTTCCCGAGCAACAAGTTGAAGAAGGTAGGCCAGGAGTTGGGCCAGATCCGTCCGACATGCCGCCGGATAGTAGTCGGAGCAATAATTTCGTAGCTGGTGATCAATTTCAACCTTCGGCGCCCCTCTCGGAGGCAGGATCATTTTCCAACTTGAGTTTAGTGCCAGACACACCGCGGCACGACGCGCCGCCCGTCCCGCGAATTCATGCGGACCACGTAGGCTCAGACGGTAAGCCCTTCGATGACCCACTTGTGCAGGCGGCAACACGTGGAAGCACTGCACTAGCAGCAATGCCGGGTCACTCCGTTCCCGCAACACCGCGTGGAGTAGAGGACACCCCTCGCCTCCCAGCCGAGGACCTCGAAACCTATTTCCAGCGCGCGAGCGCTGCCTTGCAACAGAGTAGAGCGCAAGCGTCAGCGGAGCAAGATGAAGACAAGGGGGAAGACTATATTGAAGAAAATGACCCTTCGATTTGCGCAGTCTGTCAAGAAAAATTGCGGGAAGGCGACGCGGTTTGCTCTTTGGCCAGTGGTGCGCGCTTTCACGATGCGTGTTTTAAGTGCAACGTTTGCAACGAACCCATCACGACAGAGAACTTTGTCCGCGATCGCTCGGCCCGGACCATAACCTGCGGCAATTGCCTACCGAAGTGCCCGCACTGCGGGGAGACCGTAAGCGTATTTGACAAGTCAGTGAGTGCGCCCGACGGCACGCAGTTTCATGCCGAGTGTCTCCGCTGCGACCGGTGCAAGGCATCCTTGCTGGAGGGCTTCTTTCACCACCCGCACGACGCGAAAACAGTTCTGTGCGTGCAGTGCTACTCGGATGTCGTGGTCGACACAGAGAACGACAAGCACGAGGCTGACGAGGACGAGCTGCATGCCACAGCTCGCCACGCGGAGCTCACCTCCGGTTGTTGCTGGTCCGAGGGCTTGAAGGGAAACTCGTTTGAGGCACTGAATGCGTTCGATGATAGAGACAAGCGAGACCTGCTGCTAAAAACGCACAAATCTAGGGGCTCGCGGAAGTCTACAAAAGCATTAGGTCACTATGGACAGCCCGGCGAGGAGCCAACAGCTGGTGAATATGTTCCACTAACGCGACCCATTGTTGTTTGCCTTGACGAAAACACAGAAAGTGGGGGGCAGGAGCACTTGCCCACCATATCGATTTCTGCGGCCGACGCGACCGGAAGCACCAATCCTACCTTGGCAGAGCGTGCGGGAATCAACCTGTCTTACTTCCTATCTGCGTGCAAATATCTTGCCGAAAACGAGGACCGCGAACCCGTCTTTTCGCTGGATCCTGCAGACCCGTCAGACGTAACCGGCCCCCACATGGACAAAACTTTCTTCCCCAGATCCATGGCAGAGTCACCCTTCGGCGAAGTCATATTTCAGGCAGACTATGCGCTCAAAAAGATCTGCTTCGGGGACGTACACCAGAAATCCCTCGACGATCACCAAGGTAGTCCTACTTAATTACTCTGTAAATCAAATATCGTCTACGTACTGGCTCATGTTGTCACCATGTTACTAGTTTACTACTGCTCTCTTTCTAATAATCTTCAGTGCCTCAACATGTACAAATCGTGTACTCTAGGCAAAAGCAGCATACTTTACTTTGATTTTACTTTCCAGATCAAATTCATTTTCAAAAGTGTAAATGTCATATTTATATATAGATATTCGTTTATGATTCATGTCGATATTCGTTTATCATGCAAAGAACTAGATGACATTATTTATTTTCAACATATTGATATGGCTTTGCTTGCTATTGCGATCAAGTTTTGCATGCTACTAAGAAACCACACACAGATGGGAGCAAGGAGTTGCGTTTTGAGTCTTTGATTGATGTGTTGGATACGCACCATGAGGATGAGTCCGGGACGAGGCAGTGGTTTAAGTTGACGAATGCCTCAGTAGTGCGAACGGCTGACTCTGTTCTGGTTCCGGAAGTGACAGTAGAGGTATGCGCCATGCATTTCGTACCGCACCCGGAGGAGAACATCAGCGGGTACGTGAAGGCTTTGCATCTGATGGACGAGGACGCGCCAGCACAGAAACACGCTACCGACATGACGAACCACATGGTAGCGATCATGCAGGTCTCGCCCGAAATCAGAGAGCTCAAAGAGGTACAACCTGTTTTCTCCGTCTCCCTTGCTGGGATGACAGTATATTGTTCCATACAGAAACTACTACTCAAGTAGATTGATTTTCATGCACTTATCCGAATATTGGTTCAACTCACCATCATCAGCACTATCTGTATCTTCATTATCCTCGTCACCTTTCATTCTCAACATCTTCAAAGCACTCCCCATCGTCCCCCATAATGACGTCATCAATTCGTCCTCAATATCGAATAGGTGGCGCGCGCCGTTGTGCTTGCGAAGTACCTTATTAGTGATCAGGGATTTCAGCCGAGTGAGGCAGCTACACAATTTGTGCCGCGATCAGTTCTGCCGGAGATTAATCGTATGCGACACGAAGCTGCAAGCGATCTTCCACCGTTGACGAAGTACCCTCTTCGCGTAAACACACTGAGGAAACTGGCAAAAGTAACCAACGCCGACCATGTGCAAACAGAGAGGGAGGGAGAGACTGACGAGCAAACGACCGGAGTGCGTCTCTATACGGTGTCTCAAACTGTCTTTGGGGGAGTGGATCTTTCTATCTCCGACATCAAGGTCGAAACGGTCGAAGACATCGTGCGAGATGGCCGTTGTCACAAATATCCATATCCAGCACTCGTGTAAATCTTCACTCCCTTTCCTAACAAATAAAACATCGCCTGAGCAGCAATTACTCATCTTCACTGAGTTGTACTTCCTACTAAACCATAACTTGTGTAAAAAAATGCAGGTACTAACTAAAGCAAATGAGTACATTATTGGTGGATACACAAACAAACAAAGAAAAAACTTAGACTCACTTTATTGCTGAACATATGGTATTGGTAATGCATTTGAAAAAATGCATTTCTTTACGCTAGATCGTTGGCATGCATGTATCTAAAAGATAATGGAAATGCGAATAGCAGTACCACCAGGCAAAAAAGATTCACAATCCCAACAAAAGTCTCGCTCATTTTGGTTCAATGAAGAGACGGCCCAGCACCAAATTCATTGGTTGGTTCTTTATAAAAACTTAAACGACTAAAACTACTTGTGATATGAGATTGAATAGACCCCTGCCTTAGGCTTGGATACGAAATCCCACATCAGAGGTCGGATGGCACGACATGAATACTTAAACGTTCACGAAAAGATCTATGAAAAGATACGGGTATATATTTGGTTGCATAGACGCAATGCTCGACTGCAAGTAGATTTATTCCAAACTCCAGAAACTCTTCCTTTAAAATTGGCAGAGGAAAGAACAAGTGGACATCTCTTTGTTGGATGTTTACTTCATGTTCATTTCGGATGAACATCTTATACTTCATTCCTCATGTCGTTTTCTACGGACGCGGCAGCAAATATATGGAATGAATGAATGAGAGGACATCGAACGTGGTCACGTTGGGAAATGGCAGTGGAAAAAGTAGTAGAATTTGGATCGATGTCTTGAGATAACGTCTCAGGGAGCGCAAGGGGCTTGATCAGGTCTGTTTTTGACGAATACCAGCGTCGGTTCAGTGAGTGACGAGTGCTGTTTGTAACAAATGACATTGGAGACTTTGATAGAAGAGAGGACAAGATCTTTGCATGATGATGTATTTCTGTCGATAAAAAAACTTGTCTGTCATGAGTGTGGGTAGTTGCGAGCATCTAGCTATACTCTTCGTGTTGCAGCGTACCAGGATTTCCTTTAAAGGTCGATCACATTTATTCTTTCTGACCTTCAATTCTGATGCAATTCAAATCTGAAAAAGAAGGTGCGAGCTTTTACCTCATATCAACGTTCCGCACGTTCGATTACACTTTGAGCTGTCGTGGTATACTTTAATTTTTCTTTTCGTAAATGGCAGTAGCAGCTGCAGGTGCAGCGTCTGCAGCATCACCACTGATATTTTTCTTTTTATCGTGTAGTTGTAAAGCAATTTCTGACGGGGGCACGAACAGCGCTCTATTTCTCACGTCTTACGAAAATCATGCCAGCATTATTACTCCATTCTCTCTATCGCATTTGTCCTACCTTTTTCGACCCCCCTTTCACAATATGTAGATGGTTAGTAATCCCACGCCTTCATGGTAAGCAATAAATTGAGAAGCAAGTTAGTTAACCTGAATGCTCCCATCGATTGGAGTCGGTTCTTTATTTCCCTATTCGATGTATAGTATGCGTGATGGTCGTGAGTACTTATCCACTTCATTGAAATTCAAGACGTAGCAAATTCCGTCGTGATGGTCATACTTGATATCAGGAAAAATGACGTGAAAAAGAACACCGGAGCTCCTGCTAGTGTTCTCGTGTAAAACGCGTTTGTTCATCACGAAAGAAGACAAGTACGCTTCTTCTGTGCTTGTTGTTGAGGGAGATTTCAAGATCTGAATTTGTTTTATTGTTACGCATTGAGTTCTAGCAGTTACAGTTTGCTCCTAAAGCTTAACCTGAGTCCTGGCATGCCTAGCATCATTTTAGAGCGTATCCGAGGATAGCGAATTATCCGTTGTCTAGAAGTGAAGAACGCGATCATCTTTCTTCTAGGTAGTAGATTCATTAGATTTGATTGTTCTTTATCGATTTTTTATACAACTTAGGTTTAGATACTGCGAACAAGAATGTCAGCGTTGCCGCATGTGCATGCTCTTGGTCCATCCGCCCAGAAGGGGGACGGCGCGGATGGGGAGGAGAGCAAGGCGCTTCCGTTTGTGCTCAAGGACGACTTGGAGAAGTGCGTGAATGAGGACGTAGCACGCGCAAGTACGGTGTTCACTGGTGAAAACGGTCAAAAAATGTCGGTCAGTGGGTTGGCGGCGCAGCAGCTCAGGGGGCAGATGGGGTTCGTGGAGGTTCGTCTGTTGGAAATTTTGGACGCTCCGTCGACCTCTTTGTTCGTAGACCTGGCGGTGCTGCAGCCCGAGCGCTTGGCCTATTCTCAGCGTTTCCGCTGGCTGGTTGGAAACGTGGCGCGCACGAAAAGCTTTTCCCTGAACAACATTGGGGTGGTGAATCTGCGCGCGCGCGGTAGTCCGGGCTTGGTCCTGGCTGTGCCTGCGGAGGGTCGCAGCGTCTTGCGTGTGCGGTTGTGGGACGAGAAGAGCTCATGGATGGGTGGCTGCAGCTTTTTGGGAGGCCTTTATTTGCACTTTCAGGATGGGCACTTGCGAGGCGGCTTACGCCGCGCATCGACCAGACCTTCTGATGCGATGAACAATGGTGAAGACGGTTCTTTTAGGGCAACGAGGAGAAATTTACTCACTATGCATGAATAAATTTGCTGTTGTCAAGAGACTCGAAGACACCATATATGTACAAGTATAACCACTATCATGTGATATAGTCGCTCACAGTAGAAGGGACTAGAAAACTTAAAAGACGGCGTTTTTTCTACTTGATTTTTATAATATGTTCGTTGTCCACTCTTTCCTTTCATATTTTTGGCAGCGAATCCACGTCGTTCTTCTGCTGGGCCCCTGCGGAGAGGAAGCCAGACGCCGACTTTAGCAACTTCCTCAATGGAGGATGTGTGTGACGGGATTCCGCAAGAGTTTTGCTGTCTGCCTCTCAGTTCCTGGAAAGAAGTGGAGAGAATCGGCACTCAGCCGGAACCAGGAGCGGGAGTGCGCATGAGTATGCCCGGCGCGGCCGTGGCGCTCAAGGGAAAGGGAAAGATGTTGAAGGGCAAAGGGCCGTCGAGACCAAGCACGGATGCGCCGGCAAAGGGCGCAATGGCTGAGGGAGAGGCCGTATCACGCCGCGTTAGCAACATGTGTGACTTTTTAGGTGGTGTGGACAGCAGCGATGATGAGGGAAGCGTGAGAAGCGATGGGTCGGCCCCGCCACAGCTGTTGCAAATTACCGACCGCAATTCGAGGTCTTCCGCAGTCTCTAGTACGGGAAAAATTCGAAACTCATCGGCCTTGGCGGGTGGTGGAATGCAAGAAGGCAAAGGGAATGCGGACGCGCAAACACCGACGCAGCTATCGAACCCGCTTCAAACAAAGCAATCGAGCAATAACAAAGAAGGTGGACTGTCAGCAATACCGGAAAATAGCGCAAATGGGAACTCCCGATCATCTTCTTCCATGTCGATAGGTAAAGACTCGTGGAAGATTTCGATGCCGACAGCGTCGGACCCGCTCGGCGTGTGCCAAGGGCTGACGTCTCTACTGTCAGTGGAATGCCGTCAGACGAAACACCTCGATTCTGTAGACGGCAATATTCTCGACGTGGATATGTTTGACGACCTCCTGAAGAAGCTGCATATGTCGCTTATGCCTGGCGCGAGCACAGATGGCGCCTATGCTGAGTACTGCGAAGCGTGGGATTCGCTTGTTTACTGGCGATCGGCAGGGGGAGGTCCGCAACGCAGGCAGACGCGGCTGTTCCGCATGGGTGGTCCTGGGCTTTGCTGCATATCGCTGCAAATTAACCCCGCCTCCAAAGTACCCGGGCGAGCGTCAGACGCGGGAGCAGAGCGGCGCATCTTGGGAGAGCGTGAAAACATGTGCATGGATCCTCAAGCAATGCCTGGTGGCCGTTTCATAATTCGGGACGATGGTTTTGAGAATGTCATCATGTACACGAAGTTGTTGCAATTATCCGTAAAGAAAAAATACACAAACAGTGGAAGCAGAGTCCTCTCGGCCATCGCCGAAGGCGAAGCGAGTTCCGCAAGTGTGATGCTTGTGGATATGCCCCAAGCAGGAACGGAAGCACCTCCACGGATGGAACAAGGTGAGGATGCGACACCCGTTTCTAGCGAAGTACATGGCGCATTTACGGGTGGCGGCATGCGACAACCGGCGTCCCGGTTGACACCGAAGAATGACAGTATGCAGCAGGATGCGGGTACGCGTGAAGCTGGAGCTGCACCGGCCAAAGCAAAAGCATCCTCGTCTTCAGGACGCGGTGGCATGGTAGTGAGTCGCATTCTGAATGATACCTCCCCAGTTCAGGCTGGCGTTTCGAGTTTTGCGATTCTAACGCGAGAATTGGATTACGAAAGCGAGGCAGAGAGTGGCCTGTCCGACCCTGGTTCACGGGATGCAACGAAGGAGACGAAGCCAGTAGATGAAGCTACGGCCGCGTACTATGAACAGGAGATGAATACCGTCACCAGAGGAACAGAAGGAGAGGAGATTCTGACTCCACATCATGGTGATGGCTCTCACGCAAAGCATTCACCGGTCGTTGTACGAGGGGCTCAAACCGAGGGTGAAACCGCGCCTGAGGAAGGTGAAGAAGCGCCGGTTCGGCAAATCGTCCGACAAAGCTTGGCGCGGCATAGCGCGCGCAAGAGCGGCCGTGGATCGGCGCCGCTGACTCATATGCGCGGGAGCGGGTCCGCGGGAAATGACAACAAAGCGCCGCGCCTGTCGACCACTCAGTGGTTCGGGGTTCCCGGAATAGATGTCCAGACTGCTGTCGCAAAGCTGCAAGAGCGCGGCATTCCGCCTTCACAGGTTACCTCAGACCTGATGGAGTTCGCGATTCGACGCACGGCGTCGACCTCGATGAGGGAGGTGCAGCTGCTGCAAGTGGTATCCAGTGCATTGCCAATGCTTTCGGTGCTTTCTCCCTACGCGAGGTTTCGCATCTTTGAAGTGGGCATGCAGTTGGAGTGCTACTGTGTCCCACAACTGATTCTGCTTTCGGTGACCTACTTTCCGGATTTGGTTAAGCTGAAGTATCTAATCGATACCAGTGGTCGCAATAGCCTGGTAAAATCATTACAGATGCTGACCAACTCGAAGCACGGAGAGGAAGGAGAAGTGTTGCAGTACCATTTTCTGGCGCTGGCACGCCGCTACTGCGCGAACGGTTACAAAATGGAGGCCCGCAGGCGAGCTAAGCGTGGCAGTCGTGATGAAGATGAGGCCACTGTAGCCGTCGCGCATGGACCCGTGTCGACAGGCGCTGAGGCTGGAGTTTTTTTCGTACCGCCGCAATTCAGCAAGGCTTTCGAGGGGAAGCGTTCTTTTAACACGCTCGTCGAAAATAACATCCAACCAGAAGAGAGCCCGCAGGTCCTCGAGCGAAGGTACAGGCTGCGGGAGAAGATGGGTCGTCGTCAAATCCAGGACTACTTTTTGGAAAAGCAGGAGCAGGTCGAGGGGAGCCCGGGTGTTGCCAAGGCCATCGAAAAACTGAAAGCGCGAGCGTTGAAACAGTTGGACGGGAAGCTCGTGAGCCTAGACCAGATCGGAGCGCGGGTCGCCAGAGGTGCGAAGAAGCGACAGTCGACATTTCCGGAAACAAACCAGGATCCGTGCACGCTTCAACTACCTAACCACGGTCTCGCGTTGAAGAATGCGGCAATGGTAAACGACTGTGTCGCGGCTTACCCGTTCCGTCAGGTGATCTCGGATATCGACCAAACGTTCCTGATTACGAGCAGCGGCAGGAACGGACCCGAGTGTCCCACGGGTGCTACTGTAGGCTTCCGCACCTTGTACCAGACGCTGGCGCCGCTGACGACGTTTCTCTCGATCCGACCCAACGTGCTGAACATGGACTCCGTTACTAGGACGTTGCTGCAGGACGAAGCCAAGTGGTATCCCGGAGAGTACGGGCTACTTCTGGCCGGGAATGCGTCCTCGATTCAAAATTTCGTCCTGGGAAACGACCAGAAGAATGGGGTCCGCAAGTTTGATGTGTTGAAGCAACACGCACTGTTATATCCGGAATGCGACTTCTTCCTCTTCGGGGACATGGGCGAGGGCGACCTCCGTCTTATGCTCGAAGTTGGCGCTTGGGAGCGCAGTCTGCTCATTTCGGAGCGTGTCCGTCGGACCTTGGCCACGGAGAAACGAGGTGTAGCGCCGCCTCCAGACGCGGGCATGTACGAGTACCCGTGGCGAGACGTGGATCTTCGCGGGGATGCGGTTCCCAAACCCGACCTCATCTACGAGCCTGCACGGAACGCCGCACTAGCTGTAAAAAGGGAGATCGCGGAGGGGGAGACAGCCGACCCAGCTGCGGGAGAAGCAAGAAAGATGGCAACAAATAGAACATCCATACCGGTTGTGACAGCGGGCACGGACGGAGATCATGAAGAAATGGGCAAGATGAATGATGGCACTAGAAGCTCAGAGACGATTACTGCATTGCTGCCGCCAACGGCTGGGTCCCAATCGAGCGACCAAGACGACGCGACGTCATCCACAACTTCCTCCGAGTTGGATGCTACTGAGGCAAGGACGGGGCCGGCGGTGTCCAGCGGAGAGGAGGAGGCGAACCTGTATCTGCGACAAGTGCTCGAAGATTTTCGTCGCCGGGAAGAGGGGACGCGGGCAGATGAGTACCTGGACTCTCTGCGCGAAAATTATCGCTCCATGCGTAAGAGTTTGTTGGGAACTTTGTTCAGCTCCGGCCCCCAGCCTATCGCGCAACCAGATGCGGAGGAGGTGGATTCAGACGAGGATCCCCTGCTTCCTCGGAATGACGGTAGAAACAGGCCGTCGGGAGTTCCACAACATCACAACCCGCACGGGGGCCTCACCAGGAACGGAAGTTATAGGCCGGATGCGAGTGCGACGAACGCAAATGATGCGACTTCTCTTTCTCGGCCATCAGCAGCGCGCATCCTCAACGAACAGAATGAAAATGACATTCTTCTGAGAGCGAACGGATTCGCTATGAACGACCACGTGGAAAACGTAGGCCCGGAAGAGCCGACAGAGATGAACTCCACACCTTCTGAGGAGGCCGTGTTTCGAGCAAAGCGCATCAACGCTTCGGTCCGTAGCCACCTCGGTCGTGCAGAAGGAGAGGCCCTTCCACCAGGGGGTGCCCGCCGGTCCTCGCTGGACCTCGGACTTAGACCATCCGCCGTGGGTGGTGGTGTGCGTCGGAGCTCGATGGCCGTGGCGCCGGGTTCGGTGCAGGTGTTGCAAGGCGGCGGCGGCAAGAGCTTAGGTTCGGATCTGGTGGACCAACGTCTCGCGCGGCGACGATTTCATATGTTCGTAAGAGATATCGTGGACTCCTCAGGCTTAAAACGTCAGACATCGCAGTCCGACCGACAGAAGCTGTGGCAGGAGTTTGGCGTTTTTGTGGTGAACAACGGCGCCGATGCGGCATTACACGCTTTTGAGACGCTGCGTGCGATTTCGCTCGCGGAACTTCGCGACATCGGACAGACCTGCGTCGATGAGTTTTCGTCCCAGGACTGGGCTAATTTCCAAGGCGGCTTTTCGGATATGGGCAATCAGCAGATTCGTCAGAGTCGGGCGGCCGATGTGCGCAAGCCGGTGGAGCGGATCAACGACTACATCAGTGGGAAATTGACTTTGGTGCCGGCGACGAGTGCAAGTGGAGGCGCGACCGCCAAACCGCGCTTGAGTATGCTCAATGGGAATGGAGGCGCAGCCGGACCTGAAGGATCGCGAATAACTGCAAATGGCCCGCTAGGCCCACTAAGGCAGAGCGTCGCCCCTGGAGGTGCGGGCCCACTCGGTCCACTGCGGCAGAGTGTCGCTCCTGCAAGAGCTAGCTCCTCCTCCGGTGAGAGCCGGACAAGCTATTTCGATGCGAACGGGATGGGGGGAGCCAAAGGGAAAGGCGGCCGCAGGTCTGCGGGTGCCATGACGTCGGCATTGCGCGTTATTGACCTTACTGCCTTAGACGCATTGGCGATAAAGAAGCGATAAAACGAAACGGATATGCAGTTTCAATGACTACTTTGTTGATTTTCCTTATAGCTATGTTGTTCCTCTGGTCTCTCTTTTTTCTAGGTAGGTCTGCTCCACCACAATTTATAAATACGTTGTTGATTTTGTAAAAAATATTACAATTGTAACAGTATAATGAGATGGGTGGCTGACCATAGATTTTTACATGGTTATTTCTTTTGACCAGCTGTCTTGCCCTTGTAGTTTATGTAGTAGATGCAAATAAAGAAACTGCGCTCCTTTATCTTTTTTGTTTTTCATGATTTGATATTCTACATTACCAGTACTTAAATCTATTGGAAGGTACAATGGATTGTATTTGTGGTGACATGGCTAGAAGTGAAACTCCTGGTTTTTAGGGTGAATTTGTTGCAGGGTAGCTGTTGTGTTGAACGCGTTCGCGCAAAGGAAGCTTGTGCTTTCTCGAGAGGCGAAAGCAGTTCTTCTCCAGAGAAGGTATGCTGATCTTCCAGTTAGTTTCCTCCTAGGAGGACAACTTCTACGACTTGTGGAGATGAGTCCCTGAGGCTGAGATTCATGGTCATGATACGGGAAGTAGCATGTGAATCAGAGCCACTTCATTCATTCGGTTTTTGAGCTTTGGAATCACATTAGGAGAGAAGTTTGTAGTTTTCGAACACACGAAGGAAAATATGCGACGCGCATCAACAAAGCTGTGCGAGAGAAGGAAAGCGAGGGAACGAGACTTGTAGAAAGAGTAGAACAGCAGATGATGAGCATCTCAAATCTAGGGCTTGCTCGACTAACTCTTTCAATGTGCATCCACGTGTTGCAAGGTTCGAAAAACAGCAGAATCGCCGCCTTAAGAGAGGCCAGTTACGATGGGTTATTTTGTGAGTGCGCAACCTTCTTCGTCTTCCTCTTCTGGTTAAGTAGTTGTTTGTGGTGTCCTTATTCAATATCCTAGCGCGGATAGATTGCTTTTCGCACGAAGCGCGTGCAATTTATTGTCTGATTTTGTTTCACATGAAAAAATGTTGACAGACGCAATAAGGAGCGGCACGCGCGCGGCACTCGCCGCGCGATCGGTGCGACCGACTGTTTTCGGACACAGCAGGTTTGGGCTTACTGCTGCTAGAACTGAGCAGAGCACAGTATTGGCACTCCGCAATGCATCACGAAATTTTTGCAAACGTAGCGCTCCGAGGAGAGGACACACGCTGGAGGTATCGTGGTGAGCAAAAGAGAGAAACTTTAAATTTATGATTTTTGTAGAAGAAGCTCATTTTCGTCTTCAGCGTCTGCGCCGTCATCATTGTCCCTGTGTCAACCTGCTTGATATGCGCGGGAATGAGAAAGTTAGTCGCTTTAACAAGTTGTACTTTGCATATGCATGATTTTGCGTTAGGTATGTTTTTTTGCATGCTTTGGGATCATCATCATAGATATCGTTGTGTGTTGTTTATTGTCGCTCTTCTAGATCGATGACACATGACCCGTTTCGATCACCAGAAATTTCATACCATTGTCTTCTGAACTTCCTCCCTCAGACCTACTTCTGCTTTCCGGAATCAGTGTGCAAGATGATGAACCCGCTTGCTTATTATTTCTTCGTAGGATTATGCACGTCGCACTTTTGTACGATGTTCTTCTCCGTTCCGCTCTACAACTACTACATGACCGGACGTACTTATTCTGATTGTTTTTTTCTTTTTTTTGAACTCTTCGATAATGTTGATGTTTCGCACAAGCCATGAAACAAGAAGCTGATGTAGAACCTTATCCTGAGGACACCGGGAATGGTGTATTTGTACCTATCTTAACATCGTCGATATGTTAAGCGCCGGTCTCTTGAATGTCACTCATCCCCTTAAATAATGTTTGTCTCTCAACTTCAGGGTTTTACGGCAAGGATCAGGGACAAACGCTCCTGTGTGACAACAGTTGGTGAACGGCCGACATCCATGGGAGGTTTTCCTGCAAACGTACGTAACCGATGCAAGAATGAGAAAAGTTCCGCTCGCCCACTCGAAGGCGGGACTTATGTGCTGATACGTTACAGAGGCAACACGCTGAATCTGGAGTTGGCATGTTGACTTAAGATCATGGTCTTGGAGCTTGCCGGCGAATAGGGGAGACTGTTGTTGTGAAACAGGTGTTATAATAATGGATTTTGGTTTACCACGATTTGTTCCGTGACGGCTAGCCGCTATCTCCTTGGTGCAATCCCCACGTTTCCGTTTGTTCTTACGCAAGAAATGGTGTCGTGTCTGTTTTGTCTTAACGGTAGAAGAGGCTGTCTTATCTTCGGTAGAACCGATCACAATTCAAGTCTACTAAAGATCAATCCGATGATCTCTCTGTCATGGTTCACGCTTTCTACTACGAGAGACTGTTGATCTTGTGACCCACTCTTTTAATCTGCTGAGAGAGAGACGAGAGAGGCATTGCATGTGGCGCCCAGAACGAGGAGAATCTTTGCAGGACAACTAAAAACGCATCTGTTCAGAGGATCTACGACACTTCTGGTATTACGAGTTCTTATTCCATTGTGAGCCGCCTATTGCAGACAACTATACGTATTATAATGTTTGATCGATCTTCTGGTGTCATCTTGCTCTCACATCTGATCATAGCTTCAGTGCATGATAGTTTACACATGATGATGTCCTGCTGCATGAATATGATCACAGTATTCTTATCTCTGTAGTAAAATCCTGTTTGTGTTCTCACACAGAGAACGATGAGAGTGTGAAAATGAAAATTATCTGTCCCTACTGCATTCTGACCGTGAGACGCTGCAAGAAACTATCAGATGCTGAGTGAGCGCGCATTCCTCGTTGAATACTCAGATGCGGCTATTTAGATAGGTGCTCTCTCAAGAGATGATGCTTGATCATGCGTTATATTACACGGCTGCGATTCTCCAGGATCAATCAATCAAACAAATGATTTCTTCCTCGACTTTCCAATTTATCCAGGCCTCCTCTTGTGAAGAGTTTGCTCCCCCACCCGTTCGCGAAAGGTGCTATTACTTCTCAATCCTCAGCGGCTATTCAGACTTACTTGAATCTGCCTTATCGATACTAACGACGCACCACTGAACTCTTGACTACATTTCTGGACTTCTGTCGGAAATATATTTATCCTACGCAAAACTACTCAAAAGAGGTTGGCTTCACACATTGCTAAACCCTCCACATAATGCTTTTACGTAGGACCAACCTATAATTTGATTGATTAAGCGAAAATCAGGAGATTAGACAGATTATCGCATAGTATTGAACAATATCGATCCCTTCTCCCACGACCTCCTATTACTCATTTTCCTTTTTCGAGGTGCATGTTTTCACTCGTATTTCGTTCGTGTGTCGTTCGTGCTTTTTACATACGCTAAAGAATAAGCAGCATAAATTATTATTTTATTCATTTTGTCCACCTAGTACTTCTACTTGAGGGCAATGATGACGAACTCGGCGTCTGATTCCTCTCCTGCGCCTGGGTGGGACACCGGGGCTTCCACCGACACCAGCACAACTTGCGATGGCGAACAGCAAAGCCAGATGAACAATAACCGAAACAACATGCACCAGCGAAGAGCAGGACCACAGGAGTCTACGCCAATGCACAGCGCCGCTTCGAGCAAGAAATCTCGGCAGAATACCAAGACCAGCGTGATGTCAAGTGCGAATCTGGATGTGCTGTCGCTCAGTTCCGGATCTTACAAATCCAACCATTCTACGAAGGATTCCGCTCTTCCGGATACATCTGATGACAAGACATTGAAGCAAAGAGGTGGGTCTGCCGGCAATTATGGAGGCGCAAGCCACGCAATGAATTTGTCGACCGCATCAACAAGAACTGGCACTTCCATGTCAGCAGTCTCATCGAAAACCACCTTGTGTCAGAGCACGACTCACACCAGCGTTAGTAAAACGCCGAGCGCGAACGAAGCCGAGGAGAGGTTAGTCCAAAACAGCAAGAGCAGCACGCTTGGCTCGTCAGCTGCTACTCTGTTCACTCGGAATACTAAACAAAGTTCGGCAGATGCAGGTGCGGAGAATTACAAAGCAGAGGCTTCTTCCGACGCTGCGGCACCTTTGCTTGCTTCCCGCCCTCTGGCTGAGCTCGAAGGCGAGACGAACCAATTGACGACAGAGAGCGACAACCAGTCCGAAGCTACCCAGTCGAAGCGGCAATCGAAAGCCACAAACCAAGAGGGAGGAAAGCAGGCGCCAAGATTTCCGGTATGGTTCACCATGGGAGTTGTTTTCGCTCTCATCGCTTTCCTCTACGGCACTTACTTCTGGTTGCACACTGCCAAAATCTGGGACGCAAGCCTACCCGGTGATAAAGTACATTTTCCAGCATCTCGTGAAACTGTCGCTAAGTTTATCAGGATATCGCATTGACAATTGTTGTGCCAGTGGGGAAAAATCTAAACTTCTTGGATTTTGTCCTAAGCGCATTTCGTTAAACGATGCACAGTAGCGAAACCATAGAGAAAGTGGGAACTTTTCTGACAGCACCATCAATGACAACTAAGATTTTACTTTTGCTTTCCCCAACACTGCAGACCACTATCAAAGTGCACACTGTTTTCGTAAATGTGCTTGTTGCATTCTTGCTGAGCCATTATTTTATCGCGCACTGCACGAGAGCGGGATCGATTCCGAAGAACTTCATATGGATTGAGGGCACTGCCTCGCATTGCCTCGAGACAAAAACGGACGGAGAAAAGAGGTGCTTTTTCATGCGTCTTTGATTAGCCAATAGTTATGAATGTTCAGTTGTAGTTTTATGGAGCAAAAAGGTGTGCTTGAAAATAGTATTCGTGGGTCATTTTATTTCATGATTTACCTTGATGTACGAAACTATCCTTCTAACGAGCGATATGTTCCGAGTAATTCCTAATGTTCACAACTCAATGCGATCGCTTTTCAACTACTACTTACGAATATTAGGTTTTGCCGGTGGTGCAACTTGTATAAGCCGGACCGATCGCATCACTGCAGACTATGCGGGGAGTGTGTATTGCGAATGGACCACCACTGCCCATGGCTTGGAAACTGTGTTGGCTTCCACAACCACAAATACTTTATCAACACTGGTACTATTTATAGTTTCCTAGAGGAGTTAAATTTTTTTTTATCTAAGGTTCACGACCTGATTATATTTTCCTACTTCTTGCTGATGCAGCTGGGTAGTACTATCAATCTGTGCTTTCCGCTGTACTATCTTTGCTCTTGAAACATGTAGAAGCAGCTTCCACTTGGGAAGATGCATGTTACCCTATACTTGTACTCTCTTCTCTTCTAGTACTAAGTAAGTAACCATGTTGATTTTGGTCTGAATACAATATATTATAGTATTTCTTTTTCATCATTTTTGTCCTCGTCATACTCAGTGATCTTTGGTTTGGCGTCAAGCGCAGTAATGCTGGGAACGATGGTGCCTACGACTATTCGGCATTTCAAGCTGATGCAAAACGCACGCGCCGCTCACGCTGCGGCAGGCGGTCCTGGAGTGCTGGACCCAAATTTGCCAGCGTATGTGAACGACGAGGTCACGGCAACAGTCTATTTTAGCGTCTGCATCATCGTGCAAACCCTGCAGGCCGGCGTGACAATTTTGCTCGCCATTTTTTTGACTTTTCACATGTACTTGATGTGCAAGGGAATGACAACGATCGAATTCTGCGAGCGAAGAAGAACCGACACCTATCCGTCTTACAGCGCTGGATGCTGGGGAAACTGGACGGCTGTATTCGGCGAAAACCCGATCCTGTCGTGCATGCCATGTCCTTGTGCGCCGTGCGCAGCTCCGAAGGGAGACGGCACGCGTTTCAAGGGCCGCATCGTCGGTCCCGCGGTAGTCGAGGGTCACGTTGTCGACGGAGCGGGAAGTGAAACCGACGAGAACGACACCTTGATGTACTCCTAGATACAGATTGATGGAGTACGACCTGTTTCCTCAAAATATCGTTTCGAGAGGGAACGGGATGCAGGTGTTCGAGCAAGGAAATGAGAAAAAGTCACTCAGAAGCATACGCGGAGGAGCAGACTGACTAATGAATACGAAGGGGAGAAAACGAAAATCGAAAATCTATGCTGATATCTAATGATTATAATGACGATTGGACGACGGGAGAATGCGTTAGAAGTTCGTCCGGGTCACAGAAGATGCTTGTTCGTATTTCGAGCACAACATTTTTGACCTCGAAAATTATGTTTTACCGAGGAGGGGGCCGGTATCTCTGGCAGAAAAGTGACTTCCTCCAGTGGGGTTGGGTGAGGTCGCACTCTTAGATGCTAAACACATGACATATTTTATGATTGAATTTCAAACGAACTCACTAATTAAGAAAGAATTGAAAGACTAAGCTCACAACATATCAAACGAAATACTGATTTGCCTATCTCTCGTTATTTGTTCTATCGATTTGATTAATTAAAAGTAAAGCTGTAATCTTGTTTTGGTTTGTATTTTTCGCAATTGGTAGCTAATATTGATCATCTTCAAAAAGCAGGAGGTGGAAGACATCGAAATTTGAATTTGCATTTTGGTTGATTGAATATTGAAAGTGGGTATAGCCGATAACGACATCAACCAGGAGTATAATGTTCAAGTGGTCTCTCAAAGTCAATCAATCATCCGTCTAATTAAACAGATATTTGTTGGGTCTTTCTCGGTGGGTATTACGTAGGGGTAGGTGAATGAAAAGGTGATGCGTGCTTGCATGAGAGTTACTCTCCTTTTCTACCAAGGAGTGTGCAAGAGCCATCTGGTTGCTATTGCATACCCTTAAGCCTACTCGAGGTGAGCAGGAACTGTTTTCCGTTATCGAGATTGATTGCGTTTCGTTCCCCCCTCCTTCCCCATGCTTACCACCCTAGCTATGCTACCCGATACATCCCTACTTCCTTAAAAGCGAAGGAAGCGGCACCCGCACCGATCATGTCAACATGGATCAAAGTCATCATGTCACGGACGTTGTGGACCAAAGTGCCGTGTGCCTACGAGATGCGGGGACTCCTCTCGGCGGTCGTATAGATTCGGCAAACAAGGATTAGAGGACGACTCTTGTCCTCCCTGATCGTGAGGAACTGTAGTAGCCACCTTACAAAATCTCCAACTCGATTTTTGCTCCGATACTTTTGTCCACTCACCTATTAATTTGTTGAGGTCGCGCACTCGTTGCGGCCATTGCTCTTGTTGGTGGCATGAATCGAAATCAGACGACCTGCAGCACTTTCGAGATCCGATATTGCTCCTGTAATTCAATTACAGTTCTTACGTCGTGGGTAAAACTAAAAGCGCCGCTTCTTTAACTATGGACTTTTTTTTTTGGCTCCTTCACACAGTTGAATCGTTCCGAAAATTGTCCGTCAATCATCATTAAAGAAACATTTTGGGTAGACAGACCACGGGGACAGGCATGGAATTAGGGTGGGGTATAAGTTTTCGCAATTCTCGTTCCTTCTGTGTATGACAAACGGTTTTTAGCAATTTTGTTAGTCGCATTTCTTGCGTAGGTGTTTGTTTGACATTGAGAACCACAAGCAGTGTGGAAAAATCAAAGATTTCTGAAGGAATGAATGTAGATTCAAAACTGTTCTCAGGGTGTTTTGAGACTAATAATTAGTGATTTTCCGTTTTCTTCTGTCTGTATACCCACAGAAAAGATTGAGACTAGTTTACAAGTCATTGTTCGTTTTATTAACTGTTGAGATAAGGACGGAAGTCCTAAAGGAAAGCTCATGTCCTCGAGGATGATTTTTTAGACTTCTCAGACAGGAACAAGTTTCTTTGAGACATAATTACATTTCAGCTAAGCAGTCCTTAATTAAGATACGCGAAATGACCGTAGCCATCCACAGAGCAAATGACGGATCATAACAGATTGAGTCGTTTCGCGTAGACAATACTCAGTAGTCACCGGCGGGGGCACCACGTTCTTTCTCTGTGAGTTGATTCGGTGACGTTCTAAGAACCCGAGGCCGAGTCCAGAATGAAAGATAACTTATCATATAGCACATAGCTGTGGTTATAGGTATTGTAAAGGGCCGCTTTAGCAGACCTTTCGTGCATGGTAGCCGCTACAAATGGGTGCGCTTTGCGGATTCTCTCTCGGAATACTTGTGCGCCCTGCATCCTGGTCTGAGTGAATCGGTGCCCTCCAGAGACTCTTGATTCCTACATGTACTATACAACATAGCTAGTAGTAAGTTGTAGATACCAAGCTACAGCTTGCTCCTTCAATACAAACACTTAATCCACTCACTTTTAGGGCCGTGCAGCTTTGTCTATAAAAAGCCTCCAGAAGAGCAACATCATCATAATGTTACTAGTCCGTGCTGCAACTGCTTGACTGCCTTCGGGAGTGACTGGACACCGGAATCATCATCATGCTCCGTATGCAGACGCACAAGCAGAGAAGGCGGGCCGCGTAACAACGTCTTGCTGAAATACAATCTAACTTTCCACCTCCTGTTGAGTGGAGCTACAACGTTGTTGCATTTCACGCGGGTTGAGGTCTTTTCGACGACGCTTACGGTTCTATGTGCCTATTTTTACTTTGTCTGGTGAAGTATCTCAGGTTTGACAGGTCGTACAACTACCTGCAGGCAGCCAATTTGACACAGCGTTGACGGACCCTTGTGTGCCCGTTATCTGCATTATGTTGATGGTGCCGATCCCATCCTAGACGGCTCGGCGAGATCCAATATGGATATTCAGCGCGGCAACGACCGGCTGTAGAAATAACAAAAAACATTTGAAGTGGTTTTTTCTCTTAAGGAAAAAGTTTTAGGTTTTATCCTTCAGTTTTGTTCGTTTGTTGCTTGGCTTTTCTGTTAGCTGGGCGCTTCATTCGTGTGCTTGCATGAAAACGATTTCGAGTTGTGTTAGACTAGTTGTGTTACCCACTACTGAATCTAGGTATGCTCGTATCGGTTGACCACTTGCATCAGCAGCAACATTATCCGAATGCCGTTTTATGAATTTCATTCTAAAAATTACTGGTTACTTTACGGCCGCTAGTGCTACAGCTAAGTAATTGATACTAGACTTCGTCTGGGTGAGTGCTGTAATCCGTACCTACCGTCGTTCAAGTGGCGGTTGGTTAAGCGGTAAAGCATTCGCAATTTCCTTAACATTGATTTTTCAGTCGAAAGAAGAATATGACCTAAACTGGTGATGGTAGATGATCATTTAACAGTTGCTCCTGCTGCGCTTGCATATTGGCCTTTGGCCAAAGCCTGCTATTTTCTTTCTTTTCTAAGCCTGGAAAACCAATCTTAACTGATCACCTATTGGAACAAACAATATGGGTAGCTAGATCGTACTAAATTTCGACCTATTCGTATAATATCAAAGGTCCCACTTTAGATGGAGTTGCATCTTGTGGCCGACCCGATACTGCGCGCTTGGGGCGGCAGGAGACCTTTTATACACTTTGCATGAAGCAGCTACAGCTAGGCCTACCATGCTGGAAAATCTACGCACCGTCAATTTACAAATTGACGATGATCCAATGTTGTCAGCATGAAAATATCTACGCACCATAATATAGATCATTATTTATGTTTATCGCTGTCGTTTTCAGAAACAGAAGCAAGTATCAATGGATCCTGCAGACTCCGGTTGTGAGGGTGAACATTCGGCACACGGTCGTCCGAACGTACAAACCAGGAGGTACACTGCTGGTTATTGACCTACGATATGTGCGGAAGACTGTAAGACCCCTCTTGTCTCCCCTCTACATCAGAGCTAAGCTTATCATAGGGCATAGTCATTTACCACAATAATTCTGAGGCTCCTTTAATTTCAGCGCTATTGACATTCAGCGATGAAAGCAACAAATAGCGCAGTAAGTCGAAGATTTAGGGAAATCTTAGGCAACATTTTGCGGAGTAGATCCCGATCGGCGTTGAAGACGAAAACCAGCATTGCATGACTAAGCCCAAGCCCTGTACTAAACTTGAAATCATGTCAGAGATTCTATTACTCACGTCAGAGATATCATCACTCACGTTAGATATATTGATTATCATTGTTCACCAGCTAACTATAACTTGTACTAGAAGTGGGTCCGGGTTGGCATCACGAAAATAGGGCAGAGACAGCGTCTCTGGGCGTGTTTCGAGTGGCTGCTCCTAATCCGTGACCTCGTGTTTAAGCGGTAAAGGCAGTTGCTTGGAGATCCTACTGTCTGGCCCACGGAGACACGTCGACACATAGCGCTGCTCCGCGATACTCGTGTAGTATAGAGTATTTAGCGACAAAATTACACCCTTTCATGGGGATCATACAGGGCTCGCAAATGAATCTGAATCTAGTAGAGCTTAATGATCGCAAAAAAATGTCTTGATGTTAATGGCGTATCAAGCTCCTACTAGAAGCGTCATTCATCTTGGAAGAGAAGCTCCATCTTGATGAGCGTCTTTCCAAATCGATTTCAGTTTTGATTTAGTAAGTTTTTTTACTATCGGGGTTTTAATTTGATGCTATTTGAAAAAGTAATATTATTGTGACGCTGGAGCTGTTCCTAATGCTGGGTCCAGGTAGCGAATAACGAGCAAGGGCTGCAACGCCGAGATGGGCTGAAAACCTGTTATCCCTTGGTAGGATGAATGCATGTCCGTCGTTCAGTCAATGTTTGTCTGACATCGTTATGGATAAACAACTAGGCGTCAAATCGGACCCACCGCACCAAAAGGAACTATACCTAGTGTCCTCTTGTTGGCTTTTATGCCAAACCGGTACATGTGGTCCTTTAGATACCGTATTGAATCGTTAGGTGCTAGACTCCGCTGGTTGTACAGTAGAAATAATGTCAGTAACGAGAAGGCTGCAATTCTGATATGATTTTTGAAGCAAGTGGCTCCTTCTTCATCCCTTTGTGCAGAGTTTCTTCTCCCCTGTGTGCGGTGAAGTAGATAGTAGAGCCTCCTAGCTTTCCTAAACCTAACTTCATCTTTGGTATTAAAGCATGAAGATGAAGTTTAGCTATTGCTATTAATTTCTGGCGATCGTCAAGCAATTTTTTCTAGCTGGATAAGCCGTAACTGATGTAGTCGACCTGGTAGCGACGGCCGTGAGTTGGTCGTGTCTCACTCAACCGAGCCCTTCGACGTAATAAATAGTTCCTACGAATGTCATAGCCGTTCCGTAACATGGGTTTTTTACATACTGATCTTCACACTCATCTTCATAAAAAATCTACAGAAAAGTAGACATCGATCTACAGCAAAACGGCTTAATCGGTCTTTCGTTCGTAATTCGACAGGTGCCTGCTCTCTGATGTGAATCTCTGACTTGGAAATTGTAATTTCTTCGGAGGGGAAGTGAAAGCTGTAGGAGGCTCGAACAATCTCTATCGAGCTTTTCTGAATAGCTGCTACGCGCCAAACCATCATGAAGAATCATGAAGCATGGCAGTGGCACAACAATTGACATCTGCAAGAATATACTTTGGTTTTTAATCGTGAAATGGGGTGCATGGAAAGAAATGCTGAACCCGGCCCCACACGATGTATATGGGCGCACTTACAACATAAGCATGCATACGAGGACTTCACCTCAAGCACTCATGGAGTTCATTAAGATGTGAGCACTCATGTGAACTACGAAAAACAGAATAGTTCTAATACTGTAGTTATTGCGTATTTTCGTAAAAGCGATTATTGAGACTGAAATGGGGGAAAAGACAGTAGATGAAGTTCTCTAGGATACAGTCAGAAAAATCCTCAACAGCATATGACGAACATTGAACTTTTCTAATTCATGACAGACTGGGTGTGTGGGTTTACATAATGAAAAAAAACGAAGTGTCTTTCAGGTTGAAAGAGAGTCAATGCAGATGCATTTTCGGAAAAAATTGATAATGGCCTCCGCTTGCGATGGATCTCAGCAAGAATCGTGTTCTACTCACGAATCCCTTTCTTGGGCATTATGTGCGACTTCTCTGCGACTACTTTCGAGACAAGTTATCAACGCACGAAGACCACGCAGAAAATCATGATTGTTGTTTGAATGTCAACTTTCGTCCGTTTACTTCGTCTGTCATTTGTGACTTCGTATATATGTTCCAGGGCGCAGGGCTGAAGGCCCCCCGATCTAAGTTTTTGAGGGGGGGGCCTCCAGCCCCTGACCCTTTTTTTTGAGGGACTGCCGGGCGGGAAGGCTTCGAAGCGCTCGAAGCGCCCACCTCTGACCCCTTCCCGCTTCTTGCCCGGGCCCTACAGCGCCACCATGCCGGAGGCCGTTGAAGCACTGAAGGGCGGACTTGGAAGGCTTCCGAATGTGGCAAAGGTGGCAAGGCTGGACCCCCTTGGCGTGTAGCCTGTGCCCTCAAGGCTGGACCCCTTTGGCGTGTTGCGTGTGCCCTACAGACCTGGCGAAGGTGGCAAGGCTGGACCCTCTTGGCGTGTAGCCTGTGCCCTCAAGGCTGGACTTCTTTGGCGTGTTGCATGTACCCGGCAGACTTGGTGAAGGTGGCAAGGCGCGACCCCCTTGGCGTGTTGCCTGTACCCTCAAGGCTGGAGCCCTTTGGCGTGTTGTGTGTACCCTACAGACCTGGCGAAGGCGGCAAGGCTGGACCCCCTTGGCGTGTTGCGTGTACCCTACAGACCTTGGGGCGCCGCTTTCCTTTCGGCTCTTTTGGTTGTTCTCTTCCCCCACTGTGATACGCCAGAGGCCACCACGCCCCGGGTGGGCGCTTCTCGTCGCTCGTTCTGCTCTCGTCCCTCGTTCTGCTCTCGTTCCTCGTTCTTCTCTCGTTCCTCGTTCTGCTCTCGTTCCTCGTTCTTCTCTCGTTCCTCGTTCTGCTCTCGTTCCTCGTTCTTCTCTCGTTCCTCGTTCTGCTCTCGTCCCTCGTTCTTCTCTCCTCGCTCGTTCTGCTCTCGTCGCTCTTCCACCACTGTGCTGCACCACAGACCATACCACAGGGGGGGCCTCCCTCCCTGGTACATATATATATATATAGATATGAATCTAGATATCCTCATCTTGCACTAGTGCACTGGCGCCGTCTCCGGGTTTATGCCGGGTCGTCGCATCGTCCGTGAAATGTAAGACTTCTCTGCGCCCACCCCACCTGGTGCGCTGGCCATTTGGCCGAAGACTTTGGAATTGGAATTCTGTCGAGTGAGTAAAACAGCATTTGTCTCACGTGTTGTCTGCGCGATGTATCTGAGAGTGAGAGTTACATCTTTGATTGCGGTAAATCTTTTGGAACATGAGAATCAATAGGAAATAAACGTCTTCTTTCAACAAAAGTGTGGTACTGCATGCAAATACTCCTGTCCCCCCCAGTGAAATTTCTCAGAAGCAAAAGTGACAACACAAACTCGATTTGTTTAACGAAGCAGGAAAAATTAGAATAAGGCAAAAGAAACTATGTCACTCAAGCGTCACTGAATGAGAAGCCGGTAATAGCAGAAGAAGCTGTGCGTTCTAGGAGCCGTTCATGAATAAGATCGAAATCCCTAAGAGAAGTTGAAATCCCTCGTGAAAGGTATCAGCAACCAAGAAGTGGAACCATGTCTATGACATTCCGGCGACCGCCGGTGTCGCTAGGTGGGCGGGGGCCGAATCCACAGCTGATGGGGTTGGAGCGAGTACTTTTTCTTGACGTAGACGGAGTCCTGCACCCTGCCTTCGTGCAGTTTGCTCGCCAGCAGTTTCGACCACAGAATATGCGCTTGTTAAAGGCGCTGGTACGCTTTTTTCTTTTAGTACTGCATCCACGTATAGATTTACTTCCTTACATTTTCCTCGTTCGTACATCTAAAAAACAATTTTTGTGCAGATACTAGAACATGATAGTGTAGATTCAGTAATAAAAGTAGACCATGATCTCCTGGCAGACTCTCTGTTTCCTCTAGTAAGTGACGTCGTTTAGGATCATTTTTATTGATTCCTAGGATGCGCATGCGTAATCAGGTCGAAACGGGACGGCTCACGATTGTTTTGTCGTCGAGCTGGCGTCTGAATTTTGAGGCGAAACAGCACCTAAAGAAGGTTTTCGAGTATTTTCGGATACCAATATGGGTGAGTCAAACACCCAGTATCGGTATGTACGCACGTGCACGTGAAATTTTGGCTTGGGTTTCGAAGTACCAGCCTAGAGCTTGGGCAGCGATCGATGACTGGTCACTTCTATTGGAGACGAGGGCGTTGCAGGGTATTCACAGTTACGCTACTGATTCGGTGACTTTTCTCCGTGTACTTGTACAATACCATCGAATTACTTGTGTGAGAAGAAAGATAGATGTTTTACTGCACAACTAGGGCATTTTTTGCAGACAAATCCAAAGACCGGGTTGACCGCAGCAAACGTTGAAGCGGTGTTGCGTTTGTACGATGCTCAAGTTGCTGCGGCAGCGGCGCCACAGACGGAACCACCTCCAGCGAAGTTCAGCCGCAAAGTAGCAGCACTCACAGGAATCCCAGAGGAGATGGCGGAGCCAGATGCTCCGGCGGCTGAGAGGTATGACAAATCCAGCTCCTGTGCAACATCTCCTGTCACGCAGGACAAGAATAGGATTAAAGCATACAGAAACCTAGCACGATTTGCACGTTATCCTTTTTTTTTTACCGCGACTGCGCTGTTCAAAATTGATCTTAGTATCATTCGTTGCTTTTTCTCTAATATCATGTTAGACCTCGTCTTCTAAACTTTAAATAGCGGGTCGGCCAACGCAACGGTGGATTGGTTGAATCTGACCTTAGATGAAGCTTCGTCACCTGGCGTGGGTGGTGATGCGCTATACGGACGCCGTTTGCTCCCGTCATTCACGACATCGTCGACGTCAACGCGAGCCGCGTCTGTGCCGCCGAAGACCAAAGTATGGAGGCGTTCGTGATCTATATCCTATACATCAGGAGACCGAAAAATTTTCGTCATTTATAAGGAACTCGCGCTTCCTTGACTCAAGGTTGAGTACCTAAGCCTCTCATCTAACGAAAAACGCAGTCGAGAAACCAAACGGTGACAACACGAAACCCCCTGAGACAGGTGAACCAGATGCTTCGAAGGGCAGCAAGAATTCTGTCGAGGCCGTCGCTGCTGCGATCCCTAACACTGGCAAGATACAAGATTTGCTAGTCGTTTCGAATAGTCGCAACAGCGCTGCTGCAGGTAGTACTGGCGGAAACACATCCAAGGGGGACGCACCAGCAGCAAGTGGAGTTCAATCAAAGTCTAGTAGTAGTAGTAGTGGTACAAGTGGCGGAGCCGGTCCTACTTCTTCTAAAACTTCCGGTGGTGCTGCTCCTTCTGCAGCAAGGGCGACCGGCGCGCCAGTGTTGACGCGGAAACGCATATTTGCGAATGATGATGCGGATGTGGACAAGCACAGCCTCTTCCGCGATATGCTACTCGGAGGTGCGCAAACCGAGGAACGAGGGTCCTCAACTTCCTCTACTTCCGCCGAAACTTCTGCCGCTACTGTATCATCATATCCTGCCTCTTCTTCAGTTCCAACACATGGCTACGCTGCAATATCTTCTGCAGCAACAAAAAAGCCGCCCAGCATGGTCCAAATATGTAAAGTACCCGCGGGGATAGCAACAACGACTCTATTAGCGTCTGCTGGAGTCGCAGCTAGGCGAACAAAGAGCCCGCAAGTTCCCGGATCGCTTCTTCAAGCACAAACAAGGACCCAAAGCGGCACAAGGGCACGGAAGCAGCCAATCGTGCAACTGGGATCGTCAGCCGCTCCTGGTGGTCAATCCTTCTCTTAAGGACTATTCTTGCCGATTTTCACATAAGTACATAGATCAACGGATCCTTCTTGAGCTCTACAACTTCCTCGAAAGATAGATACTCTCATGTTGTTGCCCAGCCACCTCAGCTCTGGAGGATTGCAACCAGACCAGGGCACGCATGTAAGACATGACCTAGAAACCTCTTTTTCATCAAGGATCATTCCGGCGGCCAGTGGATTTTTGACAAAAATATATTTTTCTTTTCTAAGATTCGCGGTCTTCATCTTCCGTTACGACCCGACCTCCACTTGCAGGTGGTGATCGGTACTTGCCGCCGGCCGCGCGACTGTCCAACATGCTGCAAAAACTGAGTCCTGGTGAGAGCTTACGCCTGCGCTCAGCCAGTCCATTGAAAGCGGCGTATGCTAGACCGAAACACTCAGTCCGTGCGTCGTCCGCAAGCAGCTACTCCATCGGCCGCAAAAAAGCTGCTGGCGTGGGTCTTTATGCAGTGCAGAGGTAGCACAAGATAGAGTGAAGAGGCAGGAAACGCATCAAGAACATGAGTAGTAAAGCGGTAGTACAAAGAAGGGGCTGCGCAACACGACGTACCAGGCTGGTGAAAATTACTTACTTGATAACGAGATGGCAATGCATGTGATACTACCAACCAATTCATGATAAGTATCGAATATTTCACATACTTGGTCTCTTTGTATACCAGAACGTACTCACTCACTTCTTATGATTTCATCAGCCAGCACAGTGGCACTTATTTTTGAGCTTCCTCTCGTTTTGAAAACATAGCCAGACACGCGGAGTAGATAGTTGAATATATTTCATTCTGGGTGAGTCGCTGATGAAGTAAATTGCAATTCACGGTAATCATAGTTTTTACGGGCTATAAAGAGTGCTAACACGAAATCTGAATCCCCAAAAATGGAATAGACAAAGCTACAACATTCTGATAGCATCATCATCATCTTCAGTCATCTTCTCTTCGATGAATTTGAATTTCTACTTTCTCTATCTTTTGCTGTTATCGACGATATTACACCCAAAATTATATCTGTATTTGCTGCATCCTTCTCTTCCATCTTGAATCTAATGTCATACAACTACTTGTTACTAGGAGAACGTAAGTACTTCTGACCGTCGGCAGCATGCAAGCATTTCCGCTGGGGCGTCGATGCATTCGCTGCATGTGGCCTAGCTCTTCCGTCCTGTTGTACAGTTATGTAAAGTTGAAATATGAATTTGTACGCCGCAATCCCATGCATCAGGCGGTGTTACTTACTATACTTTTTCCCTCGAACAGAAAATGATGAAAGGAGCATGTCGCCTTTTGGCTTGCTGCAGCAACAAATTCACTGATACTCAGTCTATCGCAATCTCACATGATTTTTCAGCGATGCTTATGCGCTTCCCCTACTCGCACAAGATTGTGAACACGACTACATCAGGAGGTAAAATATACGCAAACTGTGCCGAGCGACTCAAAAGCAAAAGCAGAGCTATGTTTGCTATATTATCGAAAAAAGGTAGAATCACGAACAAATCTGAGTAGAAGCGAGACTTCTATTGAAACGAAGGTGTTTCACGCATATTTTGAATTCGAACTAGCAGTAGTACAAAAGTAGCTATTTTTATTTCATGACCAACGAAGAAGAAGAACTGTAACCTTGTTTCTAAAAGAACCTCATGGGGTAGATACATTTGTTGTGACCTTTGGTTTGTGTGCAGAATAAGTAAGTAATCGAACTTCGGATTTTTCAACGTCACCATAGTAAGCGTAAACAGAAGAAAGACCAACAAAGATGCCTTCAGTGTTTGGGTCCGTCCTGGACCCAACAGCGTCGCTGCGTGAAGACGCGATGCTGATCAGTGATGACCCCTCATCGGAGAAACAACTGGCAAGTGAGGGTCTTGCCCTTGGAGGGGGTGGAGCAGGTGGAGATGCTGAAAGCGTTGCCATAGCGTTCAGCTCTGTTTCTAACAAAGAGCAGATCAAAAACACTTCATCGACAGCAGGCGGAGAAAAAGTTGGACTAGATAAAGCGCACCATGGTCCGGACACTGCAACAACAACTTCTGGTGCCAAGGAGGTTGTTGCAGTGCAACGAGATGCAGCGATCATGGTTACCGCAACACCTGTGGAGCCGGAGATCGAGCGTGACACAGAGGAAACGGAAGAGATGACTGCCGATGAAGTGTGGCGGACAGTGCTTATGCCGCAGAAACTGGCTGGCTCACCTGTGATGGCATTCGCTGCCGGATATGATCAACGTACTGCTGTAACCAGGCCTCATTCTGAACAATGAATTTTCCCTGCCTTTGCTCCTATTTTTTGATCAATTTATATCGTAGGGGCATTAGCGTAGTTGTTAAGGAGATTAAGAGCTCCCCCCTACGCCGGTAGCTACGCGGAAAATATGTAGACAGGTTCTTCACGGAACTCGCTCGCGATACAAAAAAAAATAATTTCTTGTGCATCAAATTGAATTTGAAACTTAAGCGAGATGAAAACGATTAATGCTTGGATACATAAATGAGCTTGAAAAATATGGTCTCCCAAGATTGATGTCCCCCAAGCAATATTTACAGGTTTGTTCGACGGATGGGTGAAGCAGCCCTCGCCATGCTGCGGTGCGGCGTCGGTTGCTGGTGCCTGGAACGCTCTCCGTGTGGTTCACCGTGCGGATTCGCAGGCGAAGAATTTCCGTGATTTGACTGATGTGCTTGCGAAATACTGCGACGCGTTGGCTCGCGGTCGTCGGAAGCGACTAGATCGGATGCTGGACGGATACCTGCGATGCGTCCTGCCTGGTGAGGAAATACGCAAGATGGGAGAGTTCTTCGACGTAAGGCTCCGCGATCCTATGTTTTTCAACAACCCAGAAGCAGTACAGGCGGAATACATGCGCCGAAATCTGTATCCGAGACCTGTATCACCTTCTGTAGGACCTGCGCTTCATCTTCGCTCAGGCGATTCTGTTGCCAGTTCTGCGTCTGTGCTGGCGCAGGCAGATGCTGGCTTGACAAGCAGTCAGGGCCAAGTTGCTGTCCCTGGAGAAGACCCATCTTCACGGGAATCGAGTACGGATTTAGCTGCTTCGGCGCTAGAAACGTCGCTAGATCATGTAGATGCAGTTGCGCCAGGTGCCACCTGTACTACTTCGAATATGGCAGATGAAGCAGACGGAATAGATGAAACAAGTAACAAAAGAATTTTAGAACAAGGGCAGCAGGCAATTACATCACCCGACAATCCTGTGCCTGTTGAAGCGCCAGGAGCGCCTTCGCGGACGAAAATAGTGCCCGGCAAAGACATGTGTGAACGGGAGAAGAAATCACTGCCAGTGTCGAAATATCGTAAGACTGAGGAGAAATTTCCGATGATCCTGTTTCTGGAGAAATATTTGGAAGAATATCTCTTCGAAGTTGAACAGAGGACTTGGACCGGCACCAAGAAGAAGAAGCTGCAGCATCAGCAGAAGGCGGGCGACGAGAAGCCGCCTGAAGGGGTTACTAAGACGGCAGCGCAGAATGCATTAAAGGCGGTCTGCGAAGCGCGAGCCGTAGCACAGGGATTTCGACCCCGCGACGACGCAGAGGTTAGCTGGCCACGCGATGCGTCAGAGAGCAGTTCTGTGTCGACAGAAGGTAATTACCACTACAATGTTGTACCATTTCCAATTATTTCCGTTTGCACAAGATGAGATACTAGAGACAAAACAGGTGCACAATTGACGATGCTCGCGGGGAAGTCATCTGTTTCGCCTTCGATTCAAAAAAAGCCTGCTACTCGTTCCTATACCCCTAGGGTTCATCATTTCAAAATCGGCAGGTTCGTAGGCAATTAGTCTTAGTGCGCAGTAATATAAGGAGGTAATCGGACTCCACCTGTCGCCGGTTTGCGAACTGGATAAAACTGGGATCACCCTTCCGGCGGTCTTGGAATACAAGAAAAAAAAAATCCTAACGAACTGAAGGGTCACTGAAATTGCAACTCTCCTCTGTGCCTCTACATACACTACAGCCGTGACCGCTGGTTCTTCGTCGTGCAGCAGCGCAACTGGATCGCGTTCTGGCAGTAAAGAGAGCGTCTTGTCTGAAGTGTTTTTCACACCTTACTCCGACCTCTCTTCTGCATCCGAAACCGACTGTGTGGCTGGTGAGGGTGGAACGATGTCATCAAGCGCGGTTCGGGGTCGTGGAAATAGCAGAGCAGGTCTTGACGAAGACGCTAATATCATTTTTACTGGCACAAAGAATGATATCATGAATCAGACGATATCCTCAGCAATAGCCGGGGCAGCGGAGAAGGAGGCCCTTGCCGCAGCAATCGACAGTCAAAAACCTACGGATTTTGAGGCATTGTTGTGGACTTCTCTTCTGGAAATGTCGACGGAGGAACGCTTTCTCACGGAATTAGGTTTCTATTATTTGATTGTTCATGTTGAGCAAACGGCTTCGGGTCGTGGCGGTACTTTTGAAATAACCTACGCGAAGGAAGGACAAGCTGATAAAGCTAAAATTCCTTTGGACGTAGTAAAACACTTACTGTCCGTTTCACAAAAAGTTCTCATATCTCACTTCATCAGGTGAGATGTACATCAAAAAGCGCGCAGTGGCTCGGTTGACGCAGTATCTCCCAGGAACTGCAGAGATCGGCAATTGGGGAATTCTGAAAGCTTGTCGTCGCGTTGGGCTTGCTGCGTCCACGCTTGTGAATCGTCGAAGCATTATGGCCGAAAAGAACGCCAGTGATGCAGACCGCAAAGCAAGTTTGTGGAATCTGTTGAAGTCGCACATTGGACAGCCAAATTGCGTTCTCCTCTTCCACTTGACCAACCACTACGCGCTGATCTATTGTTGGCGAGAGTTTTTCCACGAGGTTGATGAGATTCCTACCGCCTCGGTCGCAGCAGCACCAGAAAACACGGAACAAGCGTTGGAGGGGAGCAGCGCCGCATCTACGGCAACCGCTGCTGTCGAGGAAGACAAAAATGACAAGAATCCGAATGGCGTGTCCTTAACGGAGGTCGAGATGGACGTGGTTGGCAAGGATTCATCGTCCACCAGCTCTTCCTCGGAAACAGCAGAGGCGCGACCCAAGGCTTCTCCGAAACGCTTGTCCATCGCAACTCCTCGTGGTGGCACCAAGCGGAAAAAGAAGATCTCCAGTCCCTCCAAGAAAAACAGCGGCGGGAAAAGCGGAATGTCCTCCTGCCAAAGCGCGAACTTCGTCCTGGTCCCCAGTGGCGGAATCCGGCCAGCAGCGGCGAAACAAGCACCACCGCTACCAGTGATAGGCGGCACTTCACTGATAGGACGCGATGAAGGAGATTTATGGCGAGAACTAAACGACTTTTACTGAAGTGTCTTCTTTCTCACAACAAACCAACGTTTCCACGATGTGCTCTCAAATAATCATTTGAAACTAAGATAGGACACTGTCTCAAAAGGTAAAATGCAGTCTAATTCTTGATGACGAGCCTATGGACGTTGTAGAAACGCAAACAGCAGCACCGGAGCGCGCTTCTGGAACCCGAATTATGAAGCACGTGCGAGAGATCTACACAGCGAGAAAAGGTCAACGGCCGACGGCGTGGCTAAGCCTGGACGAGGTGTATAAAATCTTGGTCGGATGGTCGGGTTACGCCATCATAAAAGTGTCCCTGAAGCGCCCACAAGACGGTGGGTCAGATCAGAGCAATGATGAGGAGGACGAAGCCGATATCTGTCAATGAAGTAGGACACAGACTACGCACAAATATTAAGTAACCATAATCCATTGCTTAATGAATAAGTTGGGCCTTTTATCAATCCGCCCCCTGCTAGCGCTAGGAGATTCATCCGATTGATTATCACGTCTGATATCGACGCAATACCCATACGGGATCCCTACTCCTTGTTGATAGAGTTTTACCCCCGATAGCGCATATCATGATCCTATGATATAGTAGTAGTTTTATCATAGTCACTAGAAGTATATAATAATGAGTCCTTCCTAGAATGACCTACTAGTACTAGTTTATTATATGAAACTAGAAAACTTTTTTACTCATTTTCTGGGTGCCAGGGGGCGACCCACTATCGCGAATCAATCCAGTAGCAATATCGCATCAGCACGTCCTGTCGTTAGTTTGCTTGGGGTGCTCGAATGAATTTCTGCTGTGTTGTGGAGTTAAAGCTCCTCTTTTCCCTTGGGAGCTGGTCTATATCTCGCACACATATACAGTATGTCATGTGTATTTACAGAATTATGAAAAGGGACTAATTAATTTGGTAGAACGCATTCTTGTGGTTTTTCAGAATTTTTTTGTAAAATGTCAATCGCGAGGACGAGCATGCCAGTTTGCACAGATTGGCAATGCCTCGTGTGGTCTTCGCTATTCCAATCCTTATGAATATCCCTGTTATATATTGTTCATATTCTTGTATAGCAACATTGGTAATTGAGAAAAAACTCCAAATTACGGCTGAAAATTGGGGGATGTTAGTTTCTAAAAGAGAAACAAAATTGAAAGGGAATCGCTTTGCTCCTTGAAGAATTTTCAAATTTATGTGTTGTAATAAAAGACATCTCTGACGATGGCATGGTGGAATTTTCACCACTCTGTCTCCAGAAACAAGAATGACGTCCGCGCACTTCAACTGGGATTTTCTCCCTCTTCCGCTTCCTAGCTCCGCTTCTTGTTTTTGAATATTTCCGCTACCAGTTGTTCTCTTCTAGCTCGACGTCCTTCTTTTGGAGAGAGCAATAAATACTTACCGGAAACATGAATGGAACTGAACCATGTTTGATGTTCGATAAATCAGGATCCATCTGCAATCGGTCATAAAAATAATTGTCTTGTCCTTGCTTACAAGAAAGAAGTTGATGAGGGAGCTGCTTCGCTAGGACGGCTCCTATGATCTGCTTATAGCCTGCTCCTTCTCCCCGGTTTTTCTTCGGCACAGCTGCAATTTTGTCGTCGATTCTCCTGAGCTCTACATTTTACACATTGATTGACTTTTTCGCAGCAGGCTGTAATGGGCCGAAGCCTTCCAGATATTATGCCCCTGGCAGGCTTGTCCCTGTTGTTGTGGTGGTGGTGTTACCGAGTAACATCCACAACCTAAATAGCACGCAGCTTCATGCTGTTCGTATCCTTATGGTGTCACTCAACGAGAACGCCCAGAAGGAGAAGGACGAACACAGTCACAGGCGGAGAACAAACAGACCAAGAGAGAAGAGCCAACCGATTCAATTCAAGGAATGCGGAGCACCGAGCGACTTGATTGATCTGGTTGATCTGGATCTTCCTGCGTAACGCAGGCGAGCACAAGATCAGCGTGTCACTTTTGTCTCAGTTGTCTCCTTTGTTTTAATTTTGACCTTGAGCAAGTTGTCAATGGTGAGCACGGACTAAGGCCAATATTACAACCACAACTACTTGCCAAAAAAATAAGTTGTTTGAGGATGTCTTGATTGTGAATTTTTCTGTAATGTTGTGTAGTCGATGTCTACTCATTGTTCCGCTGAGCAAGCACCTAATAGTAAAAGTGTTTGAAAACACCACGGCAAAATCGAGCAAGACAAGAAAAAATAACCTCAAGCAAGAATCAGGACGATAAAAGATGTCGGCGTTTGAGGTTCTGGGTGTCTGCCCTGAGATAATCCAGGCGATTGAGGAGGATGATTGGCTCCTGCCGACGCCGGTACAAGATGACGCCATTCCGCTCATTCTCGGAGGTGGTGACGTCCTCGCTGCAGCGGAAACGGGTTCGGGAAAAACGGGAGCCTTCGGCCTTCCCTGCCTTCAAATCGTGCACGAGACCCTTCGAGGAAAATGCGTGACCAAAGCGAACGCAGAAGGAGCAAGCAACCTGAAGTAGTTACAGATGCATTACTAGCCTAGAGCGACGTGTAGCTCATTTCCGCACTAGAATCACCACGCACCAACACAAACCAAAAAAAAACATGCCGGCGCACGTGCAGGCACCGACCTAAAATTTGCGCTATGCAACCACAGAAAGGAAACCCCTCCACATCCTGAAGGGTAGCCAAGAAGGCGCTGGGAAGGGGGAGAGACGTTCTGGGATCTAGTAATGTCCGAGAAAAGTAGCTGAGGCCGCTGCCCTCTCTCCTTCTATTAATGTCCGAGAAAAGTGGCCGAGGCTGCTGCCCTCCTCCTCTTCTTCTATTAATGTCCGAGAAAATTGGCCGGGACTGCTGTCCCCCTCTGCTTCTATTAATGACCGAGAAAAGCCGAGGCCGGTGGACTGACTCCAAGGCGGCGGCTGTCCTCCTCTTCTTCTATTAATGTCCGAGAAAAGTGCCCGAGGCTGCTGCCCTCTTTTTCTTCTATTAATGTCCGAGAAAAGCCGAGACCGATGGACAGGACGGCGAGCGCTCTCCTGTTCTTCTATTAATGTCCGAGAAAAGCCGAGACCGATGGACAGGACGGCGAGCGCCCTCCTGTTCTTCTATTAATGTCCGAGAAAAGCCGAGGCCGATGGGCTGGGTGGTGGTTGCCTTGGTCTTCTTCTATTAATGTCCGAGAAAAGTAGCCGAGGCCGCTGCCCTCTTGTTCTTCTATTAATGTCCGAGAAAAGCCGAGACCGATGGACAAGACGGCGGGCGCAATTTTACAATTACTTTTTTTTTTATAGAACTACAATTACTACATTTTGACTGGTCGGAATACTATGTGCTCGCTTGTTCCCTTATAGCACGAAGGAATATGTAAGAAAATGATAAACATTTTTTCTGCTTTCCAATTCATTGTTGCTTCCTGTACAACTTGTATTTCAATGACAGAGTGAAGAAGCGCGCGAAGGAGATGAAATCTATGTCTTCCTGTTCACGAATGTGTTACGTGTTTCGTATGTCCAACCGCAATTCAACACAGGTGTGAGCTGAACTTGAACGATAAAGACATGTTTGTCTTAGTCACTGAGGATGGCCTGGAGTGTAAAAGCGATGACCATGTGAAGTGGAATGGTATCCGCGCGAACATAGAGGTGCAGAGCGGAAGATACTACTATGTAGGCCCCTCACGTTTTGCTCTTTGACATAATAGACTATGCAACAAGCTCCTCATTCACTGCCTCTTCTGCGTATCCGTTTGTATGCTGACGGTTAATATTGTGATTGATGTCAGCTCTCTATGAATGTGGAAATTGTTTGGTGGTACTGGTACAATCTAGTTTTGGTAAGCGTCATTCTGGCCAAATAGGTAGAAAATATACGAGTGGGGGATATTAATTCTTGTCGCAAGCGCCGCTAATCCGGGATCAGCTCGCGTCAGTCTGCGCACGATCCTCTTGCCCGCCTTGTTTTGACTTTTCTATATCTGATGCCTCTCATTGCCGTGATAATAAGCTTACGCTGCGCCCTCGTGCCTCTGCCCAATCCCTATGTGGGGCCCCGCTCGATTCGGGGTAGCAAGAGCAAGTGACTTCACGCTGCTGCCTCGAGGCTATAGCCGCGCGCTCATTATGGCCGCGCATCGAGTTCGGACGCCCACTGCTTTTAAATTTGTTAATCTTTATCTTTCTTTGTTTTTGAAGCATGTACTTACTTAGTTTCGACATCTCGTTCTTCTAATGTGCGAAGTGCTTGTCGTCGATGGGCTCTGCAGAGTAGGCTGGGGCGCGTCGTTCGCTAAGCTCGAGCTAGGGAGCGACGACAAGAGCTTTGGTTATGGCGGGACCGGAAAGAAGAGCTGGAACCGAAAATTCGAAGATTACGGAGAAACATTTCAATCTGGGGATGTCGTTGGGTACTTTATTTTACTCCACCTGATACTTCATCACATCCCTCTACTTCATCGGTTTACCAATCAAAACATGACAGGTCCTCCAAAGCCCTCCCTATCTTCCACCTCCACAAAGTCGTCTTCGTTTATAAGATTAAAAGTTCTAGTGCAGGGGTTAGTCAACTTAACGACCTACAGTCTAGTCCTCTCATCATTATTTAACTCCTGATAATTTTGTCAACATAATCGAAATCACTTAGGTATTGATAAAGACCTCAGCGCTTACTCTCCGTGTCTGTAGTCAAAGCTGCCAAGACAACTAGTTTCTCTTGATTCTGGTATAACCACGGTTTACTTAGTACTACTTGAATGACTACGACGCACATGAAATCAACCCACCCTCGTCTCAGCTGTTTTCTGGACCGTAGCTCTGAAAAGGCGAAGATTTCGTTTTCGATAAACGGACGCCCGCTTGGTGTTGCCTACGAGCTTGACGTCTCCCAGTGGGAACGCATCGGATTGAAGCCGCACATCTGCGGCAAGGGATTCAACGTGGAATGCCGATTCGATAAGTCAACAAGACTCGATTATGTATGATTACTTGTTGTATTAAGAAAATTTAGAGAGTTAAGCTGCAGATCATTTAGATACTGGTGTCTTTTTTTCAACTGTTTGATGTTTTTCGATGCGGCCGCCCAATATGCAATTGTTGATTGAGGTCTGTTTTTTCGCAATCCTCTCTATGTTTCGAACAGACGAAGCGGTAATAGTATTTGCTTGTTTGATCATCATACTTCTCCTCTTTCATTTTTCGTATCCGCATGATGGGTATACTCCGATTGGCGAGATCGACCCGAAAGACACTCCGCAGGGTCTTTCCGGGACTCGGGGAAAGCGTCCCCTTCTATGTATGATCCTTGAGCCTACGCGAGATTTGGCAGAACAGACCTACAAGTGCATCCTCAAGTTCAGCAAGTACCTCGAAAATCCGCGAGTAAAAGTGGCGCTCTTTGTCGGAGGTGTCGATGAGAAAGAGCAATACCGCGCATTGCAGGAAGGCGTCGATATCTGCGTCGGCACTCTGCAAAAAACCTTGGATCTTATGAACGGGCTCAGAGACAGAAATGATCTATTTGCAGCTTATTCCTGAATCAGTCGCATAAACTAGTCCCTTCAAATTTAGTTGCATTTTAAATTGATTTCCGACTGAGTCACTCTTGAAGATGATGAGCCACACCGTGGTCGTCTTGGCCTCGCAAAAAAAGTCGAAAAAAAGTCATCATCTACTTTGCTCTTCTTCATCTTTCATATCCGATGTCCGGCGTGGAAAATTGGACGTTTCGCAGGTGAAGTTTCTCGTTCTGGACGAAGCGGATGACTTGCAAAAAAAGGATGACCGCAAAGAGATACCAAAGTTGAATGCGCAAATCAAACGCGGACGTCGGGACCGCGTGCAAACCCTTTTTTTCTCAGCAACTCTCCATACACCAGAGGTGCAAACCATGTTATGGAAACCAATCAGCAATGTAACTAACGAGTACGCATTGATTCGTTGTAATTTCAGTGTCTACATTAACCGTTTATTTCCACGCGATGATATGCGCATATCATCCGACTGACTTCTTCCTTCGCTTCGTCTCTTGGCAGAAGCTTATGAGGCCTCTTGTGGCTCTAAGTTCCATCTCCGACATTACGACGCGCCCGATCTGGGTGGATCTGAAGGGCAAAGATAGTGTGCCTGATACAGTGCACCACGTCGTGTATAAGGTGAATCCCAAAGAGGAGCTGAAGTGGGTGGACTTCGCAGTTCACAGCAAGAATCCGAACGTTTGCATTCCCACGGATGAAGTGCACACAAAGCCGACGATGAGTGACTTCGATCGCAAGTTTCCAGAAGCCTTGAAACTCTCAGAGCGCATCAAACGACAGAAGTTTCAGCTGGTCGTCAAAATCGCGGACGCTTTCAAGATGACACAGTGCCTTTGCTTCTGCCGTACCAACGTCGACTGCAACAATCTCGAGAAATACCTGAATACACTTGGCGGTTGCCCGGGCGGGTGGAGAGGGAAGGTCCTTCAGAAACTATTAGTAGAAGTTTAAGTTTTGCATTTATTTACTTCACCAAGTAAGCTTGCAACGATCTAGAAGGTACTTACTTGTTCGAACTTCGAGATACAAACTTAGCTTGAGATTTTGTCAACTGAAGTTGAAAATTTGGATCAGATTGTAGATTTTCTCCTTTCAACACCTCATTAACAGACCGAGACGGGTAAGGAGAATCCGTATTCGTGTGTGGTGCTTGCTGGTATGCGAGACCAAGACGAGCGTCGGCAGAATCTGGAAGCTTTCAAGGAGGGTGACATCCGGTTTCTAATCTGTACGGATGTAGCTGCGCGTGGCATAGACATTCAAGGGCTGCCTTATTTGATTATGGTGACGCTCCCAGACGACATAGAAAATTACATCCACCGAGTCGGTCGGGTAGGCCGAGCAGAACGGGCTGGTTTAGCCATTTCCTTGGTGGCAACCGAAAAAGAGAAAGTCTGGTACTAGAAGCTTTCAATATTGCAAGGAAGTACGCTGAAATTTTCACCCGACAATTTCTTATGCATGGAGGATCTTATTGAACAAAACTATGGTCACATTTCTGACTATTTGTGTCATTCTTTCCGCCTCTACTAACCATGGTCGAATATTAAGGTATCACAAGTGCAAGAGCCGAGGAAAGGACTGCCAGCCGTGGCCAGGCAACACGCGGTTGACTATTCCTTTCGGTACCGATGGCAAGCTGAAAGCACGCGACCCAAATGCTTGGGTCATTGACGAAGGGGGTTGCAGTATCTGGTACGATGAACCGGACTTGGTACAAAAGGTCGAAAAACGAATCGGCATGCCTTTGAAGGAGATGAATCCGGACGACTTCAGCATTGAAAATTTGCTGCCGTCGCCTCTGACCGAGGAAGAACGGCGACGAAACCTAGGGGCAAACAGTACTCGTAGCGGATCTTCTTCTGGTCAGGATGCTAAGAAGGCGGTCGCAGAAAAAAGTCGGCGAGGCAAGCAAGCCGCGACCGCGAATCAGCAAGTGGTGTACGGGAAGAAGCAGAACGAAGATGTGAGCACGAAGAAAACGTACACTGAACTCGTGCATTCTGTTGTAGAGTTGGCCAATTTGGAACGCTACATTCAACAGCGCTTCGTCAGCACTGCATCGAACGCCAAGCAGCGGCGCGCAGCCCGTCGGCGTGTAGACTTCGCCTCTGTTGTCACCGAGCGCTTGCGAAACTTGATACCCGCGAGTAGTCTGGCAGCCCGAAAGAGACCCTCCGGCGATGTTGCTGTCGACCAAAATCTGAATAACAGTGTGGGCTTGTCGCCTCCCGTGGACTTCGACTCCTCTTCGTCTGCAATGCGAGTTGATGATGTTGCTCCAATCGAAGACCACCAGCAAGTGGAAAGCATGGGTATCGACGAAGATTGGGGCGATGTTCCTGCTCCCTCAACATCTTCGAGGTCCTCGTTTGGAGTTGCGGGAACAGTGCCGAAAGCAGCGGCACCAACCTCCTTACCGAGGAATGGACCCCCGTCGACAACTAAGTACTACCCAGGAGCTTCATCCTCGTCTCCCGCCGCGGGCCCAGTTAGTTTGGGGGCACCTGCCCTCTCTTCACACGAGGAACCGAGTAGCGCGAGACGTGATCCTGTTCCGCAGGAGTTACCAGCCGCAATTGCAGATGCGGAGGAAGCACCAAAGGCCAAGAAACAGGCCACTGGATGGGCACGGGGCAAGAGAAAGGCGAGATGGTGAGCTCGTGCTTGTGAAAATGTTGATCATCGAAGCTTGATTGCGATCACAAACATAGCAACACCAGCACCCCTATTTTTTTCACGCGCTCATTTTTCAGATGATGATGTCCCATTCCCACCGCACGTCAAGCGATGCGATTGCATCAGCTTTCTATCGATACTCCGGGTTTATTAAACCCGTGTACCAATAACTCGCACAATTTCATCAACTCGGGCACACAATGATAAACGCCCAGCATAGCTCCATCTATCCCAACCCGTACAGTCACTTCTGCGACACTAGCAGAAACGCAATCCCCGTAGTCCAACAAACTCACGCTTTGATTTTGCTGTTCTTACAGGACGGATATGAGCCTGCTTTTGCTTTCGGTCTAAGCAAGAAGTCGGTTCAAGAATACGCGGAGCTGAAATCATTTGCAAGTACCAATCAGGTTGACAAAGAGCAGCGTACCTTGTCTGTATCAATTGATCTGATGGACCAATCCCGCGAAGTCGTCTGTTACGGTAACAGATTGTCGGTGGAAGCAAAAGGATGAGGATTGAACGATTTGAGGCCGATAGATAAACAAATTTTCAGCTAACATTTTAGAGGAGAATATGAGCAAGTCAAGGAATCAGATGTGAGATCTCTGTAAGACTTTTTTTGAGTTTTTTCTTTCAACATTGATGATCATGGATTTGGATCTGAACATAAAGATGCACGCCTGTGTCCGCGAGGATGACCAGGATGGGTTTGCAGCGGACTCCTCTGCTTGTCCAGAAGTAGCTGGCCATCAAGAAGACAGCATCAAAAATGAACAGGCCATGCTGGTGGATACAGCAAAGGAGCAAGAAAACGATGTTGGTGAAGAAAATTGTGCCGCCAGCAAAGGCAAACAACAGCACGAAAAAGACGACAAATCCTTTGCGACGTACTTATTTGCCACCAAAGTCGGCGCAGGGCAGCACTATGGGTCAGCCTATCACTCTGAAGCGGCAAAACGCTACTTCGACGAAAATCAGGTACAACTGGCCGCAACGGCGCCCATCCTGCTCAACAGCGATCCGAGTCGGCTAGAGCGGCAGAACGCTGAATTACGGGCTTTCGCAGACCAAATGCAGAAAGAGCGAGACGAGGCGCTCAGAAAACACGCCAGCTATGAGAAGGAGCGCATAGACCTGCTCAACGAAGTGGGAAAAGTGCGAGCAAACATACTTGATAAGTACTCCACCTCTCCTGGTCAACATAAGTAACTGCAACATAGATACATGTTTATCGATATCCATGACTACCACCAATTCATCATGTGTCATCATCTTATTTGCTAGCGCCAATACTGTAGCTACCTAGCTACATCGGACAACAACTACAACTTCTGTAGGTCGTGATGCCTACTTTATTTGATTCTGAAACCTGGTGGTGTTGTCTGTAACTTCTTGAGAGCATCAATTGGTAGCTCAATAGACGATGACTCGATAGAAGACTCGTTCCAGGTACGAGCCCATGTGTCGGCAGCTTCAGGAGCAACTTCGGGCAACGCGACGCGTGTCCTTCGATACAAGTAGCGTGGATCATGAGTCACCTTTTTTATTTTCAGACGCGGGGGAGCTCTTGGATCGTCCACCCTATCATAGCGAGATCTATCTCAACAAAGAGGACAACATCGCACACGCAGAACAAGCGGGACTAACGACGACATGCGAAAAGAAGATTGAGGGCGTTAAAGATAACTACCTGGTCGATCGTCCGGTAGATGCTGAGCAAAGAGGTGGTCCATCGCTGTCAGCTGGTTGCTTAGAGCAACAGAGTATTCTCATCTCTGCGGAAAACGTCAAGAAAATGAATGGACATGAAGTTTATGGAGCAGATGCTGCATTGCATGATGCTGAAGATCGTAGGAGAGTTCACCATCAACACCGCGAGGATCTCTCCGAAGTAGACGCTATTCTCGAAAGAGCGAAGAGATCTTTGGCTGCACGCTGGGATATGGAATCTCGTCCCTCGAAACCTGGAACAGATAAGCCTCAAGATTGTATTGAGAAAGTAGAACCAGCACTAGCATCGAATGACCCGAGTGGAAAAGCTGGATCAAATTCAAATCTGACCATTGGAGCTCCTGAAGAGAGTCGTGAGCAAAGACAAAAAAGCCACCGAACGAGTCACTCCACGACCTCAAAGAGCCGTGGTAATATGGAAAAGAGCCAGAGCGGAGTATCTTCCTCAAACCGGAGTAAGGGGGCGCAGCAAGCCCACGACGGCCATGATGGAGGAACCCCACAAGCAGGTGGAAGTCGTCTTCGGGTAGTGCAAGATGCAGATGGCAAGCGGCAAGAGGAGGAGCTGGACTGCATTGCAGTTCCAGCAAAGTTTCGAAATGGCATCACCTTCAGGGCACCAGGCGCAGCAACCCTGCAAAGGCAACATCAAACGAACGGCAGTGCATCATCGAAGCAAGCTCCTCTTTTTTCCAGGTCACACCATCAATACCAAGACGGTTTTAGTGAAACACCAGTGAGGACCTCTTCGAGCAACAGCCCGATCAGAAGGAGGCTGGAGCAGGAGGTCAGCGGCGGAAGCGCGGGCGTTAGCGGTGCGGCTGTCTCGAAACCCGAGAGGCGTTACGGACCTCGCTTTGTCAGAGAGAGATCCGTGGACCGGCAAGCACAAGCAGAAACAGAGAGGGCTGAGCGGGAATGGCTGCGACGGGATCGACGCTACATTCTCGATCAGATGGGTCCACGGTTTCAGTATGTGATAGAGTCGTCACCCTCCAAAGATCGTGGCCCAGAGGCGGGAGCAGTCGAGCATCCTGTAGGGCCATTGTCCGCGACGAGTAGTAAGGAATCTACCACACCAACCACAGCATCGGTAATCGCAAGAACAGCGGCTGAGCTTAATGTGTTATGCCCGTGGCCTCTACGAGAACATGCAGAACTTTTCTCGTTCGATAATCACAGGATAGTCATGGGAAATGCGAGCCTTCCGAAGTGGCCTATTTCGGTACTTGCTTATATCCTCTTATTCCCTTACGTAAAAATCACCCTTATTGATATCATTATTGATTCTATCAAAAACCAAAAAGAGATCTCGGAATCAGATTGGTGATTTTCATCCCCAGACGTCGCACTTCCTACTCACTACTGACAAATACCTGTGTCAGGGTCCCGGCACCTCTAGCGTTGTACACGATGCGCTGATATCCCGTTGTCGCGAGCATCCGAAGCTGCCACTCATAGGTACCACTAGCGATGATGGAACGTGGCGCTTGAGCTCATTGGAGACGGGAGAGAACGTATTAACCGGAGAAGGACATCGTAGCTGGGTCACGGACGTGGCGTTTCACACCCAGGGCGACATTGTCATCACCACGGCGATCGACCGAACAGTAAAGTTGTGGAGCCTTCAGGAAGGTAGTGTTGAAGTCCCTCCACCTAAAGCAAATAAGAAATGGTTTTTTTTTCGAGTTGTCAATCCATCGCGATGATGTGTGCCTGGTGTATGACTCAGAAGTGGCACTTCGACCTATTTATTACGATCTAATTGTACGTTTGTTGTTGTTCCAAGTACGTAGAGAAGCCACTCAACAGGTAAGTGCCTGCAAACGTTAGTGCCTCAGGGGCATCGGAAAGCATGGTCATGTGATTCACATGATTTTTCGGACTTTTTCGCAGTTGGCTGCGACGATGGCGTTCTGTGCATATACGACGTCTCCACCGGGAAGCAGCGGCAAACGATGCGAGGCCATGCAGCTGCGATCACGAGCGTAGTGTTTCAGAATTTCAACAACGTGGTAGCAACAGGTTCGAACGATAAGTCCCTCTCAATGTGGGACATGCGAAGCGGAATCTGCGTGCGAACATTCGCAGGTACTTTAGTAAACACGAAAACTTGCGAATGAAGCAGAAGAGTTTTCGATGTATAGAGTACTATAATTATCTACGTATATATATAAATGAAAACTAAACTTGAGACCTAGAAAGGAGTAGTTTTGCGGTTTTGATGTACGCAAATCATGGCAAAGATGTACGGGCTAGATGTATTGCCTCGCCTGCGATATATATCTCGCGACGTCTATCTTGTACGTAAATCATGGGAAAGAAGTGCTGGCACTCTCGGGATGTACTTACGCCGGGGCGATTCGTGAGGGGTTTGGGGAGTTTTATATCTTTGAGATGTACGGAAATCATGGGAAAGATGTACGGACCTCACGCCGTAAAAGTGCCGCGATTTTGCGCCCGCCTTTTCCATGGTCCTGCTCCTGATAAATATTTCGGCAGTACCTCAAAACCTTGGACGATTTACGTGCTTCATCAGTTTCGTTACCAGTGCACCGCTGGGCTGTAGCTGGCTCGCTAGGCATAGCCTGCCCGCTGGGCGTAGCTTGCTGGCCAAGTATGGCTTAAGGTAGGCGCAGCTTGCTTTCTGAGCGTAGCTGGCTTGCTGCGCGTAGCTGGCTTGATGAGCGTAGCTGGCTTGCTGAGCGTAGTCGGCTTGCTGAGCGTAGTCGGCTTGCTGAGCGTGTCTGGCTTGCTGGGCGTAGCTGGCTTGCTGGGTGTAGCTGGCTTGCTGGGCGTAGCTGGCCTGCTGGGCTGCGCATAGCGTGCCTGCTAAGCGTAGCTGGCCCGCTGAGCATAGCTCGCCTGCTGAGCGTCACCTTCTTGCTTTGCTTAGCTTTAGCTTGCATGCTCAGAGTCGCTTGCTTGCTCGCCATAGTTAGCTTGCTTTCTGCGCGTAGCTTGCTTGCATGCTAAGCATGGCGAGCTTGCTCGCTAAGCATGACCTGGCAGCTAAGCATGGCTTGCTTGCTTGCTTGCTTGCTTGCTTGCTTGCTTGCTTGCTTGCTTGCTAGGCATAGCTCGCGCGCTAAGCATGTGCAAGGCATAGACTGCTTTCTAAGCGTGGCCTGCTTGCTAGACGTCGCCTGCTTTCTGGGCGGAGCTTGCTGTCTGGGAGTACCTTGCTCGCTACGCGTAGCCTCTTAAGGTGCTGCCAGTGTATATGTAGCACGTCAATTATGCGTGTAGCACGTAAATGTTTCACTTACGTCGTGTCTTGTTTATCTTCGCGTCCTTCGTATTACGCCGGTAGGCCGTAAGCCTCTAATGTAGCTTGTAGGATTTGCACGACCCTTCTGCCTTGCTCCGGCGTGTGTACACGCCGGGGGCACGTGAGCGGTACTAACATGAAAAACGTTTCGCTCCTCAGCCTCGTGCTTCCGCCAGCACCATCATGAGGCACGGGCACCCTCAACGACCCCCGTGTCCACCCTTCTCTTGAGGTCATACGGCGTTGTTGAATAGCGTTGCATTTTCCCCGGAGAATAAGTACGTGATATCTGCGGAAGAGAGTGGTCTGTGCCGTCTGTGGGACGTGCGGTATTCCGGCGAAGTCTTGCGGATAGAATGCGGCGCGACACCGGCTCATAGCGCTACATACGACTGCTCTGGGAAGCGGGTGGCCATAGCTTCACAAGACGGCAGTGTTTTGCTCTTCGATATCCACCAGAAGCATTTCGTTCAAGCGATTCATCCCAACAGCTGCGAAGACCATGCAGGTGCAGCTGGTCATGATACAGCAGGAGCCCCACTAACGAAAGCGGGGCAAAAAATGAAGCAAGTGGTACCTCCTCCACTAAGAAAGCAAGTAGGACTTTCAAAGCAAAACATCTCTACAAGCACGTCATCAAGTCCTGCCAATGATGTCCTGTGGAGTCGCGAAAATCGTTCTTTGGTCGCAGTGTTTGCTGACGGTACGATGACGCGATGGGAAGTCGCCGCTTGACGGTCATGGATCATGGCGTAGAAGCTTCTTGCGACGACGTGGCTCTGCTATCGGGCTGTATCAAATGGTACTATAATATCAAAAAGTGTATAGAAAATGTTGAGGTTCTAGTTTCTTGGAGATTTGAGTTAGATTTTTTAGATTGGTTACGCAAACATGAAACACAAAAGAAAGGATCAGCGAGCTCTGGACGAAGTGAAAGATCAATAAATGGATAAGATCAATAATTGGATAGGATGACTATGATGATCACAGCGGACACGCGACTAGCAGTTTCAACCTCAAATAGCTCCTCCACAAGACGCAATCCAACCTGTACACCCACTTCAAGCACAGGGTTAATAATGAAGCACGCACTTATTATTTTTAGATTGGTTTCCAATAAACTGCATGCATGCTTCAATTCCGGAGGCCCGTAAAAGTATCTGCTTACACAGTCACATAGCGAGCGACATTTGTCAATGCATTCCTGTAGCCATTGCGCTTCTTGATCGTTCTCCCTCCTCTGAAAACGATAAGCGCCGCAGGCTAAAGGACCGACGTTGAAACCCTCTGATGCGATGCACCGAATGCACCTATCTAGAATCTGGTTACAACTTGTCATCATCTGCTTTTTCTCTAACGTAAAAAATGTACTAGTACCATGTAGCTGTTTTTGTGATGAAGATAATAGATGTAGATACTTCTCATGCATTGATAGAGTCTTGAATGTACCGTTTCTTTGATAAATGGGACGAACTCGAATGTAAAATATTAATATTCCTACAAAACGCATCGACAATGCATTGCTGGGCTCCAGGCTCACGGGACTGTATAGGTTTGAAGAGATACAAAACATGCACCAGAAGTAGTTGCATAGTGTTTTCATATTTTCATAATGTGCTTGGTTGCTTCCTCCACCGTTCGAACAAGGTCGAGAGTAATACCGATTAGACACATAGCTCCATCTTGTTGATGTGAATGAATCGAGGAATAGCAAAGATCTACGAAGCAACTACTTGGACCGCAGTCCGCGGCCGCCTGATCCTTAGTGTACCTACAAGGAAATTCTGTCCGTCTTGGACACCAAGTTCAAGTGGGTTCGGTGGTTCCGCTTTCGCTGTGAAGGCGTCTTCGGTTCGTAGACCTACTGGAAACTACAAGTTCAAGTTGTTTGAATGTAGAGCGGTAGCACCCGAGCATGTGAGTTCTGTGTCATGAGAGTGTGGGTTGCAAAACGACGTCTGTGGTATTGCTATTAGAGGAATTTAACGAGGAGCGAATCTCACCTGGTGTTGCGAAGCTATCTACAGCGCTGGTGATGTTCATGTTCTGTCAATCAAAGGCCACACCAAAGCTCTAGTCTTATCCGTGTTCCTTCCTGTAGGGTTTAGCTCTTGCCTCTCGGGGTTCATCAGATAAGGCCCAGCATTTTTCTACTTATGAGCCGTCGACTAATATGCCCGTGGGGCTTTGGCTCTAAGTAGCTTTTCTGCGGCGATGGCCGTTGTGCTTCGTCGTCAGGTAGTTTTAGGTGCCTGGCCGTTGTGCTTCAGGCTTCTCGCTGGGTAATTGAGTCTTCACATCGCGAGGAATATAGACCCTGGCCCTCTAGACCCAGGCCCCCCAAAAAAAAAGTTGTGCTTCAGAATTCTCGCAGGGTACTTAGTTAAATGCTCGCATTGCGAGGAATATAGACCCAGGCCCCCAAAAAAAAAATCTGTAAAATTAACGTGGCTGTGGCCGTCGTGCTTCAGGATTCCCGCAGGGTAACTAAATGGAATTATAGCGGGAAACTGTAGACACATGTAACAAGAAAAAAATTCTGTTTGAGAGAGAGCGAAACTGATTTGTATGGTAACTGCCTACCTACCTGGGTGATCACTACGTATAAATATATTTCGGTGATCTGCCAGTAGCCTTCGGGAAACTGTTTGAGATCTAGTGCGTGTGAGACATCTGTCCCTGCGAGACGAGCGTTGGCGTGTTGTTTGTATTATACAGTTCCAAGAGGGTCTTCAGATAGTAGATAAGATGGGAGTTCGTGCGTCGTATGTTCAGAAAGATCGTTGCCTTAAGGATTCGCAGTTGAAGGACTCTCTGTTCATTATAGTATGCTTCTTCTGTTGAGATTAAAGAGCTCCTAATCCCATGGAGAGAATCCATTCGCACAGGGAACTTCCGCCCCGGAAGTCTCCCACCCCATTTCTTGTGCCCCTCCGGATATCTCTCTTGCAGTGACATAGGGTAGCGAAGCCCGCTGATGCTTTATCGATTTCACTTTTGATTTTTTTTTAAAGATAAAGTAAGGTATGGTAAGTAACTTTTTGTTAGTCTATCCCTTGATATTCCTTCCGCGAATGTATGATATAAACAAGCATGTCAGCACGATTGGATCTCTCCGGTTCATTATTCTTGAAACACTAGAGGTGTAAAGCATGCGGGTAGGTGGTACAAAGAAGGTCAGGAAAGGTATTCATCCGACATAATAAGGTGAATGGCGTAGAGTTTCAAACCACCCATGCAGCTGCCTACGCTTATAGGGCGACGACGAAGCGCAAACGAACCAAGGTCGCAGACCTTCAAGAAACCAGTAGGAGCAAGCTGGCCCTAGTCTAGTGTAGCCTCACCAGTACGACGACGCACCCGAAGAAACCTCAGGATTTTTCGCGGGCCGCCTCACTTTAAAAAAGTCCGATCTCAGTAGTGGCGCCGCCCTCTGTGCCGAGTGTCCACAGCTTGCAGCTTCAAAACCTAGCTAGCAAGTGGCCACGTCAGAGCTCTAGCCCTTTCCGTGTAGTTCGATCCTCTAGGGTTTAGCCCTTGTCTCTCGGGGTTCATCCGATAAGGCCCACCATTGTTCTACATATGAGCCGTCGACTAATTTGCCCGTGGGGTTTTGGCTCTAGCTTTTCTGCGGGGATGGCCGTTGTGCTTCGTCGTCTAGTAGTTTTAGGTGCCTGGCCGTTGTGCTTCAGGATTCTTGCCGGGTAATTGAAAGTTCGCATTGCAAGGAATATAGACCCAGGCCCCCCCAAAAAAAGAGTAGAGCGACTCCCTGAATGAATGAATGGGTGAGAAGCGTTTAGCGTAGTTCACCGTGAGCGTAATGTACGTTGTCTACTACTCATCTGTCAGAGCAAAATTAAACAGTGACTCATCGAGGGAATTAGCCTAGGAGCTCGATCTCCTGTCAACAGAGTACGTCGGTTGATACCATGCTGGTTGATCTCTTTTCCGAATATTACTCACAGGCGCGCTCGATACGATTTAGGGCGAATGATTCCACCACCAAAGTTTTTGCAAAGTGGCTAGCTAAGAAGTTCTGTGTTATTTTTGTAGAACTCCAACGCTTTGTTTGCATGCCACGAAACATGTTTATCTTCCTCGCGTATTTTTCCTTCCCTTCCTCCATTTCTTACGTATGTAGTAGTGAATTCTGATTTTTTGGTCGACTACTTTATGAAATCTTAAGATGCGCGCGCTTCGTTTTGGAGCTGCCTGATTTTTCAGTAATAGTTGGTGTATCCAAGAACGGGGCAAACCCAAAAGTTGGGACCGGTTAGAAGTTGCCAGTTTATTACAGATGAATTGCCATGTTTGCTTGTGTTTGTGTACGAAAGGAAAAGATATTCATACTAGTAGTGACCCGAGTGCTTCGAGGCGAACGGCAAGGAGGCGGAACGGATGAGAGGGAGAGACGGTCCCACTGCTAGTGACCGGGCAGCGCACACTTATTGAGGCCTTTAAGGGCAGAAATCGGGCACCGTGTGCGCGATTCCAGGCGCTAACAGCCGGCGACGGCCGTGGGGCGCTTTCCGTTCGTATGGGTTTTAGTAATGCCCTGCAGCAGCACGCCGACTCCCCGCGCCTGCCTCGCCCAGTGCTCCCCTTCGCCCCGTCACGTGTCAAACCTGGGAAACCCTGAGAAAGCCAGGCGCCGCCTTAAAACCCTGAGACAGTCAGGGCCTGGCGGTGGCGTGCGTAGCCAGGAGCCCTCTTAAAACCTTGAGAAAGCCAGGGCACGCTGGCCGTGGCGTGCATCTACTCAAGAGGGAAGCCGATGCCGTCCCCCCTTTTTTCATGCTACAAGATTTGCCTTTCTCAGCGATCGCCTGCCTGTGCTCGGTGTTGTTGCCGCTTGGCGACTGGGTCGCGCAGCGTCGCTCGTGGTCGTTTGTGTTGTTGCTGCTTTGCGACTGGGTAGCGCAACTCTGAGAGGGGAAAACCCTGGGGCACGACGTGCAGCCTTGAGGGGGGAGCGAGACCCTGAGCCGCGAGAGAAATCGGCAAAAATGCACCCAAAGCTCCGGGTTTGTGAACTCTGGGGCAAAAAGTGCCTGGGCCTACTCTGAGGCCAAAACCTTGACAAATTCGCGCTGTTTGTTTGGTGTTCGTCTACTCTGTACGTAGCCGAAAACTCTGGTACCCCGTCAAAAACTTGGGACTTTCTTCCGAGTGTGAAGCCTGAGATCGATGCCTGACGATTCCCCTCAAAGCCCTGCAGACAGTGTCATCCGTTTTTCTCCCTCTTGCGTTTCTCTTTGGTTCAAGTTAAAACCTAGACACGCGACCTCGTTTTTGCTGATTGTTAAATAATTAAGAAGGAATTCTTGAACTGTAGCGTTGATCAATTTTCTATTGGTATTCGCATACTATTTATGATCTTGATCAATCTTCATGATGTGATGTTGACAAATCATAATCATGTAGCAACCAATGAACAATATTTCGTCGAATCACTTCTGTTGTTCGTCATACATCGTTTAGAAAAAAATGAAGACGTCCGTTCCTCCAACCGCGAATGGTACTGGCGGGGGCTTAGGCAGCGGGTTGGGAAGTTCCTCGTCCTTACTGAGCGTTCCATTTGGTGTCCGTGCGCCAAATAGCAGTCCGGAAATTGCTGACACTTCCTTGTCCGAGACCCCAATTGACCCGAGCCAAGATTCTTTGCCTCGCATTAGTGCCGCTAATGCATCACCGCCTAGACAGCCTCTTATCGGGGGAACCGGTGGGCGAGGAGTTCTTCGAGGAACCCAGCTACATGGATCGCCCCTGCAAGCGGCAGAGCTGGAGGCGCGGCTGCTTCGGTCGATATCGGAAGATGCGTCGCGGTCAAGAGAGGTTGACGAGAAGTATGAGCAGGAGGACCAACCGCAGATCCGGATTCCTAGCTACGAGCAGAGATTAGAAGACCAAATGCGTGACCTGGAGGCAAACCAGGCACGAGAGCTGGCGCAAGCGAGGCGTAGCCAACAAACCCTGTGGGATATGCAACGGGATCTTCTCGGAGGAATGCACCAGCAGCACCTATCTAGTCTTGGAGCCCCGATCTCACCAGAACAACAACAAGAACCGAAAAGCTGGTTTGAAGAAGTGGATCCCAATATGTCCTTGCGAAAATACGTTCGGCAACCGAGTGAGCAACAAGTTGTGGAGAGTCCAAATGCCTCGGTGCGTCATTTGGTGCATCACTACGAAAACATCAGCGCGTCAGTACATCCAGGAGGAGTTGGCTCCCCGCGTTCAATACAAGCTAACACGAACAGCCCCGGGGGTGGATCGACCTGGTCCGGGAGTACAGCCGCTAGTTTTCGAACGAGCCCCGGGAGGACGCGCACAAATGAGGATCTTCTCTATAACACGAGCAGCATCGCGACTACAGCAAGGTTCGGGCCGCCGCTGAACGCTGAACGCGTATCGATCGATGATTGGCACCCGGTTCGCCGGCCTACCCCCGAGCCCACGTCGTCACCCAGAGTCGAACAGTATAACGAGGAGGAGGAGCAGAGCGGGTATCCGAAGGTGCCGTCATCGCAACCAACAACGTCTTCTGCTCCATCCTCCTCCGACCGAGGCGAGCAGATGGACAAACCGCAAATCTCCGAGATGCAGCCGCAGTACTGTGAACTCGGGCAGTATGGTCCAGCGGCTCGGTCGGGATCCCAGTCAGCAGGTGGCACGCAGTACCCGAAAGCGGGCGTCATCGGAAGTGGCTCGGCCTGGACATCGGCGGAAACCACATCACCGGCCATGCGGGCGGAGGGAACAGTATATGATAATTTCATAGTAGGAGGAGGTGAGCAATACAGGCAAATCCGACCGCCGTCGTCTGCAGTCGTAGAGGAGCTGGGACCAGTACGACACGATGCTTTTGGAAGCAGTGCGGGGCAGAAGAACCAGGGCAAGCCTGTTAAGGTCTCGTTCCAACACAATATTCCGAATACTAGTGAAGATGCTGTGAGGAGCACTGGTGTTCTTAGTGTGACCACTGGTTACGCAAGTTTAGGAAAAATACAACTCAGTGACGCTGGCAGAAATTCCCAAGTCGTAGAAATGAATGGGATTGCAGCAAAGCCAGAACGGGTAAGCGAAGCCGATACATCGTGGGATCCTGCGGAGCTGCAGGCTAGGCGGTTGGCGAATAAAGGCAATGATAAAACCAGGCGAGACTGCTGCTTCTGCGGATAAGTATGAATGTTGCGACGCATTTTAGATCGTGCATGTAGAAACGAGTAGACTGCCACTTGCTTACAGGAGAACTTCCGCGAGAGATGAGCTGCACAAAACCCGGAAACATCAATCATGGTGCGGAGAATCTCGAGCACCGACTGATAACCACTTTTCTTCTTTACCCTTCAATATTACAGCCCATTCTCGAAGAAACACCAACACGACCAGATGCGGCAATATGTTACACTTGCACAATCAATAATGCGTGTGATTATTACCTAAGCGGCCTCATTCACGAGGACTCAATAGGCGTTATGCAGGATGAGCATTTGTATCATACATATAAAATATTAAAAAATATCTACCTAATTCTTACATTACGATTACCCCGTCGTCAATAGCTTTTACTCCTCGCTTCCGTCAATTAAGTCGTTGACTCGACCAAAACCATCAAAGCGTTGTGGACTCCGAAAAAACATGTGCACAAAGATCCGCAATGATCAGATCCTAGGATTTTGATCTGAGTGACCTAAAGATAACGGCACAGATAATCTTTCCGTCGCAATACATAGACGAAAGACAAAGCCCCCGTGTGTTTAGTGCATATTTGATGTGCGTGTTGTAGCAGATCGAGCATTCCTGGGTGGTAAGAGAAGCCCACTTCGGTCGATAAATCGCGCGGATTATCGCAAATCGGTTAGAGTGTGAAGGCCTGTCTCGTCGCAATGATATGATAGATATGATCGGTCGATTCATACCCTCTTCAGATTATCGCTGAAGATTGGATTTCGGTTGTGCTGGTGTGCTACTTCCAGCCCGCATCAGTGCTAATAATTTTGATTATAGCGATTGTGGTGCTTGTAGTTCATGTTCGCAAAGGCAAACGCAAAAACGTTGACCACGACAACAGAAAGACCCCAAGGATTCCCAATTGTGAAATAGTATTACCGTCTGAACAAATCTTCACATAACTCAGTATACTGCTTGAAGGAAGATAGTCTACAAGAATTTGACACCTTTTACCTTTGCCATATGTTCAGGAATTTGTTCATTTTATGTTCTGATTGTTGTCCTTAGTTTCCCCTAAGAGTTGCTGGAAGTGGAACAGATCACTATGCGGAATCTGATTCTACGCTAGTCTGTCAGGGGAATTTGATTCATGCCTTTGATATCTCTTGCCTTGTGGTGCATTCCGAAGATAGTGAACATTTAAAATGAAGGGGTTTGAAGACGCGGCGCAAGCGCATAATGACGCGTCGCGCATTAATCGTGCGCTTTCTCTTGCAAGATCGCGCAAACCCGAGGCCGACGCGAGAGCGGCGCCACCCGTTCGCTACTATCCTCCAGCGAAGGCATGTTTTTACATTATGATACCACGAAAACGGGAAGATATCAGCTAGTATCATGATGTTGAGGGATTGAGTGATTTGTTATCGCACTTTCGCTCATGTTGATGGATAGCTAATTGAGAGAGGCTGAGCACGTCGGAACATGGTACAAAATGTGATCAAGTCCTAATATTCAGTGCCAAATCGTAATTTTCAGTTTCTATTTCATTGAAGATAGCCTTTCATTTTCGATTTCGAAACACACATGACTACAACTCTTCATTATATTTTTGTTTATGCTAGATTTAATTAGTACCACTACATTTATTTTTTCTTTCATGTGTGACGAAGCTCCGGAGGCGACGCGGGAAGTTGTTGAGGACTCCGAAAGTTTTACGAGAGACGGGAGTTGGAGTACCGAAAGTTTTATGCGAGACAGTATGGCTGCAGAGTTCTTTGCGACTATGCGTAGCGGAAAATCCGCGGTTGGACTGTGGAGTGACGCTAAGGGACGTGCGAACGGACAACAGTTTCCTAGGGTTAATTTGACCAATAATCAGTTGATCACAGGTGATGGACTTCTTGGAGCAAATAGTGCAGAGCGATGTAGTAGCAGGACGAGCAATACTGAAGCTAAAGGTGGCGTACCGCGAATGACGCCGATTAACTCTGCAACCACTACAGCACTCTCTCCACCTAGGAGTTTATCTACGGCTCGTGTGGCTGCAGGAACGGGGAAGGGAACTAGGTTCTCGGGCTCCTCGCTAGGATCGAGCACGGGACAGCAGAATATCACTGCTGGTAACAGCAAAGGTGGTGGGCGGCGGTCACAACGAGTTACCGCTAGCGCATACGACTCTTACGCCACCTTGGTCAAGCCTAGCAGTCCGCCTTCCCTTGAGAAGTCTACCGCAGTGCCTGGTCTTATTGACATTGATGCCGATCTAGTCCATATTCATTACAACAATTACGTCAACACCTCCACGATTGTTGAAGGTCTTCAAGACCGCGGCGCTGACAGTTCTGAATCTTTCAGGGCGTCAATTTTCAGCAGAGGAAGCACTAGGTCGCAGATGCCCGAAGGGGAAAAAACGCCAGATTTCATCACACTGGCAAGTTTGCGCATGAGGTTGATAAAACGCAAGGAGAACGAAGAGCGGGCTATGGCGGCGTCCGACGACCTACGATCAGGAAAGAAAAAATTTGCATACTTCAATCACGTCAACATTTGTAGACCGGTCTTGTACAACTGCTTTTTGAAATGACCGTATGAGCATCAGACACGACGGTAGCATATTCATTTGTAGATACTTATATCTATGTTCCAGGGCTCAGGGCTGAAGGCCCCCCGATCTAACTTTTTGAGGGTCTCCAGCCCCGGCAACTTTTTGTCGAGGGAGGGCCGGGCGGGAAGGCGTCCAAACGCCCACCTTCGCGGCCTTGCGGCCTCATGCCTGTACCCTACAGAGCCCAAACCCCTGAGGCCGTTCAAGCACCGACGCCCGGGGGGTGGGAGGCTTCCGAAAGCGGCAAAGCTGGCAAGGCTGGACCCTCTTGCCGTGTTGCGTGTGCTCTGCGGTCCTCCCATGCCGTGTTGCGTGTACCCTACGGCCTCCGTCCTGCGGGCTCCTCACGGGGGGAGGGTCTTGGGAGGTGGAATTGGAAGGCTTCTGGGGGCCGCAGGTGGCAATGCTTGTTCCCTTTCGCCGTGCTGCATGTAACCGACAGAACCCAGGCGGGCACGCCTCGCCCCTCTCCTCCTCGCCGTTGGTCCTCATCCCTTCGGGCGTCTGGTGGCGGCTGACGCTGCCACAAATTGGGCGGGTGAGCGCCAAAGGGGCCAGGTCTCGCGACCGTGGCCGCCGAAGGGGTACACGCGGAGACGCCTCTGGGGTACATGCGGAGAGCCGCCGGGGGACTTCGGCGCAGCCTTTTGAGGCCTTCGGCCTCGGGGGTCCTTACATGTCACCACAGCGGAAGAATGAAAATGGGCGCGCGGACGCCATCGCCGCGCCATCCACAGGGGGGAAGTATATCAATCAATTTATTTTGGTGCACTTTTCTGGTGGACGTGGAGGAGGCGGGGCCGCGTTAAGGGGATGCCCGCTGCGGCTTCCTGTGGGCCTCTTAGCTGTTCTGCGGCTGTTCTGTAGCTGTTCCGCAGCCGTTCCGTAGCTGTTCCGCTGCTGTTCTGTAGCTGTTCTGCAGCTGTTCCGCAGGGTGCTCCTGAGGGGCTCGCGGGAGCGCGGGCAAGGCTCAGCGCAAAACGCTTTCGGGGTGTTCCGTAGCTGTCCCGCAGCTGCCTCCTGCGTGACTCAGTTTGGGGGGCCTCCTGCGTTGCTCTTGCTTGTTCCGTGGCGTGTTCTGTAGCTGCTTGTTTCGCGGAGTGGTCCGCAGACTGTTCCGCTGCAGCTCGCTGTTCTGCGGAGAGTTGAGGTCAGCCGCGCGTGTGTCTCTGCCCCCGCAGCGACTGCGCCGCGCCTCTCTCCCTCTAGTTGGGGCTAAGTGGGACCGGCAGCGCGGCGCGGCGCCTCGGTTGTTCCCTTTGCCCCTTTCTGGGCCCTTAGTGCCACCAAACGGGCTGCCTGTGTCTGTTTCGTAGCGCGAGGGGTTCAGCTGGCTGGCTGCGCCTGGCCGTTTTCGCCTTGGGGGGGTTCTGTGTACTCCAACTGGTGCCTCTTTGCTCTCTGCTGACTGTCTTGCCTCCCGCCCCCGCCGCTCCTTTCGGCATTTCCCGCGCCTCTTCCTTTGTCATCTCGTTCTCCGCTCTGTCTCGTCTTCTCTTCTTTTCGCTCGTTCGTCCCTCGGCTGCCCTGGCTTTTCCCTCTCTCTCCAAGAATAGCCCCCAGCGGCGCGCGCAGCGCGACGCCCGTAGTACACAGATATGGGCTTTTAGGATTAATGTTTAGAAGCTGTGGCGACCCACGTTCAGCAAAACTTGTCGTTCTGTAGTCTATAGAAGTTTTTCTGTGTGTGAATCAATGTGGATGCAGGTGTTAGTAATTGAGAGTCTTTTCGTCTTCATATTTCGGGACGGAGACTCCTGGTCCTGCCGAAGGAGCGCAGGCTCGAAGCGTTAGTGTAGGGGACGCACAGAGGGTGAATAAGATCGATGGTCGCATCTTGCCAGCCCGAGAATCAAACCGCTTCTCTATTCGCCAAGAATACATCCAGAGGAATTCGTCTGGGTCCCCAGCCGCTAAAAATTCCGAGAGTACGGTTGTTCCAGAACAAAGTCCGAATGCAAAAACAAAGGCAGCTCCACGGAGTAGCACCGCTGGAGTATTGCCAGAGAGGGCAGTCAGCCGGCGCAGCCTTCGTCGTGCGAAGAACGAAGAGGCTACGACCGCCGAGGATTCAGACGTACAGACAACTCCGCGGCAGATCAGCGCTGGTGCACCGACAGAACGGGCAGACAGGCGGGTCAGCGTCAGTGTACGCACGGGCGGGGTGGCTACGAAGTTGTCGACGACATCAGTAGAATCAAATAGTAAAAGAACTCCACTGATGAAACCCAAAGCGGGTGTATTACCAAAAAGAACATCAATCGGGGGAAGCGTACGCGGTGCGCACGCAGCGCCTAGGACCGCTCCGGATTCAAACGCTGGAACGCCGAGGACTCGGACAGCTCCACGGAGTAGCAGGGGGATTGTATTGCCTAACAGGCCATCCGAGAGGGGACGCGTACCTAAGAACGGCAAAGTTAATCGCACCGGTGGTGCCAACGTGCTCGATCGAGACGCTTTTGAGCGTCGACAAAAGGACCGCTCTAGTGGTGCCGACGTACTCGATCGAGACAGCCTTGCGCGCCTTCTAATGGATTCGCAGAAAGACGGGAATGCGGGAAATCTGCACAATAACTCGATGCGTCGAGAAGTTGACCGTGCCATGAGTACTGACGTGCTCGATGCCGAGGGCATAGCGCGGTTGCTGAAGAATGCCCGTGAGAATGTTGACGATGGAGAGCAAGGATTGGATAGCGGCGGTGCTGGTGTGCCTCGTACATCGGCGGCACAGGACGTGGCAATTGCGTCTCGCGCTAACGATCGCATGAGTGAGGCGGATTCGCTGAATGAGACCTCCCTAAGGCGCCTTCTCGATCAGGACAATACGTCAAGCGCCAAAGGCCTCTTAGATGCACTTAGCATGGCTCGTTTTCACGAGCGCGATCAGAGGAGCACGCTCAAGCCTCGGCGTCCGTCGCTTTCTAACAAACTCGACGAAGCGCTGCGTGACGGTGATGAGGATGCACGTGCAGGAGACTCAGAAGTTGTTCTTCAAGAACAAGTACAACAAGAAGAACATGGCATTGGCAGGGATGAGAGTGACGAGCCGTATCTGCGACCGATGGGTCCTAAGAGGACACCGACCGCGGCTAGAACTAGAAGAAAAGAAATAAGGAAAGCAACGCCATCAGCAAGGCCCGGCGTCGAGAAGGACAAGGAGGACGAGCCTTGGACGGATGAGGAGTTGGATAGGGAGGTGGTCGCATACGAATTCGGTGGGAAGCGCGTGACAAACGTCGTGGAATTGTTCCAGGTACTGAGGCCAAAGCAGCCGCAGCTGGACTACAGCGCGCTTGCAGAGGGACCGCTTTTCGGGCGCTTTGCGGCCTACTTTATGCCGGTGAGCACGCCATCCAAAGTGTTCAACTTCGTGGTGCTAAACGCACCAGCATATCTGCGTCCCGTAACAAGGAAGAAGATACGACAGCGTCGAATACTTCGAGAAGAGAAAAAGAGAGAAGAACAAAGACGACTGGAGACAATGAGGGCGAAAAGCCCAGATGCGTCGCTGGAGCAGGACGAGCTTGATTCCGTGCTGAGTTCCGACACCGAAAGAGCCCGAAATCATGCAGATCTGCCACCACGCCTCCAAATCTTTAGCAGAGGTCAGAGCAAAGAAGGGGAGGCTCTTTCTGTTGATGCTTTCATATCGGCGGACGAGGATGTTCCTGATGATCTCTCGAACAAGAAAAGTATTGTGAAGCTGTTGGACCATGCCAAGGCTAAGGTAGGTTCATTCCGTCCCGCTTACTCCGGAGAAGATGTGCGGCAGCGTGATATGCTCCGGCGAGATGCCTACCTGCGGCAGTTTCTGGAAGCTGGTGGAACTCCAGACCGGCCCCTCTTCGACACGCGGCCTGTAAACATTAACAAGGTGATGCTGCGGCGTTGCGGAGTGACACAACCGGAGGACGACGAGGAGTACTCGGAGACGGATGAGCACGGACTTCACCCGAAGCGCTTGCGCCGAATCCTGATGGAACGATACTTGCAGTTAAGACTCGGCCCAATAATTCATCTCCTCTATTACAGACAGAGAAGTATCCCTCTTAAGTAGTTTTCTTCTTCTACATGGATTCTGAGTAGCATGAATATAACATGCAGGTTGTAGATGAAATCAGATGAATTATTGCAAGCTCTAACGGAGGACGTCGAAAGCAGAACGAAAAAGCGAGCAAGCATAGCTTTGCTGAATCGGGAAGACTAAGGCCCATATCTTCAATCCAAACATTCTAATGGTATTGGTAAGTCTACTAGCTATTTGACTAGCAGTACTCTTATTCTCTTAGGATAGTTACTATGCATGTCGATGTTCTTTTCGATGCTGTAAATAGTTCTAAAAGCAATTGGTAAGCATGAACAAAGCCACGTCAAATCCGGAATTTTGGGAAAACTGGCGCGCAAGGCAAGATGCTGTCTCGCCCACAGCAACTTTTCGCGGCCTTGTGGAGCAGTATTCGCCTTTGACGGTTCCGGGAGCCACGGGGCGCAGTCCGCCCACAAGTGCAGCACTTTTCCGCTTGCGGAGTAAAATAGAGTTAAGATTAGATAAGCTTGTATTGTTCACCAAAAATTCGACTCCCAGTACATACTTACATAGATGAAGATCTTAATCACAGTGAATTCATCTTTGATGAGTGAGAGTGAAGAAGCATGGTCCCTGGTGTAGCAAAGTAATCAACTTGAATGATTTGAGTACCGAAAAAGTTCTACAACAGGGACATGAATGCCGGGTGATCTGGACTTCGCTAATAGACGGATCCAGCAGCGCTCGGGTAGTTAAGGCCCATTTGAAGCTGAACCCATCTACCGAAGCATCTATCATCCAAGATGAATATCCTAGAAGAGGAATGCAGCCAAGATAGAAAGATGAAGATGCTCCTCATGAAAATCAAATTGATTTAGGCTACCTGCTAGCAAACAAGGTCTAAGATGAGCCAGTTTCTCAACTCAGCGCCGTCTGGGGGCGTGAGCGCATACGATGAAATGCAGCGGTCAACGAAGGGTGAACAGGTGCAGAGACACCGACTTTGTGGTCATTTGGCAGGTCTTTTTGAAGCTGCACCACCCGCGCAGCTTGACGCAGATATAAACGCGCAATCTGACTCGTTCCAACATTCTGCATGGCCGCTGGAAGAACAGGCGCAGGTGCTGCAACGAGGGCACCTGGAACAACTGAAACAGCTCGCGCTAAGAGAGGAGAAAGACCGCGTGACACATGCAATCAATGTCGCAGCAGCCGGAGTCAAAAGTACGGTGATGAAGGGGATGGCGAAAGAAGCAGGTGTGGGCGAGGATGCTCTTCCTGAGACTGCCTCCTCTCTCAAGAACAATGGAGGCGCGAACACTTCCGCCACAGCATCGGCAATTGGGCCGACTGCATCTTCTCCAACAGCAACCGAGGGAGCGATCGGACAGTCCTCAAAGTGGAATCCGATCGCTACGTTCAATATGCACCTTCGGGGATCGGAAAGCCAAGAGTTTTTAAGCTCTGCTTATCTTTTGCATCTTTTGTTCTACCACACTGGCTTTACGTACAGTTTTGGTAGTAGTTGATCTTCATCTCTTGTATTTCGTCTCTTCATCTTTTCGAAGTTGTACTACCATACATGTTTTAGGGCTGGACGGTGCCCCCCCTGTGGTCTGGTCTGTGGTGGCGCGCGCGCGCGCTTTTCCGCGCTGATTTTCGCGGATTCTAGTGGTGGAAGGCGTCAAAACTTGGCGCGGACCTCCCCTTGGGCCTCTCAGCGTGTTCCTTAGGGGCCTCCTGGCCTCTGCTGACCTTCGCAGGCGGGAGGCCTCCGGGGTGAAAGGCCGCCGAAGGCGGCCACGGTCGCAAGCGCAAGCAAGCCAATGGCCAAGGGCCCGGAGGGTACAGGCCGCACGGCTCAGGGGGTCCAGCCACTCGCCTTTTGCCGCCTTCGGAGGCCTTCCCCAGCCGGCGCACTGCTGCGGCGGCGGAGCATATCGGAGGCACTTAGGGCACAGGCAGGCGCCTGGGCGGGGGCGCGGGCGGTCCCTTGGGCCCCTTTTGAAGCCTCCCACCTACATCGGAGGCCTCTAGGGAACAGCCAGGCAGCTGGAAGCGAGCGGAGGAGGGAGGTCACTGGGCCCCCTTTTGAGGCCTTCCACCCCCGGCAGACGCCTCCAAAAGGGGCCCGGGGCGCGACGGTACCCCCCCGCCGCGCTAGGGGGGGGCGCCGTCGCCCCGCGCCCTGGATCATACATAGAAAAACTGGAGACGGCAATCACACACATTTATACCATAGATAGAGCACTAAATAGCACAACCCGTTAGTTTTTACCTCTGTCTAGAGATTGAGCCCTTCCAACAATACTTATCTATCATCATTTTGGATGGAGGGCGTGGTCTGAGTCCGACACCGACTCCGAATCTGTATGTTGATGGTTGCATGGATAGTGTGCCGCCCATCTCTAAACAGGGCCGGCAGACCAGGCACCGCATGGGGAGTGTCGTGTATTTGCGAGCATCCGATACTCGCCGACACCGTGATTGCGGGAACCACCACTGGTGGATGGAAAATATTACATTGGAACGAGGAAGAGGTGGAGGAAGACGAGGATACCTACGATGACGCGGACATATCAGCTTTCGTAGGAGAAGTTAAGGCATTTCTTATGATTCATTGATATCGGCAATGCTAATCTTCATAGCCAACGTCCTCGTTCGGCTTCATGTTGTAGCCCAAGAATACAGCCACACACACTCATTACAGTAAACACGATACGTCGAAATTTCCCTGTAGTTTGCACGTGGATGAAGAGGTAGCTTATGTTGTATAAGCTTTATACTTGCATCTAGATCAAAAACAATCACAATGAATACGTGCAAGCATTCGTAGCAATTGAAATCATCCGCATGTTCGGGAACGACGACTTTAGTGTGTCGGAGGCAGCGGTAATTGTTACGAGGTTTTGAAGTACTTAGGAGTTGTTCTAAGGGGGGCATGAATAGTTCCGGAAAGTCTGCGAAAGGCAGCGGGTGGTTCTCGTGGCTTTTCTACGGCGAGCGCGAGGAGGGCGGCAACAATGCGATGAATAATCAGATCGACCCCAGCCTGAAACTGTCGGCTCCGTTCCTAGGCGAGTCCATGATTTTTCCGTCCACACATATGGACGGGCAAAGTGGCAGCCTGAAAGGCGATGGCCAATCCTCGCTCCATCTGGAGAGCTTTAGGCGTTGGGGGAGTTTTCTACGCTATCGTGAAAAGCAGGCAGAGCTTAAACAGCTAACGGCAAGCCGCGGGGCGGGCTTTCAAGCGGCGGTCGCGGATCCTGGCCCAAGCAAAATCGGGGAGCAGCTCAAATGTCCGGACGCACATCCCGGCGTTATGCACATCAACATATAATATATTATAATATTAGTATTTATAGTAGCCCCTCAAAGAATATAATGCTAGCCTCCACAAGCTTCGCCCGGCTTCAAGTTAGTTTAGCACTTTCCTGCGGCCTCCCACGGGCTACAGCCGCGAGAGTAGAGACAGCCCGCTGGTGAGCTGTTGCACCTTACGAATTGACTACGACAAGAGCCGAGTGCCGGCGGTGGCCGACTCAGATGCGTCGACTCATGTGCAGGGCATTGCGCTGCCTTCGGTTTTTTTTTGAGATTGCCGGGCGGGTCATGCAAATTCTTAAGAATTTGCAAGACCCCCACGGCAGTCCAACAAAAAAACCAGAAGAGAGCCACCAGACACGCACAAGAATCCGCAAGCCCCAACGCACGCAAGCGCCTCGCGGTGGCGCCAGGCAAGAACGAGAGGCGACCTCGATGGGCCAAACAAGACAAAGCAACGCAGGGCCGCGCTGCTTGGGTCTCTCTACGCGCTTACACCTGGCGGGGCTTCTTTGTTTCGTCAGATGTCTCGCGTCAGAAACAGACGGGCGCACTTTGCGGGGCCGTGCGGCGTCGCGCTTCGGGCTGTGGCTGAAGCCTCTCGGCTGGCTGACGTCTTTCATGAAGCTGGAGACTAAGGCCCTCCATCAGGCTGATGCCGTTCGTCAGAGCAACGCTCTGCGCCAGGCTGGCGGCGTTCGTCGGGCAGGCCGGCGCCCCTCGGCAGGCGTCTTGGGTCAGGCTGAGGCTTTTCGTCAGGGTCGGGCGACGTCTCTCGTCAGGCTGAAGCGCTTCGCCTGGCTGACATTCCTCGCCAGGCCGAGACTCACGCCTTTGGTCAGGTTGATGGCTTGCTTCAGCTCGGCGCCGTTCGTCAGGCTGATGCACTCGCCAGCCAGGTGAGGCCTCTCGCCAGACCGGCGCAATGCTTCGCCAGGCGTCTGCCTTGCGTCGGAACAGGCTGAGCGGGGCCTCTCTTCGGGCTGTGGATGTCTCTCCTTCGTAAGGTTGATTCCGTTCTTTCGTCGGACCGGCGTGCTTCGCCAGATTGACCGCGTTCGCCGGACTGACGTCCTTCGCGAAAGGTCTTCGCTATCTTCAAGGGCCTCGCGCCACAGGGAGGCCCCGCGTCAGTTTTTCTGGCGGAGGTCGTTCGTCAGATGTCTGCTGTCGTGGGTCTCACTCTTGTCCTGTCGGAGGTCTTGGGCCCAAAGGTCGTCTTTGGTCCACAGGTCGCCGGTGGTCCACAGGTCGCCTGTGGCCCAAAGGTCGGCTTTGGTCCAAAGGTCGGCTTTGGTCCAAAGGTCGGCTTTGGTCCAAAGGTCGTCTGTGGTCCGGAGGTCGTTTTTGGTCCAAAGGTCGCCTCCCTTACTTTGGTCCAAAGGTCGCCCTACTTTGGTCCAAAGGTCGCCCTACTTTGGTCCAAAGGTCGCCCTACTTTGGTCCAAAGGTCGGCCTACTTTGGTCCAAGGGTCGCCCTACTTTGGTCCAGAGGTCGAAGGGTCGCCTTACTTTGGTCCAGAGGTCGTCCATCCTACTCTGGTCCAGAGGTCGGCGCACTTTGGTCCAAAGGTCGGCTTACTTTGGTCCAAAGGTCGCCTTACTTTGGTCCAAAGGTCGCCTTACTTTGGTCCAAAGGTCACCTTACTCTGGTCCAAAGGTCGCCCTACTGTGGTCCAGAGGTCGTCGCACTTTGGTCCAGAGGTCGCCTGTGGTCCCGCGGTCGTCTTCGGTCCCAGGATCGTCTTTGGTTTCAAGGTCGTCTTTGGCCCCAGTGTCGTCTTAAGTCCCAAGGTCTCCTGTGGTCCAGAGGTCGCCGGCCTGTGGTCCAAAGGTCGCCCCTGGGTCAAAGATCGCCTTTGGGTCAAAGATCGCCTGTGCTCCAAAGGTCGTCTTTGGTCCAAAGGTCGCCTTTAGTCCGAAGATCGCCTTTAGTCCGAAGATCGCCCTTGGTCCAACGATCGCCCTTGGTCGAAAGCTCGTCTTTGGCCCAAAGATCGGCTTTGGTCCATGTGTCTTTGGTCCAAGGTCTTTGCCCTTTCGGTGGGCGGTCTTTCGTTGGCTGTCTCTCTTTGGACTTTTCTCCGCAGCTTGCGCCCCCACCCCCGTCGGCCATTTTTCTGCCTTCTTTTTTGGTGGTCTGCCACGGGGCTGCAACGTAAATCCCAACAAGGAAACGGCCGGAGGCTATCAGGCTTGAGAATGAGGGGAAAGGGCAGGAGGCTATGGGCAATAGCTTCGCGAAAGAAGCTGACTAATCTCCGGTGGGTTAGGCGGGGAGTTTTATGGCGGCGATCAATGGCGAGATTAATAATATAGATTAATAATATAGATTAATAATATAGATTAATAATATAGATTAATAATATAGATTAATAATATAGATTAATAATATAGATTAATAACATAGATTAACAACATAGATTAATAATATAGATTTTTTTTTTGTTATGTTTTTTATCTATCAACTTATAAGAGTTAGTATTTCTAGTGTTCGCAATTTTTTTAAGACCAAGACTCCTCCTTAAGGGGGCTGCCTTAGGGAGCTTCCTTAAGGAAATTGCATTCCTTTACTAAAGATTTTCTATTATAGAAATCTATTATAGGGCTCCCTTAAGGGCGCTCCTTAAGGCGGCCCTTGTAATAAAATTGGGTTAATATTAGACCCTTCCTTAAGAGTCACCTCTTAAGGGCCTCCACTTGCTAGCTTAGCCATGGCTAGCTGGCTCGCTGCTTAGGCATAGCTAGCTTGCTAGCATAGGAATAGGATAGCTCGCCTGCTAGCTCAGCAGTAGCTAGCTGGCTTGCCAGGTTAGCCGTAGCTAGCTTGCTAGCTGCTTGGCCATAGCTCTAGCTAGCTTGCTACTGGCTGCGGCGCCATAGCTGGAGCGCTAGCTGCTTGGCCATAGCTAGCTTGCTAGCTGCTTAGCCTTGTCTGGCTTTCTATCTGTTTAGCCATAGCCAGCCTGCTAGCTGCGTAGCCATTGCAAGGCTGCTAGGTTAGCCGTATTAGCCTACAAGCGCGCCGGCTTGGCGCTAGCTTAGCCATTGCTTGCTTGCTAGCCTAGCCACGGCCACCCTGCTAGCTTAGCCCGGCATAGCTAGCCTCGTCTTAGCCTAGTCGTGACCAGCTTGCTACTTAGCACGAGCAGAAGCAGCCACCTCGCCAAAGCTAACCTGCCAGCTTAGCCATGGCCACTCCAACCTGTTAGCTTGGCAATATCTAGCCAGCTGGCTTAGCAATGGCAAGCGTCCATGCCGGTCCATTCTAAGCCAGCCGCGCGTCGCTAGCTTGATGACTTAGCGGCTTGCTTCGTTTGTCTTATGTATCTGTCTACCTAGTTGCCAAGTGCTATCCTATGCCCAGCGCAGCGGTACTTATAAGCTTAAGCACTTTTGTTCATGTCCTTAAGAACACCTTCTTAAGGAAAATTCCAGAAGCAAGTTCTTTAAGGGAAGGACCCTCAAGGCGTGCCACCCTTACAGGCCACTTCTTACTAGAGTTGGCTACTAAAGGGCCCTCCTTAAGAAAAAGGCTAGGTAGGGAGCTGCCCAAGATTTCTGAGCTAGCTGGCCACAGCTTCTGAGCTAGCTGGCCAGAGCTGCTAAGCTGGCTGGCCAATGCTTCTAAAATAGCTGGCCGCGGCTCCTGAGCTAGCTGGCCATGGCATCTGAGCTACCTGGCCGTGGCTTCTGAGCTAGCTGGCCGTAGCTTCTAATCTAGCTGCCCACCGAAAGCCTCTTCTAAGCTAGCTGGCCATGGCTTCCAAGCTAGCTGGAGGCGGCTTCTAAGCTACCAAGCCACGGCGTCCATTGCCATTGATTGGCTTCGAAGTAGGCTAGCAAGCTGCTTCAGGCGTCTGAGCTAACTGGCCAAGCTTGTGAGCTAACTGGCGCAAGCCGCTTGCGAGCTAGCTGCCCAAAGCTTCGGAGTTACATAGCTGCCCATGGCTTCTAAGCTCGCTGCCCATGGCTTCTGTATCTGAGCTAGCTGGCCGTGGCTTCTGAGCTAGCTGGCAAGGCAAGGCTGGCTTCGGAGCTAGCTGGCCACCTCATCTATTGGCGCTGGCTTCCATCTAAGTGAGCTAGCTAGCCAGCTGGCTTGCATTGGCTTCCGATTCAGTGAGCTGGCGGGCTATTGGTTTGGCGCTCACTGTCGATGGCTTCTCGGCTACCGGCTCTGGCTCCCAGCTTAGGCATGGTCTAGGGGCTCTAAGCTCGCTGGCGGTGGCTTTGTGTTTGTTCTATGCTAGTTGGCTAGGGCTTCTTAGGCAGGTCGCTACAGCTTCAAAGCTCGTCTCTGGCTATGCCTTCCGGGCTAGCTGGCTAGGGCTTCCGGGCTAGCTGGCTAGGGCTTCCGGGCTAGCTGGCTAGGGCTTCCGGGCTAGCTGGCTAGGGCTTCCGGGCTAGCTGGCTAGGGCTTCCGGGCTAGCTGGCTAGGGCTTCCGGGCTAGCTGGCTAGGGCTTCCGGGCTAGCTGGCTAGGGCTTCCGGGCTAGCTGGCTAGGGCTTCCGGGCTAGCTGGCTAGGGCTTCCGGGCTAGCTGGCTAGGGCTTCCGGGCTAGCTGGCTAGGGCTTCCGGGCTAGCTGGCTAGGGCTTCCGGGCTAGCTGGCTAGGGCTTCCGGGCTAGCTGGCTAGGGCTTCCGGGCTAGCTGGCTAGGGCTTCCGGGCTAGCTGGCTAGGGCTTCCGGGCTAGCTGGCTAGGGCTTCCGGGCTAGCTGGCTAGGGCTTCCGGGCTAGCTGGCTAGGGCTTCCGGGCTAGCTGGCTAGGGCTTCCGGGCTAGCTGGCTAGGGCTTCCGGGCTAGCTGGCTAGGGCTTCCGGGCTAGCTGGCTAGGGCTTCCGGGCTAGCTGGCTAGGGCTTCCGGGCTAGCTGGCTAGGGCTTCCGGGCTAGCTGGCTAGGGCTTCCGGGCTAGCTGGCTAGGGCTTCCGGGCTAGCTGGCTAGGGCTTCCGGGCTAGCTGGCTAGGGCTTCCGGGCTAGCTGGCTAGGGCTTCCGGGCTAGCTGGCTAGGGCTTCCGGGCTAGCTGGCTAGGGCTTCCGGGCTAGCTGGCTAGGGCTTCCGGGCTAGCTGGCTAGGGCTTCCGGGCTAGCTGGCTAGGGCTTCCGGGCTAGCTGGCTAGGGCTTCCGGGCTAGCTGGCTAGGGCTTCCGGGCTAGCTGGCTAGGGCTTCCGGGCTAGCTGGCTAGGGCTTCCGGGCTAGCTGGCTAGGGCTTCCGGGCTAGCTGGCTAGGGCTTCCGGGCTAGCTGGCTAGGGCTTCCGGGCTAGCTGGCTAGGGCTTCCGGGCTAGCTGGCTAGGGCTTCCGGGCTAGCTGGCTAGGGCTTCCGGGCTAGCTGGCTAGGGCTTCCGGGCTAGCTGGCTAGGGCTTCCGGGCTAGCTGGCTAGGGCTTCCGGGCTAGCTGGCTAGGGCTTCCGGGCTAGCTGGCTAGGGCTTCCGGGCTAGCTGGCTAGGGCTTCCGGGCTAGCTGGCTAGGGCTTCCGGGCTAGCTGGCTAGGGCTTCCGGGCTAGCTGGCTAGGGCTTCCGGGCTAGCTGGCTAGGGCTTCCGGGCTAGCTGGCTAGGGCTTCCGGGCTAGCTGGCTAGGGCTTCCGGGCTAGCTGGCTAGGGCTTCCGGGCTAGCTGGCTAGGGCTTCCGGGCTAGCTGGCTAGGGCTTCCGGGCTAGCTGGCTAGGGCTTCTGGGCTAGCTGGCTAGGGCTTCCGCTTCTGCTCTAAGCGGGCTGCCTGCCTATCTCTGGGCAGCGTGACTGACATTTGAAGGCGTTGCTTTTGGTATTCTTGTCTGTCTTTCAACCTCGGGCACCGGCGGGCCCCTGTTGGGCCTGCGTACGGGGTGCGTATATATTGGCGCTAAGTCAACTAAGAACTGCACAAAAACGGCCACTATTGTCGCCTCCTCGTCCTGGAAGTGCTCCGCTTCGCGGCTTTTGCAACTTGCTCCCTCTTGGTTTTTCTGTCTTTTGGTTTCGTTTCATGTGATTCCCCGCGCCCCTCCAGAGTCCACCGCGCCAGCCTGCAAATATGTGCTGGGGGATTCTGGAGGGGCGCGGGGATTTGGAGGGTGCCCGAGGTTCTTGGCTCGCAACTGGGTGAGGGTTTGCCCAGAAGGGAGCGCAGTAGGTGGCGAGCGCGAGTGTTCTGCGGATTCGTATCATGCCCGGAAAGGTTGAACTTTGTCTGGATTTTTGCAGTCTTTAGCTGAGTTTTCTCCATTCAGGCCCCACTTGTCTGTGGTCAGATTTTTCACCATAATCGGAGAGGTTTGAGGCAGTCCGCCCGAGGTTCTTCGCTCTTGGGTCTTTTCATGTTGTTAGGTGTTCGTTGGACTTTTGACCACTCGGCGCCCCAAGGCTCTCGCGCCGGGTGGGATTAGTTACAAACAAGGAAGAGAGAGAGAGACACGCTGCCGCCTATAAATGGCCAGGCCATCCCCCACGCGCGCCGCCGTGTGTGCGCAGATTGTCGGGGGGTTTGCTGCTGTTGTTCGCATTGTTTTGAAGTACTTACTTCAGCGGGGAACTTTTCGGGGGTTTCGCTGGAATTGAGTAAGTCCCTCTATTGTTTGCTGGGTTCTTGCTCGCAGGGCCATTCTCGACGAAAAAACTAATAAGCTGTCTTCTGATTTTTTTCCAAAAATGGCCTTGCGAGCAGGAACCCGGCAAGCAATAGCGAGACGTCCTCAATTTCGTGGCGTTTTTCAAAAAGGGCGGGGCGGGGCTGGTTGCCGCTTCAGTTCCAAAGGGCTCGCGCCTCCTCTTTTTGTTGGGTTTCGATGGTGTAGCATGCTCGCCGCGCCTCTCGTGCTTCTGCAGGTGGTTGATTAGAATGGCGCTAAGTCAACTAAGAACTGCACAAAAACGGCCACTATTGTCGCCGCTTCGTCCTGGAAGTGCTCCGTTTAGCGGCTTTTGCAACTTGCTCCCTCTTGGTTTTTCTGTCTTTTGGTTTCGCTTTCGTTTCATGTGATTCCCCGCGCCCCTCCAGAGTCCACCGCGCCAGCCTGCAAATATGTGCTGGGGGATCCTGGAGGGGCGCGGGGGTTTGGAGGGTGCCCGAGGTTCTTGGCTCGCAACTGGGTGAGGGTTTTCCAGAAGGGAGCGCAGTAGGCGGCGAGTGTTCTGCGGATTCGTATCATGCTAGGAAAGATTGAATCTTGTCCGGATTTTTGTGGTCTTTAGTTGAATTCTCTCCATTATAAATATCTTCTCCTCGAGGTTGCACAGCATGCGTGTCCCTGTGCCAGAGCCTCACTCTTATTCACTGAACATTAATCGATGATCTCGTCAACATTTACCTACGCGTTTGATTCTAATAGCCGGCACATGGTGACCGATTTAACGATGCATCGACGTTGCCGGCGACTGCTGACGGTGGGGTCTGACCACTACTATCGCGTGTGGGATCTTGAGGAGCCAGACTTGCTGCCTTTGGTGCAATCTTACGCGAACCCGGTTCGCACGAATTCTGTCGCTGCGCATGATTTTTCTGATTTTGTGGCCGCGGGTGACTCTGACCATGTAGTCCGCATTTGGGACTTAAACCGCGGTTTCTGCGCCTACGCACCTGCCCAAGTGATGCGTGGCCACATTGCTTCAGTTCGACACGTTGATTAAGGCACGCACCTGATCCTCTTGATGATGCAAGAACAGTTTCTACAACTAAGTTGTATTTCGGCGATTTCCATTTTTGCTATTGAGGTTCCGGTAGTTGTAGTTCTAAATGGATGCATTAGAACAACTTATAGGTTTGTAGTTTTTTCTAAAAAGAATTTGAGCCCTTTGGAAACGGTGTTTTAACAGCATCGAAGGACGGCTCTGCGGCTGTCTTCGATTTGCGATCTGGCCTTTGCGTCCAACTTTGGGATGGACTCCGGTATAGCGTAATAAGCCCTCACGACAAGAAGTTAAGAAGCGCGTTTATTACAACCTCTATTTCCCCCTGCGTTCTTCTCCCCTCATGAACATTGACATTAGATTTTGACCTCTTACTTTTCTACTTAGTTGCTTACACTCTGATTCTGAAGATGAAGACTCTTCGGACGAATGTACGTCAAAGAATACAGCTACCAACCTTCAGTACACTCAGATTTTTAAAGTCGAAAATTGTAGATACGTGCAACATAAAGTCTAGTACTGTTGAGAAGGAAAATCTTCTGGTTGTAACTACTGCCACACTTCCTGATTCTTCGTCGAGCTTCAAAATTATGCAGAGATACAAGTAGAGGTGGAGCTGCATTCCATCTTGAAGAACATGTTCGTCTTTCACTGTTCCGGTCTAGTCTTAGTACTAGAAAAAGACAGTGATAGAAGCAAGAGTACTATCTTCTATTTTCCCACCTCGCTTCTAATAAAGGCCCGCTTCGCAAATGGGGCTGGGGGTGCTGCCAAAGGTGTTGGCTATTCCGGAGGTCCTCTTAACAGTGCGCATTTTTCTCCAGATCTGACAAGCGTTCTCACTGTGGGTGAATACGGCGTGTGCCGCTTGTACGATCGCAGGCAAACACGACGGGAGCTTTTCCGCTTTGCCTCGAAGAGTGGGGTGGCTAAGCGCGCTTGCTTCGACAGCACCGGCAAGACCATCGCGATTTGTTGCCCACAAAGTGTCTTCCTTCTCGACGTGGACAAGCAGGAGTACCTCCATGGGATAACTCCAAGATCGGAGCTACGCTTAGGACCAGTAATTTGTTCACAACTACGTATGTAGTACTTATTATAAGTAATATAAATTAATCAGTGTGAGGAGCTATCCAGTGTGACCTAGAAGTATCCTTAGGCGGGCCCCTCTATCTCTTCCCAAACTACGGGAACCAAGGGATATAACAGGCTTTTTCTCATTTCTTAAATTGGGATAGATGCAAATTAGTTGAATTACTGCTAATACATAGTTCTGCCGACAGCGTGCCGCTCTTTACCAGCGCTCTTTTCACCAGAGAAAACCGCAATCTAGCCGTGGCTTCACTGAATTGCGGCTTGACTATTTTTGAGAAGGAAGCCAGATAGACGGAACCCATCTCTTTGTAGCTCTTCAACGGCAAGTAGAACTGGTCTTGCGGATGCGGTGGCCTCGTTTTTAGGATTTGTCACGAGCTGTTGTCTTCTTGGTCCCTTCTCGTCAGGGTTGAGTTGCTGAACTAAGAATTTCGGCTATTGTTGCCAGATTCTGGTGGCTGAGGGAAATTCATTTTACATAAGTTGATACTTTAAATCGCGTGTTATCTTGTTTCTGGACTTCTTGTCTGCAAGGATTTCTCTAGTAGACGTGAATTTTACTTACTTGTTGATGTAGTTGTCTACCAGTACCACCTAAAACCAAAACTATCAAATCAGTGCGACTTTCCTTCCTCTCTGCGAATATTCATCCTAGATGCACATACTTCGTATTTTCTCAAACAGACATGTTGATTTATTGTATCTGATGCCCGACGGAACAAGTAGGCGCACCCAGACATGCATATGCAAGCTCTTCCTGACGCTCTGCACGATTGAGTCAGCCGCGATATCTACAACTACTACTGTCGATGATCTCATGTCTAGCTCGTTCTAGGTCATGATGAACAAGATTTCAAGGGTTTTAGACTGAATAGGGCTTAGGGCTTTAGACTGAATAAATCTAAGCTTCAGGAGAGCAGCTTCTGCCGTAACCTGAAATAGACGAGAAAGCAGCGACTGCTTGTACGACCAGCAAGCGGCACGGGCGCGAGAAGATGAGAGAAGAAGCGCAACATTCTGACTGTAGATGAAGATAGCGGCGCGTCCTTGATCCCATACATGATAACTTTTGTAGTTTGTCGAGGAGATATTCGCACTCAATTGACAAACGGTGGCCTCGGTAACACGATTCTACTGAGCGAAATTGTGAACCATCATAACCGAGAGGCCACTTACGAAAATAAATTGCACTCGGTACGCGCGTGCATTTTCGGTTAGCTGCGTGACAACCACGTGTCTGTCGAAAGGTGATTTCGTTATCGGTGACAGGAGTACTAAGAGACACTGCGGTACATCGGCAAACCAAAGATAACCCCCTCTGACCGGTCAAGCACTATCAGTACCAACACGACGCGTGGATCGATCACACTTTCTACCGGACCTACAGTGTGTTATTGCTTGCGCTGTATGTGTACAAGTATTTCAGATAATAGATTACTTTCAGCTGCTCGTCAAGGGTACTAACGAGCATGACACCTTTACCTCTAAAATTACCAACTGGCTCCACGATGATTTATGGTGAAAAAACAAGATTTAGATCTAACTCGATGGCTTAGTCATTCACTAGTGATGTAAGTCCGGTGGAATGTATACTCTGCGTCTTCAAACCATCCTCTAAGTCATAGTCCCGGTTCCGGACGGTCTAAGTGATATTTGAAGCTGGTAGCCCGACTGCGCAAGCGCATCGCGAATATGTTCCTTGTCGGTCTGATCAAATGCAGCTGGAACGAGTGTGATCATGTCGTATAATCAGGATCACAGCAACAAGGGAGCCGGGGCTCCTGCGCTTGGGAGTGGTGGTAGTACAGGAGGAGCTGTGCCAAGAACTACAGGAGCTGCACAGGGGCGACCGTCGTTCAGGCACTTGGCCCTCCCAGCTGGGTCTGCCTCGCCGAGCATCCCAAGCCCGCTCAGTTCAGCTTTGGGACCTTACCCTGGTCTGATCAACCCGCCCAGTGTGGGTGCGGTCAGCGGTACGGCGACAACGAATGTGGGTTTGGTTGGTGGAGTGGACAACAGTGCGCTCAGCGGTCAGGTTTTTGGAGTTGGGGCTCCGAAAAAACGGTCACCCACAGAGAGTCCGGCGCTTGCTTCCGCGACACCCTTGAAAGGGCCTTTGTCCGCCGCTTTCACGCATCATCTTCCACCGGAAAAAACAAGCGCGCGGCCTGGGCAAACGGACAAGAATATTATGCCGGACTCCTTGCGCCGCCGCATCGACCGTCGAGTATCGTTCAACGTGGATCACGCTGCGTCCGGCGGAGGCGCCCCGGGGGCAGCCTCAACGGGCCCTGCGGGTGGCGCGACATCTTCGGCGCACACCACGCACCATTTAAATGGGGCGCTCTCAGAACGGGCTGGGATCCTAAGGAAAGATCAACGAGGCGGGTCGTCCAATGAGCTAGTAGGAAATATTATGGCTGAGTTCGCTGGCCGCTCCAGTGCGCGCAGTTGGAGTCCAGCAGGCAGCCCCGCTTTGATGAGAAGCCCTGCTGGAGGTAGTGCGCTGTCGCCTGTTTCGCCCTCTTCGCGGTCAGCAGTTTTTCCTGCTACCCTTGCTTCTGCGCCGCGGATCGATCACAGCGTACTAGGTCCATCCGGACCTGCAGATCCGAGCACATTCTCTGCTCGTGACGGAGTCAGCTTTGTCTTCCCAGTATCGGCAGAGGAAGCAATGGTAAATTTGTTGCCGCACCAGGGGACATCGCTACGGGGTCTACTTCTGACCACGGGCAATGAGGAGGGCACCCATGATGTTCAACAAGACGACCGTGGCGAGCATGCGCAGTCCAGTTCCGACGACGATTCTGAACAGAAATCTCACCTAGCTTCTGAACCGGTAGTTGTTCGTCAATGGGCGGCTGATGAAGAGGTCCCCGACGCCACGGCGTCGAGACTATATAACGATGATGAGCATGGGTCGTTTTCGGGTCCGGCTACAAAGCGCCAGAAAAGAACAAATAAACGCGCAGAAAGCGTACTCATGCAGGAAGCGAAGTCAGCAGAAGTAGATCAAACTGCTCTACCAGTCAAAAATGAAGCTGTTGGTTGCGTAGTGCTCACTGCAGGTATGCAAGTCTCGCCAACAAGTGACAACTCCTCGTGTTATGGGAGTAACAGCTACGGGACGTCGCCCGATGGCTCACTCACGCCTGGGGTCCATCGTGTGGTTGTCGACTTGGGAGAGGACCAAGTACTGGAGAAGGGTGAGGCGGCGCGTTCTCGTACATGCGGACTCGATCTAAGCCACAGTGATGAGACCATGACGGTGGAGTTGGAGAGTCACGTCGGTGGCCGCCGCGAACAGCATTCCCTGGATGTGGAAGCTCCGCCAAGCAGAACAGCGGGGACGTTAGAGGGCGAAGTTGAGGGTAACAAAGAAGATGTCGAAAAACAAATGGCGGATGGACGAAGGCACGTTGAAATTGCTGATTTATTTGACGATGACGATTTTGATGGAACGGAACACGACGTAGCGGAAATCGCGAAGCGTCAGGCTGAGCTTTTCGCTAGTGACGAGCACGGGCATCGTGATTTGCTGCAGAAACACGTTGCATGCAGCATGTTGAATTCTTTTGGGCCTTCAAGTGCTTCACCGAGTGGAAGTACCGGTATTCGCAATTCAGGTGTGGTGAATAGTGGGAACAGCAATACTGACGATTCGGCGGCCGCATCAAGAAGAGCGAATGCATTCGAGCAGATTGCAGCACGCAGCGAAGAGTTACTGGCTCGCGCAGCGGCGCTAGCCACTAGCAACCGTCACATGACGCAACATGCAGGCGCTGCATTTCGGCAGGGTGCTGCCGGAAATTGTCCGCCCTTGGGTAGCAGGACTGAGTCACCGCTGCGCCAGCTAGGTGGAGTTGACTCGCAGGTCCTGCTTCAGAGAGGAGTGCAGCTTACAGAAGTCGTGTCTTCTCCCGTAGGAAACAACTCGTTGCCACCCTCCACGCCTCAAAGTGTTAGTACGGCAGCGAACATTGTGATGGATTCCTCGAATTTACCCGCCCTTCATGCGACCGCATCAATTCGACAAGGGACGTCACTGACCGCCTTTAGCCTAGGCGGCTCTTTAAAGGCACATGCGCGAACCAAGACACGCAAGGAAAATCGGACGATACCGGCACGTCATGCGGGATCGCCGCATCTTTGGGCCACCAGTGGGTATCATGGTACAACTAGCCCGGCTGCATCAAGAAACCAGATCTCCGCGTCAAATCTTCAGTTTGCGCAGGACCCCAGCACTCCCACGTCAACCCATCCAGCGCAACTGAGCACATCAGGTTCTGGGACACAGCAGTCACAACGCGGAGTGACACCCAATAGTAGACCACGGTCGCCAGGTCCACCAGCATCTTTTCAGCCAGATATGCGGGGCGAACAGTCCCGCGCGCATAGAACACCTCCTCGGCTCTCGGCAACAGCGGCTGTGCAGGCATACTTTTTGTCCCAATTTCTTCTTTGTCGATTCTTGTCGATCTTAGGTACTCTCTGATGTCAGAAAAAAAATCGATAAATAGTTGTATTTCTTTCCGTGTTCATGCTATCTGAAGAATTGTGAAAAAAGTTCAAGTTCGTTGTGTCAAGTTATTTTCGGATAAAGATGAAGATGAAGTCGAACTTCTCGAAAGCTCGGGCTCCCCTTGCCAATCCCTGGTGCATGCAAGCACGCTCTTTCTATCATCGACTGTTTGTTAGTTTCATCTTTTCTTTATCTGCAGCAAAAAAACTCTCTCGCAGGGCGCTCGGCCATTGACCTCGCCACCTACATCACCACTCGTACGCTCAATTTCGCCGTCGCAACGTGGAGGGTCTCTGCGAAGTCCGCCGAGCCCCCAACGAGCATCAAGTAGTCAGCAACAACACGCCAGTGCCTTCGGACCTTTTCAGAGTCTGCTAGTGCAGCAGCGCCCGGCGTCGCCGCGGTCTGCGCCACCCTCTGGGAGGGCTGCCGCGGTATCGTTGAAATCGCCTCTGCCAACCGTCCCTCCACGTGCCGGCGTCGAGACGCCAAATGGCGTACTTTCCGGAAGCTCTGCGGATGAGGGGCTCTTGACAGCGTCCCTGCCAATCATTCTCAACGACGCTCCCGCGCCTCCAGTGGATTTGGTGTATTCGTTTTCCTCCAGTGCAGATGAGGAAATGCAGACGATGAAAGTTAGAAATGTTGAGCTAGCACCATCTCCAGGTCGCACGCCGGAACTGAACATAGAGGGAGACGCGGTCGTGGTCAACAATAATCATGATAAAAATGCGTGGTCGACGAATGGAACATCCGGAGGGCCTAGCATTTCGTCAGCATCATCGCACTTGGTCCCGCCCGCTCCTTCCAGGGATCCAAGTTTGCGTGGACCAGTAGGAGGGCGTCGAGCTCAAAGCAGAGAACTTGTTGCGACCACTCCAACACCCGCGGCAGGCGGGCGTGATCGTAGTAGAGTTGACATTGCGAGTGAGAATCTGGCATCACAAATGGTTGCTGCTGCCATGGTTGAGATCGCGGGCAGTCCGGGTCTGCCGATGGCAGAAGTTGTGCTGCAGGCAAGTTCCAAGAACACGGATGACTTGATCGAGGAATTGGAGCGCGTGGAAAGCCAGGTTGTCCAGCGGCACGAAGCTTCACCGTCTTCGGCTATGGGGTCGGCTTCTGGTTACCATGTTCTTCAGCAACAGGAGGCAGGTGCAGCAACGTCGGGAGCTGGCGCATTGCAGACACCGAGCATGATGTCCCTGTCATCCTCAAGTGCGCCATCCGCGCTCCAGCCGTCGCGGAGCATTGATCACGCTGGGCGGGGCTTGCAGATCGACACATCGTCGCCAACTCTCAATGCAGAGGTTGCTGCTCTCACTGCGGAGGTGGACGCGGAATGCGGACAGACGCCACATGAGGACGTGGACATTTCTTGGAAAGCGATGGAAGGATTGTCGGCTGCAGCCCGAGCGGCTGGGGAAATGTTTACAGCAAATGCTGGAGCAACAGGAACAGTCCCACCGACGCCCAACAGTTATTTGGTCTACAATCAAGCTGTAACTGGTACTGGTGGAAATAACTTTGACCAAGAACAAGAGATGGCCTTTGTCGCTGCAGCTGCCGGCGTTTACAACTACAATTACAACTTGACGACACCCGGTGGGGTGAGCGTCTCGTCAAACAGTGGCACGTCTCCGGCCAACGCAGTGTCGAAAGGCTCGGCGGCGAGTGCGGCGGCACCACACCAGCTAATTCGAACGACGACTTTGACACCGCTGGCAGGTGTGGCTTCTGAACCCCGTGTTCATCCGCACTCCGCTACACTGGTTGCAACGAAGAAGGGGCGGGTGCACAGTGCGGCCACAGCGAATACTGTTGAGACGGTGGCTTTACCTTTTGGTGTTGACGTCAACAGCGCCCTTTCGGCTGCGGCAACACCACACGATAATGTCACACTCGGTGATCCGGCCTCAAGATGCAGTAGCAAAACCAGGGGTACAGGTCCTTTCTTGATGCAGCAACCGCAATTGACCGAGACCACAATTCTGCTGCATCCTCACACGCCCGGAGGGGATCGAGAAATTAGCGGCGCGGTATCGACTCCGAGCCCGGATGATGGAACCCCAGGTCGCGCGTCTCGGTCATCTTCCGCGCGTGGGACATCACGCGATCGTGGACGACGAATTCAGCTTGGCTCAAGTGGTGCGCAAATTCTGAATCCGAGGACCAGCAGTGGCCGTATGCATGACAATACGTGGCCTCGACGGGACAAAAGCAAGAGCAGCTCGGGGACCAACCCGACGATACAGGACGACGAAGCATTTTTTCTTGAGCAGGCTCCTGCAGCGCATAAGTCAGCACGGGGTGACACACTGCGTGGCACTTCTGCGGGAAAAGCTAGCGGTGCCGCCCACGGAGGCACCAGCTCTTTAACGATATCAAGCGGACGCTCAGCGCTGCCACTGCAGACGGAGCAGTACGGCGGGAGGCGGGGCACCACGCGGGATGACCTGCTGGACACCTACCAGGCGAGCGGAACGGAGGTTCGAGGAGGGACACACGCAAATTTGGATTTCCCCTCGTTGTCCCGTGGCAGATCGCCATCATACTCTCGCGTGCGCCAGACTTTGAATGCTGCGACACACTTGCAAGAACTTCTTAGCAAGAGCAGTCCGCGGGGTCCGTTTCACATTACTGCAGCTGCCCCCGATCCGGTTTCCTCAGGGGCATCTGCATCCATGCCGATGAACAAGGTCGGACACTCGATGGCACCACAGCAGGCCCTTGCATCAGGAAATAGTTTCGTAGGGGGCAGTATGTTGGGGGCGGTGCAGACTGGGACGCCAACAGCAGCGACAACAGGACCTTCCTCGTTACTGGCTGGCACAGCAGTTGCCGCGTTTCATCAGCATCAACCGCAAGCACGACTGAGCCCCCAGCTTGGTTCCTCTCCTGATCAACCTACGACCAGCAATGTCCTTGGGTCGGCTCCGGTTTCGACAGCCACCATGAGGGTGCACCCGCGTGTGCCGCCTCTGCAGCTGGGAAGCCGCGATTCTCGGCGTGGTGCGCAGGTCGGAAGTCTCAAACAGACGGCAGGGCTGAGTGAGGTGAGCAAGAAGCAGCCGTATTGGCGTGAGACGCCTGCGCTTCGAGGTGCTGCGACTGCGCACGAGCATTTCAAGGACCGACTGTTTACGCCAGACCCCCGTGCACTTGTGCCGATCGCAACCCCAAGCAACGCCCACCAGCTAATAATTGCAGACATTCCACACAACTCGTCGGCGCAAGGCCTCTCAGGTGGGGCCGGCACTGTATCATCCACGATGTTGGGGCCCACGTCCTCGGCGAAATCCCACGTGGGGTCCTTGATGGCGGCCTCGGGTGAGCTCTCGCGACATCACTTGTCGACGTCTTCGGGCGGGCCAGTTTCGAGTGTTGTTGAGCGGAGCGTTGGGTTATCGCATTCGGGACCATTCCGAGAGCAGTTGCCGGGCGCGGCACTCGCCTTCGTAAATCGTCCTCATCAGCGGACCGCAGCGAACAAGAAGCAAGGTGGCACTAGTCCAAGGAGCCTACCGTCAAGCGAACGTGGGTCGCCTGGGTCACGAGAGGATAGTTCGGCGAGCCCAAGGAGCGGGGATCGTGGGCGGTCGCGTGACAATGTCAAAACACTGCCACACGCGATGCAGCCGCGTGTCGGATCACCAAAGCAGCGTGCGGGAAGTCGTTGGCGACGAGGGATAGCGCGAGCTAAGGCAACACAGGTCGACGGCGATGTACTGCACACTCCTAAACTGCACGATGCGTCGGCCACTCCACCCAGTGGTCGCAGGGCCGAAAGTGGTGAACCAGGGCTCCGTGACCAGAGTGAGCGATGGTCAATGAGGTCATCTAGAGGTCGGGATGCGTCGGCAGATAGTTACACGGGAGTAGAATCAATAACAGACCAGTCGCCGTCACTTACTCCTTTTCACCTTGCAAACACGCAGCCGTTGTCTGGGCGTGATCCTCTCGCTGATGTTAAAGCGCGCGCGACGCTTGCGGGTGCTAGCGCGTCAGAACTAGCGACCTTGCAAGCACAATACCATTTACAGGACGCGACTGATCACCGTGCAGGGCGAAGCGAGACAGTGGTCATGACAGCTTCGCGCGGGCGCACCGAAGAGACAAGCGGGTCGCCAAGCACAGGAAGGTCATTGGTGTCGGGATCTCGTGAGGGCACTGCGCGTGGAATATTGCATTCGGCGTCGAGCTGGGAAAAAAAACAGCCGAATAGCAACAGCGCCCGCATCGACCAGCAGTCGATCACGACGCAGAAATCCCCTGCCGGCGGATCTGGGAGCGGAGGGACGCCGCCCGGAGGGAGACGCGAGCATTCGTCGAACCGAGAAGATGGGTATCTTGCTGACAGCGGTACCAGTGTTGGGCAGCTCCCAAGTGATCGCACGCCGCGCGACGAAGATGGAATGACTCAGATGAATTTGGAAGAAGATGAAGATAGGGAGAGACGCACAGCTGAAGAGAAGGAGGACGACGAGGACCTGCTGATCCCTGGAGCGCCGGCAACACCCGGGGCCGCTGGAGAAGCAGCTGGAACGCGCAGTGAGCAAGGCGGGACTGATTCCGGGAGCCGGCGTGGCGCAGCATCGCCTGCTGGAAAGTCCCTGACAAAGTTGTTTCGAGCAGTCAAGCGCGGCTGGCGCCCAACGTCGGCGTTCGAATCCGCCGGTGCAGCAAGAGAGAGGGCTGCGGGCACTTCAGGAGCAGGTATATCGAGTTCGGACGGCACCAGTGGTGAAGCTGGCGTTTCCGCGGACCCGCCTAGCGAGCTCTTGGGGCAGTCCAGCGGTGCGGCTGTCAGTGGCCGAAGCGTGCAGACATTGACTCCAGGGTCAAGCTCCGCACAACCTGGCGCGGACGATAAGCAATCCGGGGCTGGCGCCGAGAGTGGTAGGGGTGTTTTGTGGTGGGCCTCAGCAGAAGATGCAAATGGTCAGATTGCTGAGGGAAGCATCCGCAATGTTAGGTTGGTGAGTGGGGAGGAAGGCTTGCGTGCTTCATTATCAGTTCCCGCGCAGCCCCCTGTTGGAGCGATGATATCAAGTGGAGAAGTTTCCCAGTTGGCAGAAGGCGTCTCGGGCCGAGAGTTCACCTCGGATATGTACGTCCCTGAAGAACGTGCTGAAGGGTCGTTTCCTTCGCGAGTGGGCAATAAAGGCAGCAGTCTCTGGGCCGATTTTGGGCCTCAATCGTTGCGACAGATGCTCCGCGGGAATCGACTCCCTGTTGGCCACACACTTCCGATTCTCATTCAACCTGACCCAGATGTCGTCCGAGCGACTATCAGAAGCGAGCTGCAGAGGCCTTGTCGAGGAGGCGAACAAGGGTTCGAGGAGCCAAAAAGAGCTGATGACACCTCCGGCAACAAGGAACCAGAGCAAGAGGAAATAACTCGAGTCCCAATCGACGAAAAGGCGGACAATCGTGTTGAGCTTTTGATAGAGAGCGGTCCGTTTCTGTTGTCATCGGTTCGACGGTTTTCGTTTTTTGCCAATTGGCTTTCAATGCCTCGACAAGTGGTTCTTGTCTACCAGAGTCTCACGGTTGTGCTGGTGCTAATCCTCTTGGGCTTCGTGGCTGAGAAATTGGTAACGCCAGCAATTTTTGTCTGCGCGGTGGCATGCGTGGTGGGTTTGGCTGTCGCAGCGTCAGCCTTCGCGGCCGTCGCTGTGGACAAAGCAGACGCGCTTGCGGAAGTGCGTCTTATCGAAACTCCAGGGCAACCCGCTGGTGCACAAACACAGCCTGTCGGGAATGTCACCCCTGGTTCACGGCTGGGGCGCTGGAGTAGCAGCTTGCGCTCGGTGAAGCTTCCGTTCGTGGGTGGAGTGGCGTTGTCGACAAATAGCAGCGAAGCCGACACGCGCGAGGCTAAGATCTCACTGAGCTCAATGCGAGCGTGGCAGGATGGAATTGCTTTTCTTTCCGGACTCATACTCTTTTTTATCATTCTATTCGGCGTCAGTTTGGGTTTGAGTGGACAGCGTGCAACATCACCTGCCCCGGCTTTAGCTAACTTCGGGCACTTTCTCATATTCGCTTGGGTTGTTGGAACTTTTTTCCTTTTATTCGGTGGAATCGCGATGCTCGTCTCACTCGGGCGCGTTCAGCAAGCGAATGCATCACGTTACCAACTCGGGCTCATGAGGGCTCTGGGGTTTGCGAGTTCGAGCAGCCCTTTTTCACCTGAAAGAGGTGCGGCGCTCGGGCGAAAGGCACATCATCGACACAAATATCACTCGGACAAGCATCATGCTTTGCGTCTTCTGTCCACAGCAGGTGGCGAAGACGCTGTACGGCGCAATCCACTTCTTGAAAACACAGACGACACTGGGGGTCGTGAGATAACGCCACAAAGCGCTTCCGACCGCGGGGAGACTTGGGGGTCCCCGAAAGCGGCACGTAGTCCCGGGATAAACGCTGCAGCGTTCGATGCCTTTGAGTTCGGCGGGAGCGGCCCGGCGGGAAGTGGATTGGCACGGCCACCGGCGAATATAGATGTAGACTTGCAGAGCTTCGCATCATCACAACACGCAACTCCGTCTGCCAGTCCAGTGGGGGGTGCTTCGCCCTTCAAGACGGGGACGCAAAGTAGTAAAAAGAAGAGTGGTCGCAAGAACAGAGTACCAAGGTCGAGGCTTGGTGCACTAGGTGGTAGCAAGGATCTCATCCAGAACGGAAAATACCTGTTTCGTGGGGGGGAAGCAGGTACTAATGTCGAGCTCGCGGCAGAGGGTTCACACAGCATGGTGCCGCCAGAGCTTACAAGCGGGTCACCGTCAGACCGAGTGCGGGACGCTCGGTTGACGGGAGGTCGTAGGCCAACGGCGGTTACAAGAGTATCGACGTCGCCTGGTGCTCGACGCTGGTCGGCAAGGAGACAGAGAAACCACGTCTCATCTTCGGTAGGGGAGAGTGGGGGGAAGCGTCAACCAAGAGGCCGTTCGCCAACGCAATCGCCGAGGAAACTAAAGCGACAGGGCAAGGCGGGACCTAGTGTATTCAGGAGAAACGATATTGTCGCGGCTGTTGATGCTGGGAAGAAGAAGAGTCCCCAGAAAATTCCCATTGCCTCAGTGATAACGGTATCAGAGGTCGCTGCAGCCGTCCACGCAGCGGCAAAAGTCACCGAGGCAACTGTAGCGTTTCCTCTCGATCAACGTGATCAGCGTCAAACAGACGAGGACGCCGTTGCGCACGAGCGATCTTCCTCGTCGCGAAACGACGGTCTCGTGGGACGCCCGTCTGCCTCATCCTCCGGGCGCATGTCTCAGTATGGGAGCTCCAAAAATTCGGAAGTGCCGCACGCGTTGGAAAGCGGGAGGTCACTCCTAAATGTCTCGATGCGATCGTCTGCTGAACCCGTTTTGCCTATGCGCATACTTGAAATTCCGCTAACGAACTCCGCACCATCCGCTTTCGGTTGCCTTTCCTCGGATACCAAGCATATTATGGGCTCTGGCCGATCAAACGCGACGAGTGGAGGTGCTGCTGCGGTCCCAACGCGGTCGGGGGCACCCTCAAGTACTACAGGGAGAGCGATGCTTTACTACGAGGAACAAGGGGGGCAAGCAGGTGCGCGACTTCAAAAGTATATGATGTCTGAGGAAACTGCTGGACCCAGCAATGGTGGCTTGCCAGTGGCGTTTTCCAATGGAGGTGAAACTCGTCCGCTTGGTGGAGCCGATATGGGTGGCCTGCAATTGGATGACATCGAATTGGCGCATGAAGGCGCTCTATGCGCGGGGGCAGAGCAGACATCGTACTTAGAGACTGAAGACGGCTACCTTCGAGATGTTTCGGATTCCGGGGATACAGTTAATATGAGGCCAGTTGGAACGAATTGGGCTGAAGCGGATCGTGTCCGAAGCAGCAGAGACCATAGCAGTGGTACTAGAGAACCGGCTACATCAAGTCACGATACGGCGAAATTGGAAGTCCAAGATTACTTCCGGTCGACTGATCTCTGCGAAACGGTTTTGGTCGAAAATGCGCGGCAAATTCGAACGGTCGCCGCGGAGAACTACACAATTGCCATGGGTGGCATGTGGACGACAAGCATCGTTGGAAGCGCTCTCATCTACCTTTACACTAGGCTTTCGAAAGGATCCACTGGAGTGGATGATCAGGTAGATACGCAGTTTATCGCTTCAAAGGGAACAGTGCAACTTGGACATGTCAAGGCTGTGGCACAGCATTTTAGAATTATATGGTGCGCCAGATGTGGTAGCTAGGTTTGACAGCTTGATGAATGCATGAATCATGTGGTTCATGACTAAGCGATGCGGTAAACAACGGAGTAGCAATTGCTAAATTTTTAGTGAAAATTATCGATATCCACTCATCAGTTTCATTTCTACGTGCTGAGCCTCCTGTACGTGTCGTGGGTGGTTGTCTATCTTCTGATGTACCAGCTACTGCGCGGGCTGTTCGCATTCCGGTTGCCCCCGTTTTTATTGGAGATGCTAAGCAAGGAATCACAGCAAGAGATACGCGATCACGTTTTGAGAGTTGACGCTACGCTACGAATGAAACTGGCTGGCTACGACGTGAATGTCGGAGGCATTCTGTTTGTGGCTGGCGCTCCAGCCGTGGTTTTTCTCGTCTGCGTGATTGCTGGGACTCGGCCGTAGAGGAGCGCCTCGAAAGCGACGTGGTTGCGCTTTTTTGAATGAATCCATTCTTCAGTGTTTTTCTCACAGCGACGGACTGACACTGATTGCTGGAGCTGGGACCAGGAAGCCGTGTTCGCTGCCTTTTTCTCACAAATCAATGGAGGCAGAAACTAGGAAGAGGGCTGCTGAGTTGAGGGTTTCTAAAGTTTCCGAACTGGAGCACGAGCATGTAAGGTCTCCTTTAGTAACTGCAAAGCGCCGAGAGAATTCGTGTTTAGAAGCAAACGATCGTCTTTGAGAACGTCATCGCGTCTGGACATAAATCACTTTTCGAATTTCTTAACCTGCATAGTTTTTTGGAAAAACCAGGAAAGTAAGAAAGAATGAATTGGCTATTTATTCAGAAAAACTGTACATTGAGAGCAGCATGCTAGAATTCCTAGTCCATAACAACGCTTCATATTATTCATAAGTTGTGGCTGTCAGAGTACTTACTCAACTCCATTCACATCCAAGTCCATAAAATTACTCGAAGAGTGACATATACCTGTAATTACAATTAGTTTCGACCTTCATAGTACAAATCTACAGAGCTTTGTCGGTAGTGTACATTACCAGTAGTATTGATTCCTAGTCGATCCCATAACAGAAAAGAGACTGACACTTGGTAGGATAATCCGAACAAGGAATGCCCAATGTCATATGCGCTGCTCCGTGAATGGGTCTGCCTCTCCATTGGATGAGTGACTAGTTTTGAGTTCTAATTTAGTAGCTACATCGAGAAGATCCCAAGCGCGAGTGTAATGAAGCGAGTAGGGTGCCAACGAACCACGTTCTGATGCAAAACACATTCTTGTGATCGGAACGGTGTAGACAAGAGATACCGCGAGTTCACATCAGATCCAGGCGACTCTTCTGAGATCCATACTTATAATATCATCAGATCAGAAAAGTAGACTGATGTAAAGATCAAAGCATTGTCGACGATCTCAGAATGGAGGAGATCATAAGGGCGGACAATATCAAAACAAGTTTACCACACAAGCAAATATTGTGATCCAATAATCAGATGTGAAAACTGAAAAAAGGACAAAAGTGAGACGATCCTCTACAGCCGGTCGCAGATCTAAATCAGGTTGGCTGTGTCCACTGATCAGTTCCAAAAGTCCTATTCACGAACGTCAAGCCGGCCACAAAAATCTACTCGATAGTTGGATCCCGGTTTAGTACCTTTCAACATCAACACGCCCGAATGTGATTACGTTTCCCCGTTGGCCTTTAACAGTGACAACACTAAACACTGTGCGCAACCTCATCTTTGTTCATTCTACGCTATCAACAGGGAAACGAGAACAGTAGTACAAGCTACTCTTGTGTTGTTTTAGAGGGTCCACAAAAAAATGCCGCCGAAGGTTGCCCAAAAGACCAAGGAGCAGAAGCTCAAAGCTGCCCTTTCTGGTGGTAAGGGCCGCAAGAAGAAGTGGAGCAAGGGAAAGGTATTGATTTCTGCTGATGTTCAATCCGGGCATAGTATCCATCATAGAAGGAGTATTAGAGAATTGCAACCAGATCTGGTAAGTAGAAATCTTTTTGCACCGTGGAGAAAGGTAGCGTACACACACGTTGTTTTTCAGTATTCTATTGAGAAGGATAAGGTAGTACATTTTCGTCATGCCTTCTAAATGTCACCACCCTCAGGTCAAGGAAAAGCTCCTCAACGCTGTCTTGTTTGATAAGCCGACTTACGACAAGATGATGAAGGAAATCCCGAAGACCAAGCTTATCACTCAGGCTGTTGTGTCCGAGCGATGCAAGATCAACGGCTCTCTGGCCCGCCAGGTACATTTGTGGGTTATTCGTTCTTTCAGTTGGTATCCACAGTAATCGGTTGGTACGGAAATAGAGTTACTCGTGATAGGATTTTGTGTTGTTGTCGCTGTCTCAGATTCAGATGATCAACAATATAATTGGACAAAAAGATGGTGTCTCATAAATGCGTTTGATTCTCCAAAAAATTTTGAGACTCATCACACTTCACAGGCTATCCGTCACCTCGAGGGCGAGGGCCACATCAGCGCCGTGGGAGACAAGCACCACGCATTGATGATCTACACCCGTAACGTCAAGGCTGAGTAAGATGTCTGTTACGAGTAGATGCGGCTACTATATGGTTTTGGGATGACTTTCCGGACTGTGTCGCTTCTGGAGGTGCATTGTACAACGCCTGATAGATTCAACAGGGAAAGTAGGTTCCCATCAGAAGCATGCACGTAGAGACATTTGTCAGATACGTAGAGTCGAAAAGGAAAAGGTGACTATCTCACTACAACACAAAAGAAAGAAGAGCAGCACACAAAGAAGCGTGATGGATTAATATGCGGATTACGTGTTCGACTTTTCGGTCTGAAAGTTCCGCACATTTGCAAAATGCCAGATCTGATTGTATGTAAGAGAATGGAATCTTCCGATTCCCATGAGAAATTACTCAGCGTGGACATAGCCCACTTTTGGATTTGGTCATCGCGGATTAACAGTCATCGGAACTTCATAAAATCGTGCCTTACAAAGAAAGGCATCGCGGATTCTTTGCGAGTACTGAATGAATGAGTGAGGGAAGGGATGAGAGAGTGAACAACCGTGGGAGTTCTCCATATTTCCCAATTTTTGAGGCCTCTCCCTCCACTCGGGATCTTCCTAGTTCAGGCTTATCTGCTGACTGAACACATCGCTGAGCTTACCTGTTGGTAGTTCCCGGAGTCCGTTGCTGTGCCTCTCTCTGTTTTCCGATCAATTTTAAGGCTGGGAGTTGAAAAATCTTTGCGCGTCTCTATGTCTTTTTCAGGTAAGAAAGCCGCAGATGTGCGTGCTAGAGATGCCAACTCTCAGCCCCTAACAATTGGCCCGCCCTTCTCTCCTTGGAGATCGCTTCGCTTCGCTGTCTCCTCATCCTTCGCAGATGCATCCTTATCACACGGGCATCGCGCAGAGTTTCTGTCCACAGTGGTACTCATACTGCTCTGTTGTCATGCCGCTTGAGTGGGAGAAGGGTAATTGTGTTTCTACCTGGGCCTATTGACGCTCCCCCTTTCTTTGCCCAGCAAAGGCGTTGGACAAGTGACATTCTTTTACTAAAGGTACATTTCATCTTTCCATCGTCTTCACTCTAGGACCTCTTATCCTCACGTGTTGTCTTTGTTGAGTCTTTTCGAAATTAGAGGTTATCCGTACGATTACTGCGTTCCATTCGCTTTTCCTGTAGCATGAGAGCGCGGGAAACGTACGGTACAAGATCAGGTCGCTCCTATTTGGTGTGCCGCTGCTCGTGCGGTATGCCAAAGTTCGCGTACCGACATACACATCCGATGAACGACTCTCCTTATTCCCGAAATGGTGGCTACGCCTTGTAGTTCCTCTCGCTCTGGAATCGAGCTGTCCCACACCTATTTACGTTGCACGTGTTCCTCTTCTCCCCGTGTTCGAGGTGTTGCCTCGCTCGTTCGGCTAGAAGGCTTTGGTGGCTTGTTTCGAATATTTTGTCGAAATCGTAACCTTAGTGACTGCTTTCTGCAGCGGAGTCTTGCTGCCGGGGACCATAGAGGCGGTCTAGACTAGTTCAACAATGTGACCAGTTAGGGAATAGAAGACGTGAAACCCACATTATTACTACGCTCTGTTTGCCTTGAGTGTCGTGGCACAGTGCGCGGGAAAGATGTGGAATAGTAAAGGGCCGCTCCTATTTGGTGTGACGCTGAGAGTGCGTCTCTCCAAAGTACGCGAGCCGACAAGCTACAGTCATCTAGGATCCACCGCAGCGCTTTTTTCCGTCTTGGGTTGCCAGACTCATTCTTTCTGGCGTCTGAAGGACTCCCTGCTTTGTCGATTGTTATGTCCACACCCATGTCAGCCCGCTACCAAGAACTAGCCGCATCATCACTGCGCTCTGAATCGCTTAAGCCTGTAGTGCAGTGCGCGGGAAAGATGCGGTAAAAGAACTGGCGTTCCTATTTGGTTTCAGTTTACTGGTAGTTGGTATCCAAAGTACACGTCCGCACAGCCTTCTTCGTCCTGGTTATAGATACATTCACCTTCGTCCTCCGTGAAGGTAACTCAAACTTGGCTGTGGTACGTGACTCTACGCTGTGCACTCCAGCGTTGTCGTGTGTGAACGTATGGAGAGGTCTCTCGGTTGTGTCAAAATTAGAGATCACCAAATATGGAAAAAAGCGAGGCTTTCACAGAGAAGATGCGCTAGGCATGAGTGTGAGTTCTGTATGTGTATTTCCTATCCCTCTGCGAAAGTGTATTGCCCGCCCACCCCGACTTTTCTCCGATCCGGAGCCTTCGTGTGGTTAAGACATCGCAAAGAGGAGCTGGCACTGGCGATTCAATGAAAAGCTGTGCTTACTTAAAATGATTACGATGTAGTCGGGTTCCGAGAGGCTACACTGGAGAAACAAGGCAGAATTTTACACTATGTTCATATTTCTTGAGTTAACTACAACTAGCTCGGGTTCCAACCTGCTTAGTTTTTCTGCATTGATAGTGGATATAGAGTTTCAATGAGCGTCAGCTTGTATACTTGAAAATATGTGTTGGACTTAGGAGGACGATGGACCTTCCAGACCATAATATGGATCGCAATGCTTTTTGTCGTCGTGTCTTGTCATTCATTGATTCGGAGATCGAGCGTCTCCGGCCTCACGTTCCCGTTATCGGGTTGCAAGCGCCCCAAGGGTTCGGCAAAACGTTTCTGACAAATGCAGTGAAGGTGGAGCATGGAGACTGCGTCCTTGCTCTTGGTTTGGACGACTTCTTCAAGGCCGGAAGGTTTACCCATCGCCATCCCATCGCGATCACTTGGTGTTGACCGTATTTTTTTCCGGGGATGAGTACGGACGATCTTGAAGAGACAGAGAGCGGGCATCTTCGTAGAGACAAGGATTACCTAGGTAAAGTACAATCGTCGCACGGCGGGGGTGGTTGTGAATCTTCATTTTGTATTATCCCTACGCGATTTTGCAGGACCTTGCCGTCGAGAGTCCCTATTTCTGGCGAAGTCGTGGATTGCCGGGAACCCATGACAGTACCATGCTGGTAGACGTACTTCAGACAGTTGTATCGAGAGGAGCTCGACATCAACAAGGAACTCCAGCAGACTCTGGATTAGCATCAGAGCTAGGAGCGGAAAACCGGCAAAGACCAGCTAGCAGAAATACAGCACCAAGGGCAAGGTCAGTTTCGCTACCACGGTTCGATAAGGGGCCCAATGGTGGTCTCGGCAAGGAAAGAAAGTAGTCGACGTTTCTGCCGTGGAAGCCTTGCTTGTTGAAGGTTGGGGTGTCGGATTCAACAGCACAAGGGAAACAGGAAAGAACCCGGAAGAAGACGCGAACATACTTACAAGGAGATCAGGAGGGCGCCAACATCGAGGAGGCTGGAGCAAGTAAAAAGGCTGAGCATGATCGTCAGGTAGGGTGGGAGCATGGCCCGAATGCGAAATTGCGAGATCAGTACGAGCCATTGTGGCGGAAGTTTTGCACATTCTGGATCGTCGTGGAGCTGCCCACTTTCGCGGAGTCTTCTCCAGCTGCGGTAGTCTCGTCCACTGCAAACGATAAAATTGAGAAACAGGAGATCGCGCTTTCTTGCCTGGATTGGGTGGTGCAGTGGAGAACCGAAGCTGAAGAAAAGTCAGCATGCGCAAGTAATCGGAAAATGTTGTAGCCACCCGAGGTCCGTAAATTCTGTGAACCATACTTGTTTGCGTATGCGCACTGCCTTCCTGAATTGTACGAGCGCTGTGCGCAAGACGCGCGCGTTGGTAGCAACCGCAAACTGCGCGCTCGCATCCTTGACGTCGACCGCCGGGTAAACGTGTTATGACAGAACTGACAAAGGCGGCAGTGGGAGGTCTTCTTGGTCTACTTAATTACGATGATAGGAATGTAGCGTTCACTATGATCCAAAGTGAATCAACAGGAACAACATTTATTGTGCTGCCGATCGATGGCGATGGGTTTTGCTGTGCGCAACCCCAAGAAAGAAGAAGACTGACATCAAGTTTTGCTGAGAGCAATCGTTTATCCGAGAAGTTAGGGCGCCTTCCTAGATTTTGAGATTGAGGTTCTTCCCTCGCTTGTTTCGCGACGGTAGTATCGCGGTGTGTCGCCATTCATTCTTGTGAGAAAGGTCGATGGTTCTTGCGAAGCTCCCGAAGATATGCTTGCGCTTCAGAGTGCATTCGCTGAAGCTGAACAGTTATCCAGGAAATTGCCTTGATGATGATGACATGATTGTGATTGCACAATCTGATCTGGGCAACATACCATGCCAATCAAAGCTCAGTTAGTGGATCATCAACACTACGTGCCGTTTTCGGTTGGAAAATGCTTTCGGTGTTGCAGTTGAAAAATCCAGCTAAATACTTGAATTGAAAGTTCTCGTCTAATGCTTTTCTGGTTTCGTCTGTCACTGATGTGATCAGAACCAACCTTGAGCTGCGCTATAAAGACAGATGAAGTAGTACAAGTAGATTCACAGAAGTGTTTACTGTGTACTAGAAGTTCGTGTAGTAAGAAGTAGCGGCCTTTGATTGTGTTATTTCCTTCAGAGAAGTTTTTTGAAAAATTTTGTTTTTTTTTTGCAGGGCTCCGCAAGAGAAGAGACAATTCAAGCTAGAATCATTGTGCGTCATCTGCTCCGGCTTCGCGCATCGGCTTGGCTTTGACGGTTGAATCTGCTGCAGTTTTCTTTAAATTAAATTGAGGGAGTAGATTACAGTAAGATCCTTGCGCAGTTGTGGTTAGTTTTCAGCGTATGTAGAACTTGGTTCTAGTTAGAGCAGTCCAAGCCGCGGCTGACGTGAGTTTTTTTACAGAACGAAGGGACTAGGTACTCTTCCATCCAAGTACCTTCTAACTATAGTGGCAATGATGCTCTGTGTCTACGATAAGTTTTTTAGCGGATTTTTGTTCAGTACTCAACAACAACACAGACTGTTGTTGGAGAGAAATTTGTCATGTGACTTCGACTGATATTTTGTTCTTTGTTGATGTTGTTGTGAATCCAAATGTCCATGAAAAGCGAAGTTGGCGGAGCTGAAGGCGTCGCGACCACAAAGAAACACAGAAAAGACCTCGGACTCGACAAATATGATTTTCAGAAAGAGAGAGACGCCGCATGAAAATCAACTTGGTCTTTCTTTCTTCGCCGATGCTTCAGGAATTTAGCCCCAGTGTTGTGCGTACTTTTGCTGGTCTCGTCGTCAAAAGCACTGGATGAGGATACTTAATTGTAGTCAGCAAGAACGTGAAGCAGAAGATGTCTTCTTCGTCCGCTGATAGTGCTGGAGATCGACGCTCAGGAGGGCAACGAGAAGACGGCACACCAGTCGCTGAGCAGGCTTCTGCTTCTGATATGGTTCAGCGGGCAGGTCAGCCGCCCACGCCCACGTCCGTTAGGAAAACTGGTGGCGCAGGTGACTCTTCTGGTGCAGCTCGAGCGTGGGGACCACAGCGCGTTCCGGCGCCTCACAGCAGCAAAGATTTTCCAGAGCTTTTCGATGCGGAGAAAACACCAAAAAATTTAGGAGGCTTGCCCACCGATAGTTCGTGGGTGAAGGGTGACCAAAAT